GGCGAAGAACACGAATACCGGTTGGTCTGCCCGTGGAAGGGAGAAAAAAGAAATGACCATGGATCGTAAAACAGTAAAACGTCTCATTCCTAATGTAATTCATCTCCAAAATATCAGCGTACGATTTAAAGTTTCCCTCGATTTTCTTATAATGTAACAACTGTTTATTGAACTTGAAAAAAATAAAATATATTTTTATAAACTTACTTTCTTAAATAACACATTTTTTATAAAAGTAATCAATAATTACGTTATATTATATAATAAGGTCCCACTCTTTTTTTCTTAGGCAGTACAAATTTTAGTGTTTTGTTTGCTTTGCACAAAATACCGGCTTAAAGATTTTTATAGTTTAATTGCCTGCCTTTTCAACGATCGCATTATGTCATTTTCCGTGTATCTATTTATTTATTAAATATTATAATTCCACGAGCCTTTTGATGCAGACAAAGCCAAAATAACCTCATACAAATATAAACTATATACAAGTATAAGCAGAATAGATGTACTAAAAATAAAAACGAAATAGATATCAAACAAAAACATTGCTTTACACTCATCTCGGGCTGCAAACCGATTTAAAGATGGCGATGGGATCATTAAAAGGATCAACAATATTTCCGGTTTTATTCAGCAGCTCGAGCATTCGAAATATGATTCCTGAGGATCCATAATTCGTCCTGCGAATATCGACATTGAACACTTCAGGTTCCTTGCAAGGATGTTAAGGGAAAAGCGCTCCACAATCTCAGGAGCAACAATGAGGTCATCAAGTTCTTCCCAAAGACAGAAAAGCCAGACTTCGTCTATGGGTGAGAGACTCTAGCTGAAAGACCCAAAGTAGATCCTCATATTCAATGCCAAGACAACAATGCCCCATCCTATACACTAAGTAAATACTATAAATATGTGCCTTTGATTGGACCAGCATATACTTGTCACAGTAAGGACCCAGACGAAAGAAGCGTATTCCGATATACAACGAACAAGGAATTTGTTTAAAATTTTTATATTAAAGTCATTTGAAAAATCGTAGCCCCAAACATTAGGCGGCATACAAAGACTAGCAAACCTATGTATCACAGAGGTAATGAGAACAACCCCAACAAATTCATTAGAAACTCTGCTAAACCTACCTCCACTGGAAATATTTATACAAGGAGAACCTAGGAAAAGCTCACTTTGGCTCCAAAAACAATTGAATTGGATAGGAACTAAACAATTCGGGCATACATCCATAATCAACAAAATGGTACACCCATTCTTAAAAATGGGGACTGCCGACCGACGATAAAGCTTCAACGGACTATAAAGGAGAGGAAGAACACAGGAGAGCATCAGATACAATGATACGGTATACAGACGGCTCTAAAACAAACGAAGGAACCGGATCGGGTGTTTTCTGTACAAGCCCAAAAGATGATCAATCAAACTCATTAGGGAAGGACCCTTCGGTTTTCAACCAGAAATACATGCCATCTATATCTGTGCCCTGGAAAATCTTAAAAGAGGTTACACTGGCGAAAAAAATCCTCATAAGATCTGATAGCCAAGCAGCCATTAAAGCATTAGCATTTAAAAGAATCACATCAAATTTAGTCAGTGAATACATCCAACATCTCTAAAACCTGGGGAAACACAACAACCTGATGATATCTTGGGTGCCAGGGCACAGGGGAATTTTGGGTAACGAGAAAGTAGACTGACTAGCCAGAGGAGGATCTACAAGACCATACATTGGCCCCGAATCTATAGTTGGGATAACAAAAACAAATATCCTCCATCCCAGAATAGATCCAAACAAAACAAAACGCGAAGTGGATAAACTTTAGCACCGCTAGACACAGCAAACTTATGATGAAACAACCCTCATCAAGACTGGCAAAATCACTGCTGCAATTGGACGGCCAAACTCAGAGGAGTGGTAGGACTACTAACCGAACTACTGTCTGTAAGACTATGCATAGGCCCTGAACCTTTACTTGGGATAACAAAAACAAATACAGAATCATCCATCGCAGAATGGATCCAAATAAAACAAACAGAGAAGTAAATAAACTTTAGCGGTACTAGACTGAGTAAACTTATGTTGAAACAACCCTCACCAAGACTGGCATTCACAGCTGCAACTGGAGAGAGGGCTAGACTCAGACGGTTGATAGGACTATTAACTGATCACTGGCATCTGAGAAAACATCTACACAACATGGGCATATACAACGATGATCCCGTTTGCCTATTATGAAATGTGGAGGAGGAAACAGCTACCCACGTCATCTTCGAATGCGAAGCATCAGCTCAATGGAGATTTAACCTAATGTACGGAAAAACTTAGCGAATCAAATTGCAGCAGCGACAGTCAATAACGTGATACTTCGAGGAGAAGGGTTGAGTCTATCGCGCTAAACTAAGGAACTAGGAAGGTACAATAAGCCAGAAGGCTGCAGTGCCTGGAGAGCACAAACCCCGCTTCCTAGTATCTTTTTTTACTGTACCATACCATACGATTTGAAAAATCGGATGTCATTCTTTTAAGAAAGCCTAGGTTTCTAAGAGCTTTATTAGAGATATCAGTATAATGGTTTTCGAATGTACATGTTGTTGTTGAAGATCACCACTAAGTCCTGACCTGTGACGCTTCATTATTGATAAAGTACGTGTATGTAATTAGGCCAATTGTTTTCTAAAAAATGAATTATAACATTTGTCTCAGTTTAACCTAAGATTATTAAGAGGACACTAATCAAAAAAGGCAGAAACACCATTTTGTAAAACTACACAATCACCTGAGTTAAAAATACTTTTATAAATCTTGAGACATCCAGGCTTAGAGACTGGCGACCAGGTATCATTAAAGAATAATTTAAACAGTAAATACCTGAAGTTGAAGATGAAATCTGGGCATTTCTGTCTTCACTGGCTTTTGCTGAACAAGGCGTCGCCGGTCATTTAAAGCAGCTGAAAAAAGCCACTCCCTGGGTTGAAAAACAAAATAAGATAACATACTTAATAGGGCGGCCCTGCAGGAAATACGAGAACCAACCCGGTAGTGTAATGTGGATGTAGATACATACAGTTGGGGTGTGTGATATACTGCGCCCTTTAAGAGCTGTTGTACCCCACGTTCTGTGTCTATTGCACACCGGTGAGTCCTAATTCATCAAGGAATTTGATTAGTAGGCCCGATTACAGGGGTTGAATTTATTCTACGGTCATATTGTCCGACCCAAAGCACTTCCTCTTGCTGGCAAGTGTAGTGCCACAGTTTGTTAGTAGGTGTGTTGGTGTCTCCTCTGCTTCCTTGCAGAATCTGCACGTGCCGTTTTGGATTATACCAATTTTCTGTAAACGTCCGTTTAGTTTGCAGTGCCCTGTTAAGATTCGCAGTTGTTTTTCTGCTTCCTTTAATACATTCTATTACTTTTTTCCTTCCGAAATTTGTTAGGAGGTTCTTGGATTGTTTGTGAAAAATGAGTGAGTTCCATTGTTCCCTCATTTTCTTGTTATCCTTCTGTCTGAGGTACGCATTGATAGTGTGGGTTTCTATGACACAGCAGGGTTCGGGTCTCCTCAGCGGTACAGCAGCCCCTTTTCTTGCAAGCCGCTTTCTCGTTGCCTTCTACTCCTACATGTCCTAGGACCCAGCAGAGGCTGACTTTGCTTGACATACCTAATATGTTTAATTTGTTTTGCAGTTCAACACCACCTTTGAACTAATGATGTTTGACCTAAGTGCTTTCAAGGATGCTTGTCTATCTGACACGATAGCTATGTTCTTGTTTTTGTACTCTTTATTCAAGTTTAATTGAGTACATCTCTCGATTGCGTAATCCTCAGCTTGTAAGATACTGGTGTATTTTCCCGCGGGTTCTGAGTATTTGGTTCCAGGACTTATATCTTCTTGGGTTCAGTCAATAGATTGTGCCGTTCTTAAAGGAGGTGTTTTTTTCCTTCCTTCGTTCCAATTCTTTTTATCATACTTAAGTTTATGTGGAAGTTTTTTGATTAAATTTAAACACCCTGTTCAAGTCGTCTCTTGGAGCCATGAGAATCGGATGGTCATTCATTATGATGTTGCTATCTCTCTATTTAAATTTTATTCCTATTGGAAGTTTCTCTTTAATAATACTAATAATAGTTTTCTGTGCTCCAGTAGAACCCAACACCATAAGCTTTAAGTTTAACCAATAGGATAAATCTATCAACCGGTCAAAAGCTTTGGATAGGTCGGTATAAATGGAATATTCTTCCAAATTATTCTCCAGAATATTCAGTATAAAATCTTTATAAATAATTAAGTTTATAGTAGTTGATTGCCTTTTAGGAAACCATGCAAGAAAGTTCATCCGATAATAGAGCTTAGACTTACAGAGCGATAATTGAGAATGATAATTGGCTACCCTTCTTGAAGACTGAAGACCAAGAAGTATGTACAGATATTGGGAAAAGTCCTGGATGACAAGGAGAGCTGGAATAATCTTGATCAAGAGGCACTAAGCAAAAGAGAACAATTTAAAAAAAAACACTTCGAGAATGTTGTCACGACCTAACAAACGAGATAAAGATAGCCTTCTTTCAATACTGGTGACTGAAAAATCAATCAAAAATCGTTCCTAGGTCTACATCAAAAGTGTTATCGATAATTTGTCTTAAAAGTAACGAGGGTGACTCAGCTAAATTATGACTCTAATGAATGGTCTTAAGTTTATTTATTGTTATTGTTATATTAGCCCGTTTAAAAATAATATATGGTCGTATTTGAATAATTTTAATAAATTCGATGTATTGAAAAAAATATTTTGTACAGTTTAAATATCAATACGAAAAATATATTTAAAATACGAGATTCATACACAAAAAACCATGTTTCGAAAGGCACAATTTTTAAAACTTTTAAATTGAAAACGTCAATATTTTGTTCCGAATGATAAGAGAAGATTGATTTTGAGGATCATTCATGTTGAGTTTGCAGTGATATAAATCTTGGCCTTTAGGTCAAAACGTCGGTAGCATGTGTCACATTTTGCTGAATCTTAGTTTTCAATCTTTGGACGTGTAGATACCATGACCAGTCGGTTGAACAATTTTTAATCGTCCCGCCGCAGCCATGAAGTGGTTGTACGTTCTTGGCTTCGTTATTTCAAGTGGGTACCATTTTTAATAAATTTAGTCAAGATTTTTCGCGTTTCTGTCCTTTCGATATTGGCAAAAATTAAATCTAATAGCATGAAAAATGACGTTGTGGTTAAATGAAACATCCTAACAAACGCCCCGTCATTTCCTTTTAAACTTTAACAGCATTGATTTATAACAATTCAAATGTAATCCAAAATAATCTATATAATATAAAAAAACAGTATTATTAAAAATAAAATAGACAAAAATGTATTTAAATATTAAGATAAATTAATTAAATTTTCATCAATAAAATTAAATTAGTTTTAAAAACTGCTATATGAGCTAGGATTTTGTGATTTTAAGGGTAATCAAAGTTTTAAAATGTAAATTAAAACTAACATACTGAGAAATATTTCATTTTTATGTTTGATGTTTCTCTTACACGTGGCAATATATAACAATAAAACCTTTATGATGAAGATCAATCTCCTCATTTGAAATTTTTGGAAATTTCAATAAATTAACCTATTGTCTGCACAAACGCAAAAATCTAACCTACGAGCCAGTTTTGAAGGCCAAAAATATATTTATTATTACATAACTACAATATTACAATATTTAGATATTTAGGGAATGTATTGCATGATCAAAATTAGTTATCTGCTATTTTACACTTAAGAATTAGGCCATAGTGATTGGTGCCCTTTCTTACAATATAAAATAATATTTTTTAATAACAAAAAACCTTTCATGCTTACGGAGTTAAAAATAAACAATATATCAGAAAAATTAGCAATATAACACAGCACGTAGTCTGAAAGTTTTTCTTGAATTTTTTTCTCCTACACCAAACCTACCGATAATCTCATTTTTTGTGGGTAGCCCAATTTTGATCGTTGATGGCAAATATTATACGACAGTACCATCTTTTTTAAACACATCATTGTTCAGCGTCCATTGATACCACACAATAACCATGGAGATTACCATATGATATCCACGGCAAGTTTGCTGTGAAATCCCTTCAAGAGAAGAATCCATTCTAAAAATGATTTATTTTCTTCCAACTGTGCCCCATTTTTTTCTTGTCTTTGAAATGTTAACTTTATATCCATTATATTTCGTGGTCCGCTTGACCAAATAACTTCTTTCGTATATTTTCAGATGCAATAGATATCTTCTAATTTTTATTAAATTATAGAGTATTAGCGAGAACGTACACACGAACATTGGCTTTTATAAATTAAATTATAAAATAATCCTTATTCTTTTGTTTCCTTTTCTTTTATTTATTTACTAGGTTTGTTTCAATTTTAAAACAGTTTAATTTTTATTTTCAGTTAATTTAGGCGATGGATCATTCGGTGAGTTATGATTATGTTTGACAATAGAATGTAAAACTAAAAATAATTTTTAAATTGTTGTCTAATAGTCCCTGATTATACCTCAAAATTTGCGAAGAATGAGGGATCAACAAATTCAGAACGCCCAAAGATTCCGGAAACGGAGGGTTTTCTTCCTCCTTCTCCTTCGTTTGAAAATGATCATAAACCGGATATAACGTCTTTCTTCTTTTTCGATACCTTCGAAGGCAATTCTTTGCCAGAAGGGGAAAAGATCTCTTCTGTGATAGATCTAACAAAGCAGATCGCTTCGGAAATCGCGAAGCCAAACGCGATCACAGGGATGAAAACGCTTTCAAAGTTTAACGCAGCTACGAGAATAATAAGAACGTTGAGTTACAAGCAGTTGAAACTAATCTCTCGACAACTTTGTGAGAATGAAGCTAAGCCTTACGAGACACACTTTCTTCTCTGGTAATATTGATTTAAAAAGTTACGATGTAAAATGTAAATATTAACATTGATGTGTAGGTCAATATTCAGAGATGCAGTTTCACAAGCAGGCACCAGACATGCTTTTCTTGTCATCTCGGATTGGATTATGGAAAGAAGGCTAGTAGGAGAAGAAGCAGCTGAAATCCTTTCTGTCATCCCAAACTCAATAGCTGTACCGACTATGGAATACATGAACGATTTCTTCGTGAGCGGACATTTTAACAATACTTATGTTTAAACATTTTTATTCCGTGTATTATTTTGTTCTAGAATCTGGCAAAAAGTGAAGTAGTAACGTCTCAGAAGTATCTCAATGTCAGCGCAATCCTTTCGTTTACAAGCCTTGTCAGAAATTCAATGAGTAACGAAATATCTCCCGAAGGTATTCCAGGCAATAGCTCCAGCACAGACAAGGTTATAGTCGAAAAATACCTACCATACTTGGCCAGCCAGTTGAAGGATGCAGCAATCAAACGAGACAGCACTAACATTCAGCTTTACATAAGGGCCCTTGGCAACACCGCTCATAAAGAAATCTTCAATATTTTCGAACAATATCTCCAAGGTATTATAACATATAAAAAACTTGCACTTTTGATCTTTCGGGAAAAATGGAGGCTGATGAACATTGATTCAAACACATGATATTTTTTATCAAGGAAAACATTCACTCTCCGACTTCCAGAGGCTCACGATTATCTCCTTTTTGGACAAGATATCCGAAATATATCCGACTCTGACTAGGACTTTGTTGTACAATATCTACCACAACACTGGAGAAACGCAGGAAATTAGGGTGGCAGCGGTGATACAGATAATGAAGGCCAATCCTCCGGCAGAGATTCTCCAAAGAATGGCCGAGTTCACCAACTATGAGCCGAACAACCAAGTGGCCAGTATTGTTAAATCTGCAATCGAAGAAGCCGCTCGATTGAACACGCCCTGGACTCAAAAATTGTAAGTGTTTACGCCAAAAACTTCCTAGCTAACACTCATAAACAATATCATTCACAGAGCCGAGAATGCAAAGAGCGCTCTTAATCTGCTCACGACGAGAGAATTCGGTATCCAATATTCCAAAAGTTTCATAAGGAGCTTTCTATCTGAAAAGTACGACACGGAATATCATGCGGATGTTTCCTACATCCAACAACGAGACAGTGTCATCCCAAGCTCACTTTTCTATAACCACAAGATTAACATGGGAGGCTTGAAAACCAAAGATTTTCAGGTAAATAAAACAATTCAACTCGAAATTTTTAAAAAAATCAAAGATTTTCTTTGCACCTTTAGATAAAATTCATGTCTTCAAGCAGCGATGATCTACTTAATTTCATTTTGGATCACATAGCCAAATACCCTCAAAAATCTCACTCGCCGCCAAAGGAAAAAGATACAAAATGGTCATGGGATAAAGTGGCAAATGCGATCAACTTCAAACTGAACCAAGCTAAAGACGTCGAGGGCAACTTATTAATTGATACATTAGGAGGAGGACGGTTTTTTCCTTTCGATAACAACAGCATTAAAAATATCCAAGATGGTAAATAAGGTTACACTAATTTGTTAAGTTCCGATCCAACAAATTCAGCCATTTTTCATGTAAAACACTTTAAAATGTTTTCAAGTTTGTAATACAAAATAACTATATTATATTTTAAGCACTCTAGCTAAAAAGTTCTTCGACAGTTAGACAGTTGTATAATTGGCCTAATAAGCAAAAATAAATAGTCCAAACATCAGTGCAGCATAAACAGCAGTGTAACATTTTGTTTTTATTGTTAAATCATTGGCTGATAACGTGACTGAAAACAGTGATTCCATCCAACCACAACGCAAAAAAACTCGTTTTAGAATGATTAATCGCCATTCTAGGTATTCATAAAATAATTCGCTCTCACCAATTCTCCTTCCGTAAACATCATTCTAGGATTCATTCAGAATTACCGACACTATCTCTAGATGTAGTGTCTGGCACCCAGGCATACTTTATAAACTGAAACGCTTCTTACCCAAGACTTATCTTATCCTGCTAACTGACCGCTGCTTCAGAGTATGGTGCGCTTACGAGCTCCGGGAGTAAGAGAGATACTAGCCGGTGTCCAACAAGGGAGCATTCTTCGTCCTATCCTTTATATCATTTGTACTGCTATCCTACCTATACAATCTAATATCATGGGTTTTTGACGATTTGACTCGAATCCTATTCAAGCTACCTCCAACATCCAAAAATACCTTGAGCTTATCGAAGCCTGGAGAAAAACGAGAAAGACAAGACTGAATAAAGAAAAACGTAGTTAACGTTCACTTGAGAAAACAGAATTGCCCTCCATTGTACACCAACCACAAAGAGATATCGACTTCCATTAAAGTTAAATACTTAGGACTGTTGCTAGACAGTAGTATGAGATGGAATTCCATAGAAGACTTAAGAGAGAATAACTTAACTGAAGTCTCGAACAACTACGAAGACTTCTAGGGCCAAAATCCCTGTTGCCGTCAACACTAACGTTTTACAAGACTCTACTGACTTAGAGATCTGGACTGGAACTGCGGAGTTTTGCCAAGCTATCCAACATTCAAGCTCACAGTCCTACCATACAAAGTTCTCAAACAAACTACTACGACGATGACCTCACTCAACATTCTTTTTGTCGACGAACTGATCCGTTCCCCATTTCAAAAGGGTCACACCAACCTCACGACCCATCGTAACCATACTGCTCGAGCCCCTCGACACATTCCCATCCCCCTCGCATGTCGCCTAAATCGACAATGGCCTCCAGACCTTCTTGCTCCTTAATCCCTTACAGAGGTGGGCTGCATTGACTGGTTTCTCAAGGACCCGGGTTCAGGGCTGGCATTAGTGCTAGTGGTGTATACTTACGAAACAATGAACTGTGATCACATTTATAATATGTAGAAATATGTATCGGCTGCAAATAAAACAAAATTATATCGTCTCATATTGATTTTTTGTTTTGTTTTTCTAGAATTAAAGCGTTCTACTTACAGCTTCCGAGAAGGAAAGAAGTTTAATTTTACTAAATTGTACAATCAACGCGAAGTCCAGCTTAGTTTTCCCACAGCTACTGGCTTGCTGTTTTATTTCTCGTTCAGCGAACCGACTTTGTTCCAATTGAACGGTCAAATCATGGGGAAAGCTCATCCGGACTTTTCGTTCGGGGAGAAAAATGAAATTTTGATGCCAGTTTCTATCAACGCCAGCCTGGAAATCGACTATCTGTGAGTACCGCACGACGAACGACGAAACCGCACCTCCACTGTCTTCCCTTTGCAGGTACTCATCGAAAATCGATGGGAAACTGGGTTTCGTCGTCCCTTTCAACCACCAAGCCTACATCTCAGGAGTGGAAAAAAACATATTCACACGCCTGCCCGTTTATTCCCACCTGGACATTGATTTCCAACAAACAACTATAGCCACTAAATTCAGACCGCTGGAATTTATCGATAAAAACAAAATGTTTGAGTGCAGTTCGAAAGCATACACGGAAGTACACGATATGAGATCATGGAGCTTTGACGACTTACAAATATTGCAAATTATGAAAACCCATAACGTAAAAACTTATTGTTTTTTGCACAAATTATTTGTTTTTAATGAGGGTTTTTTTCAGTTTAAACAAACCTTCGGCAGCAAGGCGATTGGCTTCACTTTTGACTTACAAATGGAAGGACAGCACGAAGCTTTTGACCTCGGAAAGATATTTTCGACTGTAAAAAGAAATAACGGGTTGTTGAATCTTCTCTACCCCTCTTACGAAGACGCGATAGACAATCACAATTTGACTCTTTCTATCAACTCTAAAATGGTAAAGACGAAGTTTGCAAAATTACTGTTAACTTATAGCACCAAGATGAAAGTCAATGATGGTAAGAAAAAGTCTGAAAAAGAAAAGAAAAGCTATACGGAAAATGGTAAATTCGAATTGCCGACCGAAAGGTCACAACGATTTGAACAGTTGCACAAAAAAGCTTCCGATGGAATTACAGGTAAACTGAAATAAAATTCACGCTGAACGGTATAAGGTCATTTATTGGGTCCTTCGTTCGCGGATTTGTTGAATTACTCAAACGCGTTCGCCATTGCGTTATCTTTAGTAAGGAAGGAACTGACTTTCACTAGAAATGATAAATGGTGGAGTGAGTGTGTTGTTCAATCTTTTTAAAAAGATAGATCCTAGCTTATAGGTCATCATCAGGTTGAAGGAGTTCTACAACCACGTCTCTCGACATATCTTGCAATCCATGTCCTTCAACCTGATGATGAGTTATAAGCTCTAAATCCGGATCGTTAAAATAATTTACTGTGAGTAGGAACTATCTTTTTAAAGATATTGACTGTCACTACGTCCGAGTAGTGGTTTAATGTCATTTGATCGGTTATCGCTAGGGGCGTTGCAGTATTACAACAAAGAACTACATGCAATAACAAATATAGCAATAAAAAGTGGATAAAAAACAAGCCCTATCATAAAACTACTAAGAAATGGACATATTCACACACAAAAGATACCTCAGACTTCTTCAACAAAATCGGACTAAAAACACAATAAATAGCGACAGTAACACAAATAAAGTACTAAAAATAAACACAAACAATAACGGTTCTTTTTAAAAAAGATAGTTCCTACTCACTGTAAGATGTTTTGCAACGATCCGGATTTTGAGCTTATTAGCTTAGCTTATGTCATCATCATCCACTTTTGCAATTCATGTCGAGAGACGTGGTTGTAGAACTCTTTCAACTTGATGATGAGCTAAGGGCTCGAAATCCGGACTTACTGTGAGTAGGAACTATCTTTTTCAAAAGGAGTGAACACAGAACTCACTCCATCATTCATCATTTCTGACAATAACGGTGTATCATCACATGACATTGCGGAGACATACGTTAGACAGACTGGAATGAAAGGAAGAGATCGAATCAAAGAACATCTCAGATCGTTCAGAGATGATGGACGAAATTCAAATTACGCCACCCACTACAACACAATCACGAACCAAACCCAACAGAAACAAACATGACATTAATACACAAAGCGGATAAAACGACGAAGAATCAATATACTGGATAACTTAGACAACAATCAAATAACAATTAAAGACGGAAAACTTGGCATCTGCAAACAAACTCACTCTCACACCGCCAAATACACTACATAACAAAAAATGCAAACGTCCAGAACAAAAGAAGTAGAAAAAATATTGCCGATCCGAACCTTGATATTCTTGGCTTTAGCAGCAGTTACCGCACTATTAATCAAATGATAATCCGCAATAGCAGTAAAATCATTATCATTAAAGTTTATCCGATTCACCTTAGTATCATTGCATGCTCCCAGGGCTATTATGGGGCTATTTGTGTTTGTGGTTATGATGCTTAATTTAGGTAAATCAGCTGTTGATCAAGAACGTGCGGTATCAGCCATCTACCTGGATTGGTCCAGCTATCCTTTACTTAGCGTTATTGTTTATGCTATTTTTTCGATAAAAGTAGTGAGATCTGGGGGTTAAAGTAAACATCGAAATTAAAACAATAAAAAAACTAACAACGCACAAATAATATTCGACATCTCCAGGACCACGCCTCCTACCGCAAACGACCGACGTTCCCAATGAAATATCAACTCTACTCGGACAGTGCCAGAAAGTTCCTCACTGAATCCCAAAACGCGTTTGAGTAATTCAACAAACCCACGAGCGAAGACCCAGTAAGTGACCCTTTACAGATTCAACATGTGTTCACCAACACCCATCATCAACCCCAAAAACAAAATTTAAAAAAAAAATGTTACAGAAGGTCAATCGACAATTATCGATGCGGAACTTTCATTTGACGAATATTGCAACTACGTGGCAACCGGTGCATACTCAAGCAGTCCGGTCTCTGAAGACTCAAGGTTCATGATGTGGCTTCATAAATTTTCATCAAAGGGCGTTAATCAAATGAAGCCTTTCCAGGTAAATTAAAATGGTTTCGTTAATTAAATATGACAAAAACTTATAGACTTGATTTCAGGTTTCGTTGCAAATCGATTCTAAAATGCCAAAAGTCGCTTTGAGCAATTACGAACAAGCTCTTAATTCCGACCCGACGTCATTCGTCAACGCTTGGTTGAGCTACGGACAAGACGAAGAATTTGCAGAGATTTCAACCAGAGTAAGATTTTAAAAACAGTAACCTTTAAATCATAAAGGACATAAATTTTAATTCTAGGGTATTTTGAAAAGGAGTACAAAACGGTTGGAATTCCTTAAAAACCATGCGGTATCGAAGGCGTGCGTGAAAAACATGAAAGTGGGCAACAACATCCAACCAGTTTGCCGTAACGTAACAAACAACGCAAACATTTTAGATCAGTACGAATTCGACGTCATGCACAAGAATGTGCCTGAATGTTGCAAAAACATGGTGTACAAGGCGTACTCTCTGGCCCGTCACTTAGCGTATCCGAAAATATCTGAAAACAACCTGTACACCAGTAAGGAAAAGATCAGCTTTGGAATAAGTTTCGCGCCAAATCTGAAACACCTTGACTTTTCCATCGAAACGCCCGACTTCTCGACCAATTTCCAAAACATCGAGGTTGGCCAAATGCTAATTCCTTTGGTGGTTTCACATCCAGAATACAGCCGTATTGAGAGATTTACCCAAAAATTGTTACCCTCTGGTACGTAAATCCGTTGACATTAACCGATATTATTTTATAACTTATAAACAATAAATTTACATCGCAAATTGGGTATTGGGAGGCTGCTGTGAAAGCTTAAGTCGTCCCTTTTACGTATTAATACTTTCAAGTCATCAGTGACTCATTTATTAGCCAGCTAACGCACAGATGCAGGAGTAACTTAAGGAAGTCTCTTACGATACATCCTCTACACAGTATACACCCAGACATTTTAGAGAATTACATTTTAGAAACTACCTTTACCACTATGCCTCCCTTCAACTTGGTTCAAGCAGTGGAAAATGAAAAACGTAAGCATGTCGCTTCAAGCTCCGAAGAATAGAATATATATAAGAAGAATATTCATCAATAGTATCCCTCTCCAACCTGCTAAATCCGATACCACTTGAGCTAAACGACTGTGGAATTCACGCACTCAACTTCAGACTTTTTAAAAGACTGTTGGTCAAACTAACAAAACGAACTCTACAAAATACACGACTCATTCAGATACCTTTACTTGATTGATACTTCATACCTCTCTCCATTCTGAGGCCCATTTCGACGGCAACGAACTTTGAGGTTCAACCAACGTTCCGACCTCCAACATATCAAATCCTTACAACCCAAAATCCTCCGAAACATCCTTCCTATGTATCCAATCATACTATTCCTATTGAATGACCTTGAAGCCAAAAAGGGTTATAAGAAATTTCCTAAATAAATATCCTACAATAGTTCGTGTCGGAAACATTTCACCCCGCATCCTCCAAGTAGCCTCCCTGATGACTGAAGCGTGACTGCGCCCTCCTAACACAAAATTTCCTTTTCCTTTTCTTGACTTCTATATTCTTTGCCGACTACAAGACTGTATGTAAGTTTTTTTGCGAATAAATAACCCATGACAACAGACAATGTAATAAACAATAAAATTGGAAACTGGTGGCAAATCTTGACTATCTCAGGCCCCAAACCGAGACATGGGTCTATTAAATAAATAAAAATGAACGCAAGTAAAAAGTAGTCATAAATAATGAGAGCTCCTTGATATCACCTTTACTTTGTTACTTCTAAAAAGACCTAAAAACAATTTCCTGAGTCTGTCCGTGAGTCAAAATTTCATAGTGAATACGAAAACTCCCTGGTTGGAACCAGTGAATTGATATACTCACTCCACCGAAGACATTGAAAAGAAAAGGTTTTTGTGTGATTTTATTTTTGATCTTTTTTATTTCAGCTGTGTGTTCAGTCGATGAAAGAATGATGACAACATTTGACAACAGACAATTCCATTATAAAATGGGAAACTGCTGGCAAATCTTGGCTATCTCGGGCCCCAAGCCTAGACATAGACTAGATAGTACTTCCGTCCGATATTTCCAAACTGATAATGAGCAAATAAGCATTGCCGCCCGTAAATCCGAATCCAATCGAAAGGTTAAAACAGAATTTTTTTGTATAAAAATGTAGTTATTACATTTACATTGACAATTTTCAGGAATTGGTTGCCATATTCGGCGAGAACGTTATCGAAGTTAAACCCAGGAAGCATAAAAAATCCAACTACATCGTTCAAGTTAATAATAAACAGGTGAAACTATCAGAGAAGTCTGAACATATTCTAACGGATGATGAGGATAACGTCATTCTAAAAATCGGCCTTTCTCCCAATGGCTTCATTAAAATAGAAGGGCCGCGATCAGGGATGAAGATAATTTACGACGAGTCTCGTGTTGAGCTTTACGCGAGCAATCGTCTAAGGAACAGAATCAGAGGCATCTGCGGTAACTTCGACGGCGAGGATTCTAACGATTTCATGACGACCGACAGGTGCATTTTGAAAGATCCTCTTCACTTCGTCACAAACTACACGCTCCATCAGAACTGCAGTGACCCACGAGTCAAAGAAATGTCGGACAAAGTCTCAAAGATCCAATGTACTACCGAGACCGACAAGATGAGCAGAGCTGTGTACGACGAGTACGGTAATAAGCTTTCTTTGATGTACGACATCAACAGAAACAGGGAAAAACACGATCAAACTCGCTCTTGCAAAAGTCATATTGTGAGAATAGTCGAACCGCAGGGTAAAGCGTGTTTCAGCATCAGGCCGAGATTGAGGTGCAGATCGCATTGCAAAGCGACTAGAGAAATCGAAGAAACCGTCGACTTCCATTGTTTCGAAAATAATCTGGTTGGAAAGCAATGGATTGAAATGGTCAAGAAAGGAGGAAATCCAGGACCTAAAGATGCCAATTACAGAGAAAAAATAAAGTATCCAGAAGATTGCGTACCTAAATAAATGGATATTTCAATTTGAATATTTCTTTATAATTAACCCAAACCCTTTTTTATTTTGTTTGTTCTTTTTATTTACGACTACAAAAATTGGATTAAATAAATATTTCCTTACTCTGATTGAGTCGAAGGTCCCGGGACCCCCCTTTCGCTTTAACTGTCAGGATTTTCTGGTAGGGTTGAAATTGTTAGCTGTTGTACTGGTGTATGCTGATTAGGTTTTTATGACGGGTTTTTGTCTTATACAAAATTCGGTCTTGTACAAACGGGATATGAAGGTCATTAAAAATAGTGTAATTTTAAGCATAAAAGACTGAGAATTTTGGATTGCGTACATTGGAGACGTTCGGAAATAGGATTTTTCGTTTAGCCCCATAATTCACATTCATTGTCTTGTAAATTAAAAGTTTGTTTTCAATGCTTAATTTTGATCGAGGGTCAAGTAATTCAAACGTCGATTTCTTTTTGTCTTTTTAGTCTTGTATTTCAATATATTCTGTGGAAAGTTCCAGTTGGTAATGGCCAATGGGGTACCATTTAGGTTCACTGGAGGACAGATACATTTGCACGAGGGTAAATTGATCCATAATCCTTTAGTTCGTTTTATTTCCATTTTTCATTTTGTGAAACAAACCTCCAATTCATTTCAGTGTGTATGGAATGGTCCAAATTAAGATGCGTAAGAATCGTTGTAACATTATAGAAGGTATATCTGAACTGTATATTTAAAAAAAAAGACCACGAATGTTTCCTTGAGCCTTCCATTTATGGCCCTTCCAGAAGCGCAATCCAAAAAGGTAGGTATATGGCTGGAAGCTAATTGAATGAGGAACTTTTGAGGGAATTTGCAAGGTTCCAGGAGTCTGTATTGATTAACAGTTACCAATCCAACATTTGAAAAACGTCAAAATTTCAACAATTTTCTTTTTTGTGAATTTTTCGTGCAGAATGTTTTAATCGATTCTGCAATATAAATAGGTTTCCTTACAGCAAATTTAACATTCTTTCAGGGGATACAAACCAGATTTTTCTACAATCAGTAATTCTGAAGTTTATAAGCAATTTAGTGGACCTAAGTAGAAAAATTAAAAAACACCAAAAATCTGAAATTACTTCTTTACCGTCGAGATTTTGACAGGGGTTTATAGGAACTTTTTTGTTGCATATAAACACCTGAAACACCTGAAATTTTCGATACTTATCGCCAGTCACTATATATGGCGGAATATTTCTAAAAAATACACCATCGACCCTAATTAGACTAGTATGTTATTGTATGCAGGTTGATGGAGGAATATTGAGTACCCCAACTACTAAATAGAATGAATACAATAATATATAGGTGTGAATGTATTTATTTGCGTGAGTGCGTGTTGAGTGTATATTGTTGTATTTCGCAAGCGCTCGGGGCTGAAATAACCAAGCTGTCGGATGGCCCTTTAAAAAAACAATAATAATATATATTAAATAATCATATCAACGGGAGCCTGTGATGCAACCAACCTCGAAGGTGCAGTGTCAATCCGCTTTATTGATCAACACTTTGTTTATGTAAGTAAGAATTATTAAGTATCATAAATTGTGATTTTAATAATTAAAACTAAAAATCTATTTTAAAAATGTTTAATTAAGTATAAGAGATTCTTTAAATGGACTATGATTTTCATATACATGTTTACATTCTGGCGGGATGATGACGTCATGTGGTACAGTGTCAATTTGCTTTATTGATCAACAATTTGTTTATGTAAACAAGATTTAGTAAGTATCATAAAAGGTAATTTTAATAATTAAAGCTAAAACTCTATTTTAAAAATATTTAATTAAGTGTATAAGAGACCCTTTAAATGTACTATGATTTTCATACATTTACATTATGGCGGGATGATGACGTCATGTGGTGAATGCCCTCACCCCCTTAGAATTATTCTCTTGATGTTCGTTTATTGTTGTAAACAAATTTTACCTTCTGCTTTTTTTTCAGTTTGATGGATTGCTAATTAATTGAATTAATCAATTATTTAGACGAAAGTCCAGTACATTTAAGGTTAAATTAATCAGAAACCAACATCAAATTTGTTGGCAAATAAATATCCAGATATGGAGCCGTCTGAGAAAAAAACTGACAGGAAGAAGAAGAAGATTAACGAGATGAAACGAAAAGTCGCAAATATGACGTATGTCCCTTTTTATATTGTTTATCATTACCGTTTCATACATAGAGTCGTTGAATAAGGCCGTAAAAATCATAAAAAGCACAATTTTCCCTGTTTCCATTTCCAGGAAAGAGCAGATCAGAGCAGCTGTCGTCAAGAAGAAAGAATGCAACGCGAGAGCAATGCAGATAGTCGAAAGGATGATAGAGCCCAACGTCGAAGAAGTCTGGCTTGTAGAGAATGTAAAACATTTTTTTCGCCAATGTAATATCAAAACTTGTTAAAACTGTCAAACGCCTCTTTCAGCTGATTTACATAAACCAGTCTCACTTCCAAGACGCAGTCGAAGAAAGGGCGATAGTCAAGTTCTGTGGCTACCCACTTTGTGACAGGGTCCTTAAAGACATCCCGCTGAAACAGTATCACATATCGACAAAGCAGAACAAGGTGTTCGACATCACCGACAGAAAGGTGAGAAATACTCCTAGTCACACTTTAAAATGTGATTTAACATTTTCGTATTGTAGAACTATTGCACCAACAGCTGTTACCGAGCAGGGGTCTACTTGAAAGAACAGCTTTTTACGAGCCCTCTATGGCTCAGAGACTGTGAAGACCTTGTTGAATATAAGCTCTTACAGCCTCATAGTGAAAGGTAAACGATATTAAAAATAATAAACAACTACCAATAATTAACAAACAGTAAGATTAGAAATTCCGAAAAAAATCTATTGAAGGGCCCTGCCAAGCTGCAAAATGCATAGCCAGAAAAAAAATTAAAGTAAGAAATAAGTAAAGTACAGTCTACAGAAGGGCTTAACAACCAACCATCCATTGGGTATTGTGGGCAAGGTGTTAAAAATCTTTTCAATACATTTTTCATATCCTTATCAATTAAAAAGCCAAGAACTCTGCTGGGGTTCGAACCCAGGATCGCTATCGTGCCAAATAAGAGTCATAAAAACGCTATAAAAAAATTTTTTTTTATAAGTTGAGTAGGTTTTGAGTAAATCAAGGGATACACTAGTAAGTAAAAAATAAAAATAAAAAATAGATCAACGAACTATATCAAGTGGCTGGTTTTGAGATCGGGGACTTTGTTGCTGACACAGAGTTGAAAACACTCACAGACTTGTTGCCTGATTCTTACAATTTTGCACCTTTGATATATTTTAGATAGTATGTATTTTATGAATATTTTCTGTGGGTGGAACACATTCCCTTTTTTGGAAGATCTGATGGAGTGAGCTATTGGACTGGATTAGGAATGATGAATGTATTAACAGTAGTGGGTGGAATATTTGTTCTTGGTGCTGAAGAAAATTGAAATAAAAGAAATTTATTTGCATTAATTTTGTTTCGTCTGTCTTTACAATTTACTGGTGAGAGGTTGATGGACAACCTCTTCCTGGAAGCCGTGGTCATCAAGGAAGAGCATTAGTGAGAGCCCCTAACCATCGCGGTTATTGGTTGGAGAATTTCATAAAAACTACACTCAAAGACAAAAAAATTCCGGACACTTGTATTTATTTATTTTACATGATAACTAGGTATAATGTTAATAATTGACATAAAATGTAAACACAGCATTAATGACTTGTTTACTTTTAAGGTGTTATTAATCCTTTAACGTTCTTTAGATTTAAAAAAAAAATCAGTTCAATTTCATCCTTTCCAGAGCCAACATGTTAAGTGAGCTAATCGGTTTTTAAATTGTTTTCTTTAACAAAACAATAAATTTGAGGGTTTTTTTCTGAGGGTATTTTAACTACAAGGTTATATGAACCCCTTGGGGTGCCAATATTTTGAGGGAAAAAACATTTGTATGTAGGGTTTGAATGCAGAGCCGCTGGATTTGAACTCAGGACCTTTTCCTTACAGTGATGATCTCTGTTTCAAGGCCTAAACCATTGGACCACCAACGCCCCTATATTTTTCTTCTCAAAAGCAAAGTTTAAGTCAAAAGATCTCACCCCGGGCAGATGTACATATACTTAATTAATTACATATGATTTTTTTTAAATGAAAAATTTGAATCACAGGTGGGATTGGACCCCACGACCTTTGTCTTTATTAATTTTTAATTATTTTTTTTAAGCTAAAAGGAGTATATCGATAATAATGGGCCCTTTATTATTGTTTTTGTTTATTTACTTTTCTAAGATGTATTATCAATAGCATACTTAATTATTTATACTCATGTAAAACCACAGATTATTTTAAATTTATATAACAAAATTCTTATATAGGTAAAGATTTTTTTTTTTTTATTAATTGGTCAACTTTCTTTTCTTTTTCTTTTAGGGGAAGTTCTGGTTTAGAAATAGATTTAGGAAATATCAAACCTTGTTCTGTGAACATTCCTGTACATCACGACTTGATCAAAAGTGAAATCATTTCTCAAGACATTGATGACTGTCCAAAACCTGACACGGAAGATATTGAAAAATGCGACTTTGGTGAAGTTCTGTATGATTCTGAAAACCAAAAGGAAGATGAAAATAAAGCACCATGTGGTTTAAGCATGCCCGACCTCGGAGATCTGAATGACCAAGAAGTTAAAGAAAGCAACGATAACAAATTAAAAGACAAATTAAATAATAAACCTGAAAATAGCGCTGTAGGTAATGTCATTGTGGAAAAGCCATTGAGCGAGGTGAAAAACAAACTTTCCGACAGCAGAAAATCGAAAAGAAGGGCTACAAGCACATCTCCAAACCCACAGCCTTCATTACCTATAAGCATCCGAGTCGAGCAAAACTTTACAACCTGGGTCACAGTCGATACTCTTATCTTCCTGCTCGGCAAGGAAAAAGTCAAGCAGATGTTTTTTGAGTTCGGTGAGCCTCTTAACGAGAACGATTTCAACTCGACGCTCAAAAACACTTACATATTTGAAAGGTACAGGGAAATTTGTTATAAGCTGAATATAATGGAGCTAAAAGGCACAAAAATCGAATTGCCCACAAAGCCCCTTCCCGATTATGACCAGTTGAAAAAAGAAGCGGAAAAGATTGAAATCAAAGTGAAGAATTTCTTCAAAGGTGATAAAATCTCCTTTGCACCAGTTGATGAAAATGAAGAAGACGAGGGAAAAAAGGAAACAGATGATGGTAAAGAAGTCCTCCCACCTATCCTGCCTTTAATCGACAAGCACAATGTCATGAAAATAAGAAGACAAATTTTATTGGATCGGCTAAACAAAACGTAAGTTGTTTTTTTTCATGATAAAATGCATAAATTTAACTTTTACACCAATTTCCAGTTTACCAGACATTCAAAGTGCATTAAGTCTGAACCAGTTCAACCTCAGGAAAGATACACAAGAATTCATAAACACACTGGCCCTCACTGCGAACAATATCGTTATGAAACCAACGGAATGGAACCTCCTATGCATTATACTTCTTAGATTGTGAGATTGCATATATCATTTTTTCTGCACAATGTTTTTCATTATATTTAGTATGTTTTTGTTAAATATATTTTTTTTCAGATTTTCATTACAGAACGAGTACCTGAACTACGCATTCATCTCACCCACTACGCAGAAAAGGATAATCAACCTTCTTCTTGCCTACAACCTTGATTTAACATACCTCGAGCGTCAGCTTGTAAACATGACCAACCTCGAACAGATAATTAAAAATAGCCAATAAGTATCAATTTACCTATTAATGAAAATAGTATTAGTTGGACTTTTGTGATATTGTAAATATTTTTCTTTTTTTATTTGTAAGGTTTTTTTAGATTTTTCATTTCTTCGTTTTACTACAACTATTGTTAAGAGAGTTGTTTGGTTTGTTTCTTGTATAGTGAATGTATTTATGAAATATGTTATTTTATGACGAATAAATTCTCAACTACCTTCATTACAATTGATGTTGCTCTATAAAATGTATATTTTTAACATTTTGTAATTCTATTCTTTCCTAAAAACCTGCTTTTTTATTCACCGAACAAAAATAGAGACGTCTTGTTAGGTTGTACTGTAATTAAAAAGATTTTGGATAATGTGAATTTATTTCATCAGTGGAGAAAAATTTAACAAAAAAAAAATTTAAAAATATTTTATTTAATATTTTGTAAATAACATTTTTAAAAAAATCTCAACATTTTTATAGACACAAATAAACTATAATATAACCAACAAAACTACTATATTGAATAAACAACTATGTATAATTACTTTACTTCCTATACATTTAAAAGAAAACCATTAACCCTATGAACAAATCCAAATAAAGGTTCAAGGCACATAGGTAAATGTAAATTCACGCAGAATTTATGGTCCCTTTTTAAAACTATAAAAATATGTTATCACAATGAAGAGAAAATAATTTTATGTTAAATTAAATTACATCTAAAGTATTGAGCTGTGGTTTAATAACAGGCTTTCTGTCTACAAGGGGTAATGCCTCAAGGCGAGCTGGCTTGCGGTTGTTGGAATCTACAAAAAATTATTCAGATTCAATTCAGATTTTTTTTTCTTTTTTTTTAATTATGCCTTACCAACCCACCCGTTGATCTGGCTTTGCGTACCAGACCAGGAATGGTTGAGAAAGCTCTGTGGATTGTTCTTGAAAGAAGACAGGGTGTTGTGGATAGAATTTAGAGATCCCTGGAGGTTCAGACCTTTTTGACCATAAATGTAACCTAAAATTAATTTATTTGTTGTGAATTTGACTCCAGGCTAAAGGTGCCGATTTACCATTTGCTCTTGCGACATCCTGCTGCGCTTTAATCAACAATTCAGTCGCCCTTTTAGGCTTGAAGTAGTTTCCAGCAAAATCCTCTTCTTCGTTCAAATCCAACTTCTGGAACAATGGTTTTATTGTCATAATAGTTGAAATAAACAGTAATTTTTTTTAAGTGAGAGAAATATTTACAATGCTAAAATTAGATAATGAAATTAAAAAAATTGTGTAGAGCAAAGTGCATTTTCAAGCATAAAACATACAAAATTAATTAATAGAGAGAATTTTTTTTCTCCATAAGTGAACGCTTGTTTTTAACTTTTCCTTTTTTATTTAATTTTATTAAATAATAAAATAAACTTCATTTTGTAATGTTATTAAACTTAAATTAAATAGTTTTCAAAATAGTTCGCGTTGAAAATTTCAGATTTTAAGAGTGCGCATGAGGCAATATTAAGTGATTTATCACTGTTTACAAAAATAATAATGATGTGTTACATGCTGTTCTGAAGGCGGCACCAAGATCAAATCCCCAGATGTTCCGTCTCGACCTAGTGCATGCAAAATGACACAAAAATTGTTACAAGCATATAACGATAAGTGCACGAGTGCAAATTTTCTCTTGGACCACAAGCATTTTTCTTTATTTTATTTTTTTTTTTTTTAATTTAGTTTCATAAAACATTTAATGTGCTGGCAAAACAGTGAGAATGAACAACTGGCTTTTTTTAAATTTATCAATTACTTGCCTGTAGCCTACCAGGAGCTGTTTGGGATGAATTTCTCCAAGATGATCCTATTTGTAACATTAACCCTTGTTTTAATGTTTGTTAACTTAATTTTAAAATTGGCTTACTTCAAACCCAAACAGAAACTTTTTTTAAGATTATAATATGTATTATATTTCTCTCAATTTTTAAACTTGCACTCGTTTAAAAAACAAACAAAAAAATTGTTCATCTACATAAAACATTGGCTTCTTAAAAATGGGTATTAGTCTAAATAAAGGTTTATTTAAGTATCAATAATTAAGCATATCCATTTTCAATGAAGACAGTTAAATATTAAAATTTATCAATTTGATTTTATCTCACCTGCAGGTGGTAATTTTGTTCTTAAAACTGTGAAATCCGGAACAATCCAGCACTGTAGGTCATCGTCCCATTTAGATTCATTTTTTATTGATTCAATTGAACTGAAAAAGACACTACTATTATTATTTTTCATTGAAATTTAAAAACTCATTTCATACAGGTCTTTCTGTAAAAACAAATTGGAAAAAAGCTTTTTTTTATCTGCTGTTTTGGCTTTTTCAGTACAGTAGACTCACGTTATCCACACATTCGCTCATCTCTGGTTGCCCCCCCCCCCCTAGTTGAGTCTTAGAGGAGAGCGGCAATGGTCAATAGAAAAATTTGGAGAAATATTCCAACTAGCATAAAAGTTAAAAGACAAAATCATAGAATATGATCCAATAGTGGAACATCAGCATAACACGACTGCTAACTCAAGCAATGGACTCATCAATAAAATTTCCTGCAGTTGAAAAAGTAGACAAAACATCCTATAACGATGTTCTTTGAGAAATCTAAATGAACAACCTTTGTTGATTTATCACCATTTACATCTAACTGTGGAATTTAATTTACCTTGTTTTATAATTATCTGTTTTAGGTCTCTAATAATTTTTTCTCATTTGTTTCAATGTCATGCATAGGGCATGCCTGTTCATACATGTATGTACGTATTGTTTTCCAGAGTGGAATAAACATGTACATAAGATCATACAAAACAAGGTAAATCGTATGATTATTATGCAGATACTATTCAGTTTGAAAAGTTAAATTAAATGACAGGGCTCACATTTGATCAGGGGAAATTAGACAAGTCAAGGGCATTACGGACCTCCATGGGAGCATGAGAGCCGGAGTAAAGATTTTCTCTCTGTGTCGGAGATTCAGAGGAGTTAGAACTGGTACTAAGCCCTCAGAGAGAGAGAGAGATGTTCCTGAGAGTCCTTTTCTGGATCGGTAAGTAATGGTGGTGGTAATGGTAATGGTGATTTCGTTAATGGTGGTTGCTGTAACCTGGTTTTGTTTCGTGAGCAAAGGAGATACTAAATTCATGAGCATTTATATTTATACCTAACAACCATCTTTGTACCATCAATTTTGCTTTACTGGGTGGTATGGGTTGAATTAGGTTAGGTTAGGGACAGGTTGGATTAGGTTAAGGTAAACTAAAAATAATTGATCAGCTTTCAAAAGATGCACTAAGAAGTTTAAGAGCAATGTAGAGAAAATCTAGAAGTACATTATGAAAAAAAATATATATGAAGAAATAAAATGCCCATGAAAATGTCAGTTCTTTGTGAAAAACAATATACCAAAGTTTAAAAAAAATATTTACCATATACAAATAAATATCATTCCTTTTTTAGTTTTCATTATAATTAACATGTTAAAGTAAACCATTCTAAAAAAAAAATTATTGGTCAATTTTTTTGTCACAAATGTGAAATGTGACTGTATGAAATGTGTTAAACTTTAGTTATTCGTCAAAAATTATTTAGTCACATGCATCAATCAACTTTTGATATTGGTAAATCATAGATAAGATGAACATGATAAAAAAAAAGTAATAAAAGGAAATAATTCCTTTCATACAAGAGGGCTTAATGTCTGACTACTTTTTGAGTGTTGTCGACGAGGGGTCAGCCTCCTTTATAATACTTTCTCCATATTATTCACAATAAAAATTCTATGGTCTAAGCCAAGATTTGAATTCAAGATCACTACTGATGCTAATAGAGTCAGACCCCCTTACCACTAGACCAAAAATAAAGTAATTCCTGTAAAACAGGAGAGCTTAACTTTCAACTGCCCATTGGGTGTCGGGTCAGAACTACTTTACATTACTTTTTCCATATCATTCTCCATAAAAATTCAATGGGCTAAGCTGAGATTGGAGCCCAGAATAGTTAATGCGGCAAATGGAGTCCAATGTCCTAACTGTTGCCATGGTCTCCTGGGCAGGGTTAGAACCAAAAACCATATGTATTATTTATTTATGTGATGCATACGTTGACCACAATTTACCAACAATCAAACCTAAATATATGTAACTATTAATATTTTAGTACCTGTAGTTTGAAGGTCCTTTTAGGTTAGGAATAACTTTATCCAAAATTTGATTGTGCAGCATTAGCTGTCTGTCGAGCCTTCTTATTGTCTCTAAGTAATCGGTTCTCTCTGTTTCAAATTCACTCTGTAGATCTGCAATCTCCCTCTCCAAAGATCGAATCTATGAATCGCAGTTATTAACTCAAAATTCACATGATGGAAAGTAAACTGTACCTTATGCCGGTGTTTTTTGAGGTTTTCACTTCTTGCCGTGAGCTGGTCGTGCATATCGTCGTACACTCCAAGAACCAAGCTACTGTGCTCTTCTTTGGCCAAGACCTCGGCAAGAGCTGCCAGTCGTTTCTCAGCGGCCTTTTTCCTCCGTGCCCTTCTCTCTTTGAGCCCTTGGTCACCCACTTTTTCTCCACCGACAAGGCTTTTTTGAAGTTTCACCAATCTAATTGCAAAAATATTATTTACACAAAAAAGAAATAAAATATAATTATTGATTTATATACCTTGCCAATATTTGCTGTTGAGATGCCTTTGATATGCTCTGATTATTATTTTGGCTGAAACAATTTATCAGACATGTACATATATACATCATTCTTAATTTATTTTTTTTTTAAATACCTATTTTCTTCATTATCTTTGTTTAAAGTTTCATTTACTTCTGTGCATGTATCACCAGCCATTACTGTCAGTTTTGTCTGCTTAAACACCGACTGAAAATAAATCATATATCCTTATTTTTAATGGGATAAATATTAATCATAAATTACCTTTTTATTTATATCTTGTATTTGACTGTCATACTGCATTTTCAGGTTTTCTAGTTCATCCTGAACTTGGTTCCTGGAAATATTCAAATCTGTAAATTGTGCCTTCATAGCAGCAAGTTCCTTCTCGTATTCTATTCTGATCTTTTCCCGTTCTTGTTCCAAAATCACTTCATCTACTGCACAAATTAAAAAACAATTTAAGAAATAAAAAAGATTTTAAAAATTATCTATGGTTGAATAAATCAAGGAACTACTTACCGACAGCTGTCATCTTTGGCTTGGTAAGCATCTCTTTCAGCCTTTCAATCTCCTCCTGGTACTGTCGAAGCATTGCATCTTTTGGATCTTCGTTAATGTGTGGCTGATTTTTGATATTCTTAGCTCGGTTTGCATATCTCAATGTTGAAAGAGTCTCATCGTAATTATTGTCAGCAGGAGACAGACAAGCTAACATTAAAGTCTTAGTATTCCCTCCTAAAGAATCCTATTACAAAAAATTAAATACTTTTTTAAATTGATCATTAGACTATATTTCACAAAAAAATCATTAATAAAGGGTTCCTTTTACTTGAAGCAATCTTGTTAACTTGGAATCTCTATACGGTATATGTTTTGCTTTGCCATCCACAAGTGCTGATATCACATTTCCAAGGGCAGAAAGAGAAAGATTGATTTTGCTAGCTTCTTTCAATCTGTCACCCTGAGCACCTGTTTTTTTATTCATTAATAATCAAAATAATATAAAACAAATGCAATTTTATTATTTTACCTGTTTTGGCTTGTCGTTCACTTCCTGCTAAATCAACAAGACTTAACTTGCCGCGCTTAATAGACCCCTCGTTAAGTCCATCAGTGGCCATCATTTCAACAGATATACTAAATATAGAATGACTCCTTGACGAGTCTGCGTTCATAAGAGTCGCTCCGACAGATCTGTTAGCCCAGCCTTTGCACATGAGGTTCTCACAGTCAGCCACACATCCGACAGCGTGCCAAGTTAAATCTTAAAATTTTATAAAAGATTATTGATCTTGTGAACCCTTCTAGTGCCATTACAATTAATACCTTGGACATAGACTCCTTTATCATGGCTTTCTTTGAGGTCAAGTTTTTGCTTGACATCAGGGCCGAGAAGGTCTCGAATCTCTTCATTGTATATTTCTAGATATGAAGCGAGTACTAAGTATTTAACATCTTGTGTCACGGATATCGCTTCAAATATATGTTCAAAAGCACGCGGTATGATCCCTCTTTGGCTTTGGGGCTCATTGATGCCCTGCATTGAAAAGCTCTTTCCACACCCTGTTTGCCCGTAAGCAAACACTGTGCTGTTATACCCCTCCAACACTCCCTATAAAAAATTTTAAATATTTTTTTTTAAATCTGAATGAATCTAAAACTGTAAAAATTTAAAAATAGATATACCTCAATAAGTGGATAAGCACTTTCATTATATATCTGTTCAGTCGTAGAACCGACAGAATAGACACCGTCAAATGTGAATGTTTTAGAGGGTGCAGAACTATCCGTAGGGTTCATTATAGAACATGAACACCGCTCCGAATCCATGACCACAACGCTCTGTAAATGCGTATTTCAATAATATATTTTAGGATATAATTCTGAATGTGTGCTTATATTAGTATTTGCTATATATATTTGGTTAAATCATTTAGATAAACACACTCACACTGAGAAAAAGAGGGATGGAGGGAGGGAGGGAAGGAGGGAGGGAGGGAGGGAGTGAGAGAGAGAGAGAGCAATAGATGGATATAAATAGAGATAGAGAGACATAGATAGATAAATGGAAAGAGATAGATAAAAAGAAAGAGGAAGAGAGTGCAGTAAGATAATGGGAGAGAGAAAGAAAGTGTGTGTGAGAGAGAGAAAGAGAGTGAAAGAGAATGAAATAATGATAGAGAGAAAAAGAAAGAATGAGGGAGAGAGAAATAGATTGACAAATAGAAAGAGGGAGATAGAGCCATAGATAAAGAGAGAAATAGAAAAAGAGAGGAAAAAGAGAAAGAGAGAGAGAGAGACAGAGAGAAAATGAGATAATGAAAAAGAGAGAGAGAGAGAGAGAGAGACGGAGAAAGAGATAGACTATATATGTAGAAAAATTGGATAAGTTAGTGGCTATTGAAATTGTACTGGAAATGACTTATGAATTTTATTGATTACAAACAGCAAAAATAAAACTTAAGCACATAATTTGAATAAAATAAAATAATTTTGACACAGCGCACATGATAAACGTCTATCTTTTTTAACGGCCAATTCTCAACTCCACTCGTTCTGCCTCCGGCAGACCTCAGGCCACCTCCAGCATATATATAATATTGTGAGACATAATCACCACAAAGATTGTGAGAAAAAGAGTGAAGGATGGAGGGTGCGAGAGGGAGAGGGAGGGAGAGAGAGAGAAATTCTGTTTTATCTAGGAGGCACAAATGGACAAAATTTTCGACTAAATGTTACCCAATTGATAGACAAATTGACTTTTTTACATAAGTCATACAGATATTCCTGAACAACATGGCTTCATGAAAAATAAGACAGTTTCTTCTAATTTATTAATCTATTAAAATTATATTGTTGGATTGAAGATATGAGACAAAAGGTACCAAACATGCATGGACACCCTAGAGGGAGCAGACTGCTAGGTAGACCACAACATAGATGGTTAAGCAACTTGGAACATCTTTTGGAGGTTTTAACTGCAAAGATGGATAACGGCAGCCAAAGATATGGAGAGGTGTCAAACAGTGGTATCTGGATGAGAATGACCTGACTTCTATGATTCAGATCCTGAGAGCCATCTATCGACAATGCTCTTGAGTCATGAGAACTTCTTTGCCGATCCGGCCAACTTTTTTATAATGTTTTTATTGCATTTTTAGTATCAGAGATCATGGTGATTAAGTTGACTGCCTTTCCATGACCCTATATGTCTGCCTTTTAATGCCCTTTATTCAACTAATTGGCAACACATTAAACATTGATAAATTTTCTGTTAATTTATAATATATTTTAAAGCAATATTTATTTCATTTTATTCTGTATGTTTTAGTTTTTAAAAAAATCAATTACCTACTATTTACATATGTATAGGTTATACAGTTTATTTGCTTGTCTTATTTGTTTTATGGGTAATAATTTTTTTTTTCATTTGTAATGTAGGCTATTTAACTTGTACTTGTAAATAAATAAAATATACAAAAGTGAAAGTTGCTAGTTTAAGTTTTGTGAATCTTATTACATTTGGGAAACCACATTCAATCATACGCCATATAAACAAACACATAGAGACGAAAAAAAAAATTTTTTTAATAAATAAAAACACCATCCAACAGAGGTATTTATTGATTTGCATATCTCATTGTCTTTTGTTTTGTCTAAATTAATGTATATAGACAAAAATATTGCCAAATGTTTCTCTTAACTGATCATGAAATTTGAATATTTGTTCTGAATATTTTTCCCTTTAATAACAATTAAAACAGGGTTTACAATTCTAAGCTGTATAGTAGGTCGACATAAATCAATTTATGCATATAAATGCATATTTACACTGCATCAGACTAAGTGTTTCTTTTTGTCTGCATAATAGTGCAAGTAGGTTGAAGCATAAAAGAGCACAATGCAATACGGCTGTTCAGGATCAATAATGTGCCTATTCAGTCTGATAAAAAAATACGAGTGGGTCAATGTCAGAACAACACCTTGTGACCTGTTCCCATTAATGGGCTTTTCCCTTTAGCCCACCACTTTTATACTTCAGCCATCACCCTTAACGGCTGTTGTAACAATGAAGATCAATATTGGTAACGCCGAAGGGGAAAACGTGTACTCTTTATTGGAACTGTTTCTAACTTGTGGACTTAGGTATACCTTGCATTTCAGGGAAATTTCCCTGCTGTTCATAGGTCGACATCTTACGATTACTTTAACACTCTCAGCCATATCAAGCAAAAAGTCCCTTCAGTTCTTCATGTAGTTCATTCATCCCTGAAATCAAAATAACAGAAATAATGAAAATTATTAGTCATATCATTACAAAAAAGTAGAATCAATTTTTAATTAAACTTCATTCAAATTTAGAGAATTTTTTTAAAATTTCATTTTTATTTTTTATGCAGTTAGCTTTGTTAATTAATGCAGATATGTTGTGAAACACCGAGGACAGATACAAGTAGATCAATTCATGCAAAATGGTGCTAAAGCATCAAGAGTTACCAAGCAACAGCAGGCCAAAACAAAGAATTGACCTTCAGCAAACGAGGACCTTAACACCGAAATCCGCCGTCCGTTCCGTAACCCATTAGATTGAATAAATTTACATAGCCAAATTAGTCATGCAAGATTAACTATTTTCTGAGAAATTGTCTTTTACACTCAGCCCTCAAAAGTGGAGTAACCAATAGTTTCTAAGAAAAAAAGACATTTCGAAGCTTTCGTAAAAAAAAAATATTATAATATTGTGACAATAAGCTGCAATGTATTTATATACCATCATCAGGGTTGATCTTTCTTATATTTCAATTAAATAGTAAATTTAAGAAGTAGGATATATTTATGATTAATTGTTAAACTGAAAATTTAAATTTAATTATTCTTTTTATATAAGGTTTTTGGCTGAGATGAAAAATTAGCGTCTCGAGCGGGATGAACTAATTTTTCATCTCAAACACTAACCTTAGATAAAAAGAATAATTAATTGGAATAATTAATATGGTCAATTATGACCATTAAGCAAATATGGATTAATTTCAATTTAATGTTAAAACATAAAACTTGTTATACTTTTGGAAAAGCTAAAATCCATTTGAAATACATAATAATTAAGCTACTGCTGTCCTAAAAGTTTGGCAAAAGACTAGAAGCAAATTGACAAAACAGTTCAATAAACTCTTTTAATGTCAGCCATGTCCTTTGAACCTGTAAAAATCAATTATTGAAGAATTGTCAATTCACACTTTCAAATTTATTTCAAATTCGTCACAAAAATATATCGCCTGTGTGAAGTCTTAAGGGGATTTTAGTCGTTTTTACATAACGGTAAATGATTCAATTGATCAAGTATTGATTTGTTTTCCGTCGTAGTTAAATAATTGCATGTTCCGAGTTGACAAAAATAAGATACAATCTTGCCTCGTGGCACAAAACATACTTGATAGAGGCTTTAGTTGATATATAATTTTTGACCCAATCATTTCTATCTTACTTGTATTCAATTCAATTAATAGTGGTGAGATATATTGATTGAAATAAACATTTCTAATGTGAAAGGATAAATTACATATCAAGAATATAAAGTTTATTGGTGGAAGACCATTTAGTAAAAAAATGTTTACAAAATAAATCTTGAAAAAAAAATTAGTAACTAAACTATCAGTTATCTTTGTTATACGTGTTATACGTAAAAACTATAACTTTTGGAAAGTAATATATGTTGTTTCATACAAAAATAGGAAAAAATATAGATAATCATAGTTATCTGTTATTTTTCTTGTTTGGGTGCTTTTTTTAGAAGGTTCTTTTTCCACAATGTTTCGGCCTATTCTGACCATTTTCACATGGAACATTTATCCCAAAAGTATTACAGTTTCATACATTCTATTATATACATAGTCAATGAACAAGTTATTTAAAATATTACCTTTTATAAAGAGATTAACATCTTTTTTATTTTATTATATTTAAAACAGCTATCGATTGTTTATTAATTCAATGAGTTTAGTTTATTTATATAAGTAATAAAATGTATGGAATTGTAATACTTTTGGGAATAAATGTTCTGCTCCTGAAGTAGTTATAATGTTAGATCAAAAATAAGCTATGTAGCTTATTAAATATTTGAAAAAATGTGAGCGAGGTGATTTTTTTTTTTTTTAATAATTAACACAACTTTCCTTCTGAATAGGTATTGAATAATAGCATGATTTTGCTTGTATGTAAAACGTCTTAAAACAAGCTTCCATTTTTTTTTTCATGTTGAACTCTGGCTTTTTGGTTCGTTTTTCCTTTCTTCTTTTTCTAAAAATAAACAGCATTTTCAACTCCATCTTTACTTCAGGAAGAGTGCATTTCTCAGGGATGATCCATGAAAAAAAAATGAATGAAACAAATAATAATTCAGCATATAAAAGATCCAGTTAAGGCATAGAGCAACACAAAGTCAGTTTTTTCCTAGCTAAGTTCACAGAATAATTAATTAGACCCTGATTACTGAATGTTTTATTCCAAAAGTTTAGAAAGGAAAAAATAGACTTTGTGTTGTTTGATGACCTTAACTGGTTCTTTTCTACTCTTTTATTATTTATTTCATTAATTTTTTTTCCAAGGGACAAAATATCCACCAACTTCCAAGTTGTGATCCCTGAGATTTGGGCTCTTCTTAAGGTAAAGACAGAGTTGAAAATTCTGTTTATTTATTTTTAGAAAAAAAAGAAAGAAAAATAGTGAACCAAAATGCCAGAGTTCAGCATGAAAAAAATTGCTACTAGCTTATTTTAATACATATTTTTTTAATGTACAAGTAACAATGCAAAGTCTATTTTTTCCTTGCTAAACTATCAAAATAAAGTATTCAGTAATCAGGACCTAATTAATGTATTCCGTAAACTTGGCAAGGAAAAAACAGACTTTGCATCGTTCTATGTATGTTCTATGTATGTTTTAACCATCCCTAACCATCCCTTTAGAGGTAAACTATAGATACTAGGCGACATCCAGTTTTAAATAAATGTGGGGCTCTGACGGGGGCTATCCATCGGAATCATACAGATCCTAATAAAAGTTAAAAATAAAAAGAGCCTATTGTATCTCAAAAGGAAAAATAAAAGGAGAAAGAAGAGGTGCTATTAAAAAAAACCTTACAGATTAACCCCAAGCCTCTACCTATGGATGCTTTAGAAGGAACAGAAAATAGATGCTGCAGAGGCCATAAGATCCTCACAGTTTTGAATGTCCTGACTCCTGAAGAACAAAATTTAGAACAGAAAAAGAAGCCAAGCTTCAAAAATGGGTTAATTGCCCTAGAAAAATTCCCCTCTAGTTCTAGGAAGAAAGACTTCACTCGACTCATAAAAAGAAGATTAACGAAGGGAAGAAGCTCTGATAAAGTTCCAAAGGCCGGGCAGTGTCAACAGACCAAGAATGAGCAGAGAAAAAGAAGGTTTTTGAAGCACAGGAAAAGTACCTAAGGTACTTAACCGAAGTTCTTTCATTGGTGCCTTATGAATGCCACTTAGGAATATTGCCTAATCCAACGATATTTTTCAGTATTGAGCAGTTAGATAACATCAGGAAGTGTCTGTTGGAACAAATCCTAAAGGTGGAAACAGATATAAAATCAGCATTTAATGGCTTAAAATATATATAAAAATACATATAAAATAATATATAATAAATTAAGGAGGCGGTCCTGGATAATGCAAATGCCTGGTCACTCCCCTTTACTAAATAATAATAATATTTCTTACACAAAAAGAATTTTCTGATATGAATATAGTCCTTAAATAGCAGAATTGCCAAAAAATAAAAACAAATAAATACAGAATTCATTCTAAACGCTGACCTGTTAAAACATTCCATGTTTAAAAAAATCAATTGTTGAATAACATTTTTTTTCCAGTCATTAAACTGGATATTGTTGATATATTGTTATGGAATAATTTCCTGCCCGGGATGAGTGATAATATCTACCTTTGGCCTACTTTACTATAAAGTATTATGTCATTGTTCATTGATTTCTTGCAAATCGTCACTATAATCTTCTGCTTTTTATTTATTTATTTATTTTTTTTAATATATAGAATAATTCTGCACTCTCGGAGCAAAACTGGTTGACATTTGACGTTTCCAATTTTGCCATAAAGGTGCAAAATTGGTAAAAACGGTTAAAGAAAAAAAAACTTGTGCAATTGACATTCAAAGTTTAAAAAAAAGCATTTGAGTTTTTATAAATAAAATTAATGTAGAAATCAAAGGAAATTTATCCAGACCATTAAAAATATTGTGTGTGTTTGGCGTAAATTAATTTATTAATCTGTTATTGCATTATTTTACTTGTCAAATGTCTTTGATTTTCAAATTATTGAATATTTAAAATTATAATTTGCAAAATTATAACTATACATATTATCAGAACAAATATATTTGTATACTTTTTAAATAATAAAATGCTTCATTTTATGCTTAAAATTCATATTGGCAAAAAATTTTGTTTTCTTTAAAAAAAATTACATAACACAATTTTTTTTAAAGAAAACTGTATATATTTATATATGAAAATGAGTGTGTTGTTTTATTAAAAATCTCAGGGACAACAGCCATGGTCGATCGTGACATGACTTTGGGATGCATACATTAGTTATTAGAATTGACAAACAATTGCTTTTTATATTTCATAAAGGTCAAATGTTATTGGCGGTCAGTCAACACCAATAACAAGACTTGCCATAGATATACGTTTAAAAACAAAAATTTTCAAAGACTGGATGTAAAATGGACGTAAAATATATTTAAATAATAATTATCAAAAAACCTATACTATGCCAAAAAAAATTAAGAATTTTTGATTTAATTTAATTTTTTTGAAATTAACTTGTATGAATTAATTACTCACATTTTAACGCAATAGGCCTTTGCATATCATGGCTGCACTGCATTTCTTTTTATGATGAGGGCAAAAGATAAAACATCAATTTGTACGTTGTGCCATGGGTCTGGCTTTGTCGCCAGTTCGACAATCACTGACCGGACATACAACCATTCGGTTGGCTTTACCAGTCTGCCACCCCCACTTCAACCCATTCAACCCTCTACCCTCAACTTTTAAGTAAGTCAATATGTTGCAACAACAAGTCACTATAAAACTTTTTTTTTTGACAGTTAGCAGTACGAGAAATCAATTACTACAGAAAATAATTTCAAGTTACAAAAATAAGAAAAAAAATTCAAATATATAGAGCATAATTGCACTCCTGGTGTTTCTCCTGAATTTTTAAAAGCACATATTAATTTTCAAATAAATTTACAGCCTTTTGTCAAAATATCCAAAATACACTTTTAAGAGTAAAGATGATACAGAACTTTAACAAGTAAAATATAACAATAAAATACAGACAAATGAAAATTACGATTATTGTTGCTGAAAAATATCTGCAAATATTAACATAACGTACGATTTTGAAAATAAGAAGGCAGCAGAAAACTGAAAATTAAAATAATATAAAGGGACAACTAAAGGTGATGATTATAGTAAAGAAAATTACAAGTAGGAATACAATTTAAACATATTTTGCTTTCCAAAATAAAAAAAAGATCACAATAATATCCAGTTATGTAAATTAAACAACATAACAGAAGCATATAATAAGCAGATGAAGCAGCTAAGGCTGGGTGTCCAAACCTCCGGACTTAACCCCTGTGATCTGACCCCGTGGTGCTAGAAATGCAATAAAAAACCACAATTAAAAATAAGTAGTGGTAGTGTCAGTGTCCTGGATCGGCATAGAAGCTCTCACTATCAAGAGCACTGATAGATGGTGACACTTTTGGGCCAAAGCCGGCACATGCAGAGAAAGTTTGCTTGATGGGTCCCACCTAATGAAAGTTGCATTCCTTTGCTCCACCTAATGCCTCCCGACATGAGAATCATGCTTGAGCCTGGCAGCGAGTATCTGGGTCCCATGTTCTGATCTTTGAGGAAACAGAGTTGTTTTATATTATATAGTATTGATAGTTTTGTGAACCTAGCATGTGTTGAGAGTGAATGTATTTATTAGCGAGAATGTCTTCTCTCTAATCTCATATAGAGAGGGTACATATCCCTTTGGCACTTTATTAGGTAATTATATAACAGATATAAAGGGGGATAGAGAAATATCGAGTACTCCACCAACCTAACTGGGTGAATGGTATGTAAGACAGAATCTATTGAAGAGTTGTTTTTAAAAAGTTATTGCATTGAGTGCTGAAATGACATCGCTGTTGATAGCTCCTGGAGCCTCGGTGGCTGGATGGATAAGACCGAGCTCTGACTCCAGAGCCAACACCTGAGGTGGAGAAATATAATTGATTGTAAAGTATAAAATCTTGAATTGCCAGTGGATTTCAGCATTGACTCTGCACACTGTATGAGCATAATGATATAATAATAAAAGGAAAACATGATTTTGGCTGAAGATAGTTAAATTTTGTTAAAAACATGGTTATATACATAATATATGCAGAGAAGTCCTACTAATCCAAATATCCACCTAATCTGTACAAGCCTGTCAGCACAGAGATTTTTTTTGGCATTTTCCAGTTAAATTACATTCAAAATATTAAGGGTAATTATTGCAACCTTGCCCACTCCTAATTATACTTCCAATTTTGTTAAATTTACACCCTTAAATCATGAGATTTGATCTTAAGTTAAAGAACTTGTGATTTGGTTGTTACCAAATATTTTGTCTACTATCATTGCAAAACATTATTTTCGAAAACTGAAGATGTTTCAAGAAACCTAACCATATCTGATAGACCAGTGATTCTCAAACTGTGGTGCCACACAGTGATAAACACAACACACAAGAATGACACAACTATGCACAAAACAAACTTTGAGACCTGAAGACGATCTCAATAAAGATTGAAACGTTGGCTCGATAAAGAAAATGTTTTTCTAAAACCTACTTCACATCATACCTACCTCACAATTTCCAAATAATCATTGGCTAACAGTCACTAAACACTACACAATTATAGATTTTTTTTTCCTCCATCAAATACAATATTTACAAATTTTTAACTATTAGGCATGAACTTTAGTCTGTCAGGAAATGTTTCAGTTTATACATTTTTATAAATGTGTATCTTTGTATAGCCTTATCAGGCTTGAATCTTGGTAATTATATTGTATTCATCATTAATTATTCAAGGGAACTTTTAAGTCCCAGAATAAAGTTTATTTTTCATTTCATTATATATAGGTGTGCGTCTAGCCCAGAGTCAGTAGATAGGAGAGGCAGGACTAACGTAAGATCCTGGGCTGCTACAACAGCAAAATAACCCTCTGTAAAGTCTAATCCAAATATATATTATATTTTTGGATGCAATTGCTAGATGTTAATTTGCTACAAAATAGGAATAAACAATTAATATGGCAGTTGCAACTGGCAAGAACAGGCAAGCTGATTCGACATAATCTAAGTGCAAAATACCGCACATGTTAATTACTTAAACAAAACAGCCATTATGACAATTTTGAAAGCAAAGTAAACACACATAAGTTAGCATGCTGGTTCATATAATCAATGAAAATGTTGGAATGTAAGAGCACAAAATTTAATTATAATCATTTACATATTTTATTTTAAATAATATTTAATTATAAATTTGATTGTGTTAAAATCAAAAATAAAACTATACAATTTATATAGGTGGATCTAGTTAATACAATCAAATAAATTTTATTGCACCTTTATAGATAATTTTGATTTTATTTATATAATTAAATTAACATCTTTAAATCAAATTAATAGTTATTTTAAAACAGGTGGTTATGGATCATAAAATACAATATGATAAAGTTAATTTTAAAAAAATTAATATTACAAAACCTTACAAATTCAGTCAACAATCATATTCTATAATTAAAATGCAACCATATTAAAATAATTGACATTTACTTAATACCTACTTTTTAAAACTTTGAATTTTTAAAAATATTTTAACATATTTGAGCAAATCTTAATCACCTCGAATTGAATGAATTTGACAGATTGTCATAAGGCCCACTTATCTTAATTTCTATTTATTTTAAATAATCTAGTTAGGAAGGTTGGAATGTAGATGGAGGGATGATAGGATTAGGATTTGGAGCGACTGACACTTGTGAATGCGGGTGGTGGTTTTTAATATGGTTGGCACATTGTGTATTTTGCCTGAACGCTTTGCCACATACTAAGCAAAAATAAGGCAGCTCTCCTGTGTGAATTCTTTTGTGTCTTATGACGTCTCCTTTCTTTGTAAACCCTCGTCCACAAACGTCACAAGGATACGGCCTTTCCCCCGTGTGAGTCCTTTTGTGAAAGCCGAGATGAGAGCTCTGAGAAAACCCTTCACCGCACATTTCGCACACATAAGGTCTTTCTCCTGTGTGCTTCCTCAAGTGTTTTTTAAGGTCTCCTTTTCCATAGAAACCCTGGTCACATTCGGTGCACTTGTGCGGTCTGATTGCGTTGTGAGTCCTGGTGTGCTGCTTTAAAGAAGCCTTCTGCGAGAACGATCTGCCGCATATTTGGCAGAGATAAGGTTTAGCGCCCGTGTGAAGATTGATGTGGTCCCTGAGGAGGCAGCCGAAGGCAAATCTCTTTCCGCACGTATCACAGGTGAAGTTTTTCTCCAGCTTCTTTTCTTTCGAGTGTGACAACTTGTGATTCTCAAATTTATCTACAGTTTTGAAACTCCTTCCACAGTCTTTACAAGTATGGTTTTCATGCGTGTGAGAAGATATTTCTGCATAGTTAGTTGTGTTGTAATCACATTTTCTACAGTAATAACGGTCGTCTATTGATTTGTGTTCGGAGTTGATGTGGTTACAAAGCTCTGGAGACGTATCAAGCCTTATTCCACAGAGTTCGCAAGTGTACAGGTTTTTCACCCTGTGCCTTTTTAACATGTGCAATCTTATGCTGATTTTGGATGTGAAAACTTTATTGCATGATGCACATTTGAACGGCGCATCGGGGTTTTCTTGGTCAACATTCTTTGAAATCTCTATGTCTTTTCTGACAAGCGGCAAACCGTCTCTACAGTTCAAGTCAGTGAGCACTTCAGGCTCTCTTCTCGACCCATTGTACAACTTGTTTGTACGGCTATCTAAGAACTTTAAATCCGACAGCTTCGCCTGGGATGCACTGATATCTTGTTCCTTGTGCCAGTTCAAAGTATCAAAATTTAAATTATTTATTTTTAAAGATTCCTCCAACTGAGGTTCTACCAGATCAGAACGGGTTTCAAGATTAATCTACAACAAGATTAAATAAACAAAAAACAATGTTAGATAATTTAAATTGAACTATAATAATAAGATAAACTAACAAAATTTTCATATGCGTTTGCCGTACTCTCCTCCACTTCCATCATATCGAAATTACTATTTACGATAATTAATAATTTTGTTTACATGAACAAATTGTTTATCAACAAAGCGGATTGACACTGTAACCTCGAGACTGGTTACCTTACAGGCTCCCCTTAGAAACCAATTTTACAGGCAAATATTTCATCATAAACATTTTTAAAATGATTTCATTGAACAATAACAATAAAATTCACATATACTTAAATTTTTAAACATAATTAATAATATTAAAATTACTTTATTATTATTTTTTCATTTCTATTTTAATTATATTTGATTTTTATATTATTATGTCATTACTTCAATTATTATTTCTTATAAACTTTATAAATTGTCTTCGTTGTGTATTTTTTATTATATTATTTCATTATAAATTTTATTTTTGCTTTGTAAACTTACTTTTCTACGTTTTGTACATAATAAAAAAAGGTGTGGCCTCCCGTTAAATTAATAAACATGTTAGAATTTTATGGGATTTTTGTAATGAAAAATAAACTATAAATTATTATTATCATTTTTTAATGAAAAAATATAATTAAAAGGTAACTTATGTCATACCCAATTTATTCACAAAAATTTTTTAAAATTAGATTTACACCTTTTTTGTTATAATCTCCGAATATATAATTCAAAGAAACAGAAGACCTGTTATCTTTGAACTGTTATAAAAAAAATTAAAATCTAATTTACAAAATTTAAAACTATTATAAAAAATAAGCAAATTAAAAATTTTCTTTGCGCAATCCCAAAGGAATAAAATAAAGGAATCATGGAAATGGGAAACTCACCCGAAGAAAGTTTCTTCTTGATGTTTTCTGGACCAGATTACTTTTCCACAAAAAAAGTTGAAGAAGCCAACTTGGAGGTGGTGTGCCCAAAATCTTAAAATGGCATGTTCCCCGTGTTATTCTGCCTTTCATCCTTTCCGGACTGTCTCCCGCGAGTTACAAAGTTGGTCCTTCACTTCCATCGATCTTTTCCATTTTGTTCGTTTTGATTTGCTTCTTACAAATAAAATAAAATATGTATCCTAATTCCATTATGTAATGAGCTGGATTTACAAATGACATAGATCATGTGTCATGAGGGGGATTAACTATTGTTGATCTAACTATGCATGAGGACTTAACCTCATTTAGTAGGTCACGAGGCCTGTTGTGGGATTATAAGGGTAGTTTCTGTGGGATATGAGTATGGATTGGGAGGATATGTATCGATTGGGATGAGAGGAGAGTTTATTGTGGGATGCGGAAAATGTTTTGGGGATCATTTTTTGCACGAGAGGGATTTTGAGGTTAATGTGAAGTGTTGGAGACATAGTAAGGGACATTGACTATGGTTCTGAGGACTTTGGATTGGAAAGAGAGTATTCTTTGGATATTAGAAGGTTTAGTATGTCTTGTACAATGATTTTGGTGATATATTAGATTTGCGTAACAGTAGTCTGCATAGTAGTGAAAAATTACTATACCCCTAACTACTACTTGTTTAATTCCTGCCTTTTAGGTCGTGTGTGTTGGTTCTAGGTCAGCCTGGGGTCTACATGGAATCCAAGGTAGCGGAGGCAGTCTGTTTTTGGGATAGAAGTTTTATTGAGGACTATTGTATGGGGGGATGGAAGATGTTTGCTGCTTTGATTAAGCTTTATTCGGTATTGTTTGCTCCATTCGGCTATTTGCGAGACATGTGCCAGGATATGTTCCGAAGCAATTGTCGAATCGGGATTAGAAGGTAGCACAGTCGTAGGCAAAGAATGCAAGGATGATGGGGGTCGAGTTGGGATACCTGCGGTGTAGACGAGGTAAAGTATCGGCCCAAGTACCCTGCCCTGAGGTAGTCCCGCTCCATTTCAGAGATCCTTGGCGGACTCTGAAATAACCAAATTATACACATAATTCATAGACGAACAACTCAATTTCATTTTTTGCATAGTCAACTTGTCCAGTAAAATAATTGTTTTCTCTGAATATACAATAAATTTGGGGAAATTTTTTTTCTATGGGTAAAAGTCATGGTTTTATGTCTAGAAGATCTAGCCCGGGCAGATGCTTTGTCCAACGACGGACGTAACGTGTACGACGGCTAGAAAAAAATGGTTTTATTGCTCGGAACCTTCATTTAAATTCTTGCTTTGGTCGGTGTGTAGTGTTATAGTGCTATCCAAAACAGTCATCAGAGAGAACTGCCTAATCTCTAGATCTGGTTTGGGAATGTGGTCCTTCAATGAATCATACACTGAATTATACAGTTGCCCCAAACCCAAACCAAATCATAATCAAAGTTGGTCGATAACTGAACAACCTCGTAATCTCTAGATGACTCGTATCAGGATCTCTACTACGGAGAAACGTCGAGCCTTTTCATGTGCCAGGCGTGAGTAACGGCCTTTTCTGAGACAGTAAGTTATGGTATGGCGTGGAATGGACGTCCATGCCCGTCGAACTGATTATCATGGAATGGATCTTTGATTACATTGAGGAAATTTGTTTGGAAGCTGTGGTCTCATTCGCTCCGTCTATTGGGGACAACTTCGGGTCAATGCATGATAATGGTCGATCGCATGTAGTCAAGTTGTCATCATAGCTTGGAGGATGTAACAATTACCATAATGAATTAGCCTGCACGTTCTATTGTCATGAATCTTATAGAAAATTTATGGTACATGACAAAGAGATGGGTTAGACTTCGTTAACCGCCTCTAACAAGAGTTGAATAATTTCAAACCGCTCTTGTTGAAGATTGAGATTCTGTTTCACAACAAGGAATCCGATCGCTTATTTACTCGATGCCTAAAAGTTTTTATTATTTTTATTCCAGAGTTTCTTTTCAAAAAGGGGGGAAAAATATGTCTTGAGATTTTTCAGACACTTCAACACCGGAAATGCCAAATTAAAGTAATCTACTAACATATTCACATCTGCTTTTTTATCGTCAGAAAACGTTAATGTATTTTTTTTCTCGAATATCTTCATGGCAGACTGTCCTCAAAACATGCCTGGTATTTGATAAGTTAATGCGAAATTACACAAACAAAATGGTAGAAATAACGACTGAAGGAATTCTTAAAATCAAAATTCATAAAATGAGAAAAGTTTCAAAAAACCGAGACAATATGTGATAATTTAAAATTTTTACGTACTCCTCCAATTAATTTACATTGATTTTAATGTAAATTTTCTGATCACGACTCGTCGTTCGCGCCTTAAATAATTACGATACAGTTTTGCCGAACCTGACTGTGTTGCAGGTTTAGTATGTCGAGCGCCGTTTTCGTAAACGGATAACAAATTCTCCCGTAATTACAGTAATGAAATCGTTTTCTCCAAAACTGAAGATTTCTGGTCCTTCTAGGATCGCACTTTTTTTCTTTTTTCCCCCAATTTTGTTTTCAAACTAGTGAAGGTGTACGTAAATGTAACCGCTATGAGATTCTGTTTCACTAGAAGAAATCCAATCGCTTATTTACTCGATGCCTGGGACACTAAGGCCATCCGTGGAGGCAGAGGATATGTGTTATTAAGAAAAAACTAGGTAATAAATTGTAATTTTAATTTTAATTATTACTAAATATTTTTAAGGTGTTTTAGAGAATTTTCTTTAAAATTATCATAATTAAATAATTTTTGTTAAACTTCATGAATTTTTGATCTCGTTTAATTTGTTTTAAATTAAAATAAGTACGTAATGTCAAATATTTTGCCACCTTAGAAGATGAAGAAGAAGCTCAAGGAATTAATTATCCGGGAACACAAATACCCAGAAGAAGGTTCATTTTGAACAAGATATTGACGTCAATAAATTTAACAAAACAAAATATCCAATTTGCTTTAAAGTTTTTGGATAGATACACAAATGACTGATCGTTATCGTTTTGATTATTTTTATTCCAGAGTTTATATTCAAAAGGGGAAAGAAAGAAAAGCCTTGAGATTTTTCGGACACTTCAACCGGGAAATGCCAAATAAAAGTTATTCACTGACAGATTCACATCCTGCTTTTTCTATCGTCAGCAAACCTTGATGTATTTCTATTTTCACGAATATCTTTATGGCAGACTGTCGTCAAAACCTGCCTGGCATTTGATAAGTTAATGAGAATTTATACAAACAAAATGGTAGAAATAACGACCGAAAGAATATTTAAAATCAAAATTCATAAAATGACAAAAATTTAAAAACCAGGGCAATATGTCATAATTTATAATCTTTACATACCCCTCAAAATATTTTACAATGATTTTAATATATATTTTCTGACTACGACTCGTAAAATAATTGCGATACAGTTTTGCCGAACCTGGCTGTGTTGCCGGTTTAGTATGTCCGAGCGCCGTTTTCTTAAACAGATAAATTCTCCCGTAATCACAACAATGAAATGGTTTTGTCCAAACTAAACATCCTTCTATGCTCGCTCATTTTGTTTTCTTTAGTTTTCAAACTAGTGAAGATGTATGTAAATGTAACCGGTATGTAAATAAAAAAGAAAGTATTTAAATTGAGTGATAGTGTGTGTTTCTACATTTAAAAACATCATGCATTGTGGGCTGAAATGTTGATATCCTCTGGAGCCGATAGAAACTTGGGAAATAATTAAAAAATTAAATGTTTTAACATTCTACATACTTTAACGTACTACATACATACTTGCATTATATAAAATTATATTTTCTAATAATAATTAAACTGTAAACGGTTTCAGAGCAGGAATCGCCGAAAATCGTAATTAAGTATAAGCTAGATATTCGCATTGTGCGGTTTCAAATTCCGAAAAGGTACTGCTTTTGCCGGTCTATGATGTTAAAGTTCGAAAAGTGTACGGTTTTATTGTTCAATATGCAACTTAAGTTTAATTATTAAACATAATAGACGTTTTTTATAGCAAATAATGTTATTTTGTTCTTTACATGATTAAACTGTACATTACATATTGTTCATTTTGTTTCTGAAATAGTTCAAGAGTCGAGGTAAAACAGGTTTAAATCAAATGAAAGAAATACTGGATCAGACAGGAAATTGAAGAAGCCTTTCTTTTCGACAGGGTCTGGGCTTTAATTGTTTTTTCAGTAATTCAGAGGAAATTCGATAGTCGAAAGAATTGGAAAGCCAAATTTGAATGACCTTAAAACAATACTCTTCAGAAAAAGCTGTAGACAAACCAATTTTGGGTCCTTCATAATGATCAGTCATAACCATTATTGAAATGAATAACGAAACGGAATTCCATTAAAGTATTAGTTTAAAATAAAATACTTAAGCAAAAAAAAAATTTGAATTGTATTTCTCAAAGTAAAAACTTTTTCCAAGGTAAATGGCCATTGTAAAATAGCGCGACGTCTACGTTTTAAGAAAGCTGACGCAAAGAATGACTTCTTCCATTTATATGAATTTTTACTATGTTTGCTTAGTATGTGTAAATTTTGTTGCTGCACGGCTGTTTGCTGATTGTCAAAACGAGATATTTTGCTTTTTTAATTCCTATTATAAATTACACTCCTACTATACGATAATAAATGCTATTGATTCGCGAAAAACACTTTTATTCTTCTACCAAATACGGTTATTTTCTGATGATGAATCTTTCTGAAAAATCATCAATTGAGCCACTTCTCATCATCATAGTTGATAGAAAATTCCAAAAATATCTACTTTTTTACAAATTTGTAATAGTTAATTTTTTAAATCGTTCATTTGTTATTTTGGATATATTTGTGACAATGTGACATCCCTTTATAATCAGTTTTCCAAATTATTCTACAATGGATACGTTTTGAATTGATTCAATTTGACAATAATTCGGTTTCGGAGTTGAAAACTTCTTCGGCCCAAAATTTCAAAGTTAAAAATGTCCTATTAGCAGAAAAGACCATAATCAAATCTATGAATATAAGCAGGATTATGCAAGACCTTTTCTCCGTAAAGATCGAGTTGGATTTTTTTTTAAAATTGGGGGTTGAATAAGGGTTTTTAAAATTCTTTCCTCCAGTGCGATCTATACAGACCTATAACCCCTATAAATTATAACCATACATTGGAAAGTGCACTTTTTCCCATTAAGTATAAGCACTTTCTTTGGTGGCTCTTCGCCTCTTTTAGTGTGAGGATTTCCTTACCGAACAGGTAAATAAGCGAATGCTTCTGATTCACTAAGGACATACGCCGATGTCGTTGGTTCCTCTTGATAGAGTCGGCATGTTTCTATCTCTCTTTTCCCCATCTTCTTTAGGTGGTAGCTAAGAGGGCAGTGACCGTTATAAAGGGTATAATTTTTTTCAAATCCTGCCTGCTGATGTTTTTTGAAAGATTTATAAATCTCTTAGCTTGACGATGTTTTCTTATATTTCGACCTCAACAATTTAACTTATGATTTTTCCTTCTCAAAGGTGGGATAATAGGTCATCTCAAAAAAACCATAACCAGTTTTTAACCACGATGTTTCGGATTTATTTTAATCCTTCCTCAGGTGAATTAACGCAATGGTAGTCGTCAGTCATTAATATTTTATACCAGTTTATTTTATAAAAGTGCCAGTGTGGTACATATTCAGACTACGAACAAACGTTTTAATATTTTGAACCTGACTCTCTTAGCTTCTTCATAACTGGGATTTTCAGTGCTTGACTTTTTCTTTCTCAAGCCATTTTTCCAGTTCCAACTCAAGTATACAGTGGTTTTGTTCCATGGGTGAAAAGGCTAGTTGGTCAGCGTGTTCATTTCCTTCTATAGCTTCATGTCCCATTTTAACGTAATCTTGATGTGTTTTCCTAGTGCCATTAGGCAATTTAAGCCTGTTTGAAGTTGAACGCATACTCATTTAGTGCCTATATAGCGGAAAGTCTGGGAGTATTTAAATCTATGAACCTTTAATTTTTTTATTAACTTCTGTCACAGAGTTGTATTGCATGCGTCTCAGCATGGAAATCTGTCGGGATTCGATCAAGTGACTTCACTACTCGGCCTTTTTCCATACACGTACTCGCTGTTTCATCTTTGACCCTTCTGTGTACCATAAGAGGGCCCTTCCTGAAACTTGGGGCTAGCTTTCTTCCACAGGTCTCCTATGATCAATTGGAAGAGTATGTCAAAGTTGAGTTTTTCTCTCGTTTTGTGTGTACCGTACCATCTCATTTGTTTTAATTTTGTGGTGGCTCCTTCTTAGATCTGGCTTTATTTCTATTCTTAACTTATCGAGCTCAGTATCAATAATGCCGTCGTTTCAAAGTGCAAAAACCTGTCATAATTACGTCAAACTCTCTGTGTTTTTTTCCTAGTTGATTTTACCAAACCTTTGGTTGAACTAAAGCATTCTTTTTCAAATATCGTTACTTGCAATGTCTTTTCGAATCAGTCTACTCTTGGGTTCTAGAGAAAATCGTATATAATCTAGGCCATTTATATCTAAGTTAGCGGCTAAAAGTGGCTGAGAGGCTCAATTATGATAGTCAAAGGATTCTTGTCAAATTTAGTATATCTGATATCTGAGGGCACCAGATCCAAGCTTATTTTGAGAAAGGTCTCAATTAAAACGCTGCAGTACAGAGTAAAACATTTTCTTCTGATGAAATTTCTTCTAAATAGAGTCTCATAAGACTTTGACTAGCAATATTTTCTTCAGACACCCCTTTAGCAATCTATAATGCTAATTGAAAAGATGGTTTAGGTTTATAAAGAAATTTAATTATAAAACATTGTAAGAAATTATATATACGAATTCAAGGAAATCTTGACGAAGTATATAAAATAAGATGAATGACCGTCCTTGATAGGAAGACCGCTCATTCTTTGGCATTGAAGCGAACCCATAAATAATTAGTTTTATGCGATATAAAAATCCAATTTTCCGTTTTCTTTATAGAACAGTTCATCAAATTTGTTCAGCCTAGGAGTAAATACAACAGAATGAATTGTCAACACACATCCATTGATCAATCGCGCTCGTATAAAATAGTGATTATTGCGCTCCGTCCTAATTAAATATCAAAATTACTCTTCTGTTCTCTTTATCCTGGTCGATAAGCATCAAACTCTTATTCGTTCGGATGGTCATGTGGTTAAGTTAAAAAAAATATACCCTCTGGGATCGCATGTCTGCTACGAGGGATGGAAATAGTGGGGGTGAGTCAACACCAAGAGACAAACACGATGCCAATTGACTCTCGTCGGTTCATTCTTCTTCCTCCTTGTGACCGGCCATGCAATCATATCCAATTAGAACTTTCAAGGTATCCACAACGACGTCTTCCTTTCAGGTAAAATATTAATAAATTTACGTGAGAGGGTTTTATGGCATATTATAATAATAAGGTAAACATTCAAATGCATCAACAAGGAAATGTGTTTAAATTTATAACATTTTAATTTTAAAAAAGCGGCTTCGTATGTTACTAAAAAAATACAGAACAAAACTCTTGATTATTTAACAGTTCATTATTTAAATTATTATGCTTACTATGCTATTATTATTATTATTATTATTATTAATTTTTAAGGGCGTTTTAACGGCTAAGGTTATTATTATTATTATTATTAATTTTTAAGGGCGTTTTAACGGCTAAGGTCATTTCACGCCCTAACATCCAAACCTTCTATCTTAGGTTAGCTATATCTCTTCTGAGTGCTATAAAGCTCTGACTCCAAACATTCACTCGTAATCTTATTTATCCTATTGCCATCCAAGCTTTAATTTTTCTGGTTAAAATTCTTAATTCGGAAGGCCAAATGCATACAAAATTCCCATTTTAAATTGCATAAAATTTAATAAATTTATAAAATTTATTTCTGTTATTCGGATTATTGGATTAATTATGATTTGAAAATAATTCAATAATTTTTTTAACACTTACCTTTTCCCCCAGATTTTCAGCATAAAAAATCCATTAAAAAAATGCCCGTCAAAAATTTCACAATCCCTATAAAACTTTATATATATATAAAGTTTTATAGGGATTGTGAAATTTTTGATGGGGATTTTTTTAATGGATTTTTTATGCTAAAAATCTGGGGGAAAAGGTAAGTGTTAAATTTTTTTTTTAACCTCAAACCAAGTTTCGTATATATTTATAAAGGACCTTGACCCCCCCCCCCCACAGGGTTGTACTCCCCGAAGTGCTGAACCGAGGGTCTATACTTCAGGAGAGTTCACCTACCCTGTTATGCTGCTGGTAATATTATTTGTTCAGCGAGAGGCATAGTGATTAATCATATCATTATGCATAATTAATCACTGTTTACCAATAAAGAAGCAATGTTTTTCTTCGTTCATTTCAATGTTTCTTTCAGTCAGTTTTTACCTTTTATTACCCCGGGTAGGATTTTTCTGTTTCTTTAATTTTTCAATTTTGTTTGTGGCATAATAAGTCATTTAAGTGGCGTTAGTCAATCAGAATAATCGTTAATCGTTTCAAGAACCGTTAAAAAGTACTGGAAGACACTGGAGGCGACCAAATGGCGTCCATAATCACCAATCCCAGGACGACCGCTTCATTAAAATGCAAAGCCGAAGCCCAATTCAACATTCAACAATTAAAAATGGCTGAAAGCGTCGAATCTTATATCAAGAAGGTCCTTGAAAGGTATCCTTACAATAAAACACCCTAGAGACTAAGATTTGCAAAAAACTATAGAGGAATAGAAAAACAGATTTATTCACAACCCTTATCAGGCCAGATGACGGCGAAAGAGTCTGAAGATGTTGATAATGATGATGGAAATCTATAATGTGGGGGTTTTCGTGTTTCCCAAGCACTGCAGCCTTGTGGATTATTGTACTTTCCCTAGTTGCTTAGGTCAGTCCAATTGATTCGATCTTTCTCTTAAGGTAATAACTTAGGTAACTTTAACTTTGGTATAAGTAATCTTGGCGGTTGCGTGCATTCTAAGATGATATGAATGGCTTCCCTATGCTCATTGCATAACGTACAAATGGGGTCATTATTTAATGATATTACGTTGATGTTTTCTCAGATACCAATGGCCATTTAACAGACCTATCACTCCTCTTAATTTAGTTCCTCTGAAAACAGTAACAATCAGTTGACCAGTTTTAATGAAGGTTTTTTTAGGATATCGTGTCTAGCACCTTAGATATCATCAACTTTTCTTTTTGAGTGTTTTGGATCCGTTCTGAATTGAAGAACGACAGTCATGTGGAAGCAGGACATTTGAAGGTGGGGGCTGAGTTGGTACTAATTCAAGGGGATGTCTTGAATGCCTTTAGATATGTGGAGATGATCCTACATGTAAGTCTTTCTACTTTTCTTAGGTTCTTATTCATTGCTTATGCATGATAATGCTAAGCCACATAAAACATCATGTAATTCTGAACACCTATCCAAGCTTCTTGAGTGGTGCATCCTACCCTAACTCTAACGAAAACGCTTGGGACCATCCTAAAAGAAAGGTTCAGCCACGGGATCAACCTACTACTATTAAAACGCTAAAGATAAGTGCATTAGAAAGTGGCATACCCAAAACAAAAAAGTTTTATGATTGTCACTTATTCACGTATTGTTAAAATTTTTACAAGGGTATTTTGACCATGAAGTTATAAGTACCCTCGGGGTTTTTTAAGGCGATTTTTAAGTATGTTCGAATTCAAGAATTAACCTGTGTCGCCGTGTCTTCGCCTTAACCGTTTTGGCTTTCGATGCCCCTTAAATGACATTTTAAGAAAGAAAGAAAAATAATATTTTATTTATAGATTATTTTATACTTCTGAGCTTTTATTATTTACGTCAAACCAGAAGTTCTCGTAAAATGCAGATATTTTAGTGTGTTGCGATTTTTATAATTTTTGACATTTTTTGTAGCAGCGTAGTAAATCTTGCACTTTTTACTTTTTCTCACATTATTCCAAAGTGATCTCGATCTAGCAGAATAAGCATCTTTTTTTCCTAAAAATTGCAACAAAATATGTATATATGTTTTAGTTGGTCTTATTAACCCAAGTAATTATTTTAATTGATTTATTATTTTTCTGTTCAACTAACTTTGCATAAAACATAATAAATCAAATTACATAAACAAACGTTTTTCTAAATAACCGCCAGTTTCGGTTAAGATATATAACTTTTTCAAATCAATAATGTTGGTTATTTATTTGAACTAAACACACCGATTTATTTTTTATGCAATATATTTCAATTGCTAATGCATTTCGGGCCACGTCCCTGGTCCCTCTTCAGAGCTATAAATAAACACTTCTGTTTTTCCAAATCAGTAAGAAATCTTTTTTATGTATAAACCTTGCTATTTAGCTAAACTGAACTCACAGCTTAGCAAGATTACAAAGGTTACAAAAAAACTTCAGAAAAACATTTTCTGAGAGACTCTCAACACGACACGCAAGAATGGCACAATTACACAGAAGACAAACACTTTGAGCCCTGAAGATGATCTCAATAAAGATCGAAACGTTGGCACGATAAAGAAAATGTTTTTCTGAAACCTGCATCTCACGATTTCTGAATAATTATCGATTAACGGTCACTAATCACCACACGTTACAAAAAAACAATTTTTGAATTTTTTATCTTCACATCCTTTTAAACAAAAGATCAATGTTTTAAGTAAATATATTAGACGTATGTTGGTGTTGAGGATTTTTGTTAGTATAAAAAAAGTAAAAAATTTATTCTATAAAAATAATTACCTTAAAAACCAATAAATCGAGATATAAAATATGAAAAGAATAAATTTTGTAATAACTGCTGTAGAGATAGGTGTGAAAAACAACAAATAAAAATTATATTGGCTTTGTATTCATTGTTGGTTTAATGAAAAAAAAACTGAAAGTAATAATAATATTTGTAAGGAATCTGTTTTTATAACTATATAAATAAAAAAGTAAGTACTGTCATTCCAAAAATTAGAGGCAAAATAAATTTAATTGAACAAAGTAAACTTATTTACTCAGTAAAGTGTGTTCAAAACAGTACAATTTCTTAAAACACAGATTAAAACAACACAAATCATACATAAATATGCATAAATCAGCAACAAACTACAGGATTAGCTCAATATATTTTTGAAACAAAATCCTTATAAAAAAAAATAAATGGAAAAAAATTATTACAAATTATACACATTAACTGAACTGAAAACAATATTAATGTACAGACACACAGAAAATGAATTACTAATATAAAAATATTTTCAATATTTATAAAACTAGCCTAGATAGTAAGTGGAATATGATTTAAAGTAAGCATACATAATGTTGTTTTATTTATTAATTATTTTTACTTATTTATATTCTAATTTTTAAAATTATAGATCTTATTTTTATTATTTACTGTTTTTGCATATTATAATATTGTTGCCTATTTATCGTTTTTATTTATAGTAACTCTACACACATATTTATGGCATTTATTTTATATATCTAACTGTGATAAAAAGTTTTCATGGCTGTAAATTTTTGACATGATAAAATTTTTTTTTACCAAATATTTGTATAGTTCACGTCACATTGATATATAATGATAAGTAATTGAGACTTCCAAAATCAAAAAGTTTTTGTAACCTTTGTAATCTTGCTAACCTGTCAGTAAAAGTTAACTAAATAGCGAGGTATATACACAAAAAATATTTCTTACTGTTTTTGATAAAAAAAATTAATAAAATATAATATTGTAATTCTGAAAAGCGACCAGGCCCGAAATGCATTAGCAACTGAAATATATTTCATAAAAAATAAATTGGTATGTTTAGTTTAAATAAATAACCATCATTATTGATTTAAAATATTGTTACCATCAAATTAAGTCAAAATTATTTTTAAAAAAAACTTTTTTTTAAATCGTACCACTTGAAAAATTAGATATATGGCAAATGAATAGATTTCGATCTAGATTGGTTTCTTGTCGCTGTCAGTAGAAAATATTTGAACATGGCACACCTTCGTGAATGAAGTTAATTACCAACGCCTCCCATCACAAAATTTAATTGAAACATCATTAATTATTGGTTTGAAAACTCGTAATAAATTAAATATAAATAACACTGTGATTGACTCGTTACAAGTATGTATTAACAAAGCAAAGATATACTCAAAAATGATAAAAGATACAGGAGAAGAGGCTAAAATAGTAAGAAATTGCAAAGAGTTTAGTGTGGTGGGATGTGTGATAAAAAGTGATCATAGTGTTTCGATTGAGAATTTTACCAACAACCGACCGACAAATATCAAGTGGTCATCGCCGGCCCTAAACAACAAGTATATAATTTTTTAATTAGTATTTAATCACTATATTTTTATTTAATGACAGTTTCGTTTGTTTTTGGTCTCGGGTGCATTTGAATAATAGAATAGAAGAGAAAAGTTGATTAGCCTCGCGTGGATGGACATACCTACCACTTACTTTAATAAAGGAACCTTTTATGCGTTAAAAATGCATTTAAATGAATGATTACGAAATTTTCTTTTTACTGGATATAAGTTTCAATTGACAAAGATTTTGTACAAATAAACCAAAACCGAACAAAAGAGAATAAAATTCACAGATCAATTCTATATTTTGCAAGCCTGTTTAAATTCAAAAGTATCTCAAAACAATGTTGTTTACTTCATTTTTTGTCATGCGGTACGGGCTTTGAAGAGTAAGATTTTTTTGTCCCTCACGTACAAAAAAAATGCAATACATGCAAAAATATTTAAATACTCCTCCAGACCTTACCAAAAAGAAGACAACCCTTGTGTCTCGGATCTGATTCGCTCATCTCGCCTATAGTTTCCTCCTTGAAAGAACCATTAAACCTACTTGTCCAATCTGTATATCTCCTACAACACTATTTCCCACCTCAGAATCGACCACTTAATCCCCGACTACCTCCACTCCATAAAAACAATAATTCACGACTATACATAAATATTATTACTTCTTAACAGCCAACTAATAAAGAAAATGTAATTTTATACCCCCTCTATTCTTCGTGCTTTTGGGTTCGTCGGGATCAGAGGCTGTTGGTCAATCTTGGGCTGGATTGAGACCCCGGATCAATGAGCTTCGAAGTGCTTATGAAGACTACACACCGCACCTTCCTGGATAAAGCGCGCCTGGTAAAAGTGACCTGGCTGCCGCCGACAATTTATAAACTTCAGGCTTACCAATAAGGTCGCTGCCTATTAAATAAAAAATTTAAAAAACGAAACACTGTTTTTGATTGACGTAGGACAAACTTTGGTCAATTGTTTCCTATCTCAGCTAATGGCTTTTCTGGAAGATTTTTTGTTTTTATAATGAAGTAAAGTATTCTTCATAGGATTATGGTGTCATGGTCTATATTGCACAAGAATAGCTTTCCTAGGTTCATAGTTTTTTTTAAGATATTGCCTGGCAGTTGCAGAGGACGTCTTCTGTTGTTTCTGTCTCATCTAGACTTAGTCCACATTGTTCTTTTTTCACATTTTTAATAAGAACCAATATGCGTAGAGTAAAAATAATTTTTTTAAAATGAAAAAGTATTAAATTTAAGAGACACATCGACGCTGATTTTCAATTCATTTGCAATATATATGCATTATTCATTGTAATATTTTTTATTGTTTTATAACAAAATCGTTTCAACTTTTAGGGTGCTCCTTCCGCACATTCGAGAAATAAGCATGGCAAACTTAAATCAGTGTGTCAGTATATTAAAAAATACTGTGATGAGACTTCCCTTCACGGGTTTAAATACCTGTCCGAATCTGATCGACCATTTTACGAAAGGTAAGCTAAGGTTTTTTTTTTATTTTAAGCCTATTTACATTTGTTAACCTTTTTTATGGTATAAACTGTTTATTCGCCCTCGACTAGACGAACGGAACGCATATTATGAATAAAATTTCGATAACTTTGGAAAATGGCAAAATGGGGCAAAATCCAGATTTGGGTTTTTGTCTTTTTCTAATTTTATGAATTTTACATGTATTAACCAGTCTTAAATTATTATTGTAAGGGTAAAGATTGAACTTGTATCAATCAAAATAAACAGGAAAGAAATCTTTCTGGCTAAGAAGGAGTTGTGATAATAATAAGCTAATGAAAATTATTTATTTTTAATAACAATTTTTTACATTGAACTGTCTAATTATTTTCATTCTTATAAGATAATGTAAATACAATGAAAGCAAAAGAGAAAGACATGAGAAGAAACAAAGCAGAGATGTACTCAAGAATGATAAAATATATTTTAAAAAAGCGTAGATACAGGAGAAGAGGCTAAAATGGTAAGAAATTGCAAAGAGTTTAGTGTGGTGGAACATATGATAAAAAGTGATCATAGTGTTTCGATTGAGAATTTTACCATCGTACAAAAAGAAAAGCAAACTACAAGAGAAAAGACTCCACTGTTTTCGATATTTCCCACAATGGATTTTAAAAAGATAGTTACTTTAAGTAGTGCTAAAGCGATTAGTGGGCATCAGAACAGCATAACCTGTGATTTATACTGCATCCTTTGGATTGTATTTGGGTAACCGAATGTAAGTGTAATTGAGTGCAATTGTTAATGAAAATCAAAAATTAAGGTACCTGGAGAAAAGAGGGGAAAACTGTAAAATACGAAATTTGAAAATTATATCCTTTGCTCATATCACATTAATATGGAGCTACATAAGATTAGAAGTACTACACTAAAGAAGATAGTAAATAAATTCCGAAAATGTGTTCGTGTATGATACAATTAAGTCCACAATAAACGGCGTTAAGGTATACTAAAACCTTAAGACTACCCGGTAAGGGAAAATGGTATACCAGTCTTATGATCTTACCAATTTTATAATTCGAATTTATGGTTTTATTCAAAACTGCACTTCTGTGAATATTGATTTTTCTTACGAGCATTCCTTAAAAATATAGATCGAATTAGAAGGACAAGGGTGGTCAAACACACATCAAGAAGACTGAACTGTCCCTGGCTAATTAATGTTAACAATCCTTACATTTAAAAAAATTATATATGCCGAATAAAAACGTAAATTTAACATTATATGAAGCATGCTTTATTATATTTTTGTTATAAAGAAAAAATGTGACGTGATTGATGAGAGAAATAAATTTAGTCCGAGAGAATAAGCACATCGGCGTCATACATTTCTACGAACTTGACCCCAAGGGGTTCGATAATGGTCATGCCGTCATAGACTTTTTTTAACTCAAGCCTATTCTACTGAAATACATCATATTCAACAGTTGAACAATGTAATATTTTTTGTTACTATAATTATTACAGAACTGGTTGTAGACGATGCAATTTTAATCACAAGACAGTTAACTGCGTTTTATCTATTATTATTTTTTCTATTACGTATCCTCTGCATATCTGAGTAATGACGTCGGAGAATCACTGACTTTCAAATTTACGTATTTAAAATGAATTTAAAAAAATGACAATATTCAAAAAAATTGCCCGTATAGGATTTATACTTTTATAGTATTTAATTACCAAAACGCCTACTGTTTATTTTTTATAAACATAAAAATTTAACTAAAAAAACAAACAAATATCCTCCACTGAAAGCAAGAGAAAGATGGATGTAAAAAACAACATGACATTAAGCCTAAACGTGCTAGCACAAATTTAATGTGACTTTTGTGCAAAATGCCCTCAAATAAAAAACAGGGCATTCGTATTTTGTTGTTTATTTCAAACTATGTGTATTTTTATGGTTATATTTTATTTGTTATATTGTTATTAATTACTGCATACTTATATTAATGTAGCCCAAATTAAACGAGATCAGAAATTAATGGGTTTTAATCAAAATTATTAGTTTAAATGAAACTTCACCAAAACATCGGAAAATCATTTAGTTATACATTCAAATTTATTGACAATTTACTACCCCTTAAAGATATTCGACGATTGACGAAAAAGGAAAACGATGTCTAAACCAACACTTTACCATGTCCCATAAGATTCACACGGCGCTCGGACATACTAAACCTGCAACACAGTCAGGTTCGACAAAACTGTATCGCAATTATTTAAGGCGCGAACGACGAGTCGACATTAAAATCACTGTAAATTAATTTCATGGGTATGTAAAAATTTTAAATTATCACATATTGTCCCGGTTTTTCGAAACTTTCCTCATTTTATGAATTTTGATTTTAAAAATTCCTTCTGTCGTTATTTCTCCCATTTTGTTTGTGTAATTTCGCATTAACTTATCCACTGACTGGCAGATTTTGAGGACAGTCTGCCATGAAGATATTTGAGAAAATATAAATACATCAAGATTTGCTGACGATAAAAAAGCAGGATATGAATCTGTTAGTAAATAACTTTAATTTGGCATTTTCCGTGTTGAAGTGTCCGAAAAATTTCAAGGCTTATCTTTTCTCCCTTTCCTCTTTTGAATAGAAATTCTGGAAGAAAAATAATAAAAACTATAACGAACTGAAGTCTGTGTACCTATCCAACAACTTTAAAGCAAATTGGATATTTTGTTTTGCCAAAAGGGATGTTTTGTTAAATTTATTGACGTCAATATTTTGTTCAAAATGAACCTTCTTCTAAGTTATTTGTGTTCCCGCATAATTATTTCCTTGAGCTTCTTCTTTATCTATTAAGGTTGCAAAATATTTGACAATATGTGCTCATTTTAATTTAAACCCAATTAATCCAGATCAAAAATACATGTTTTTTAATAAAAATTATTTAATTATAATAATTTCAAAGAAAATTCACTAAAACATTTAGTGATAGATTAAAATTCAACTTACAATTTATTACCTAGTTTTTCTTAATAACACGTATCCTCTGCCCCCAAGGTTGGCCTTGGTATCTCAGGCATCGAGTAAATAAACGATCGGATTTCTTCTAGTGAAACAGAATCTCATAGCGGTTACATTTACGTACACCTTCACTAGTTTAAAAACTAAATTGAAAAAAAAGGTTAGTTTGGACAAAACCATTTCATTATTGCAATTATGGGATAATTGTTATCCGTTTACGAAAACGGCGCTCGGACATATTAAACTTGCAACACAGTCAGGTTCGGCCAAACTGTATCTCAATTATTTTACGAATTGTAATCAGAAAATTTATATTAAAATCATTGTAAATCATTTTGAATGGTATGTAAAAATTATTAATTATGACATATTATCCAGGTTTTTGAAACTTTTCTCATTTTATGAATTTTGATTTTAAAAATTCTTCCGGTTGTTATTTCTCCCGGTTTGAGTGTGTGTGTGTAATTTTGCATTAAATTATGAAATGCCAGCAGACGACAGTCTGCCAAGATATTCGTATAAATAGAAATACATCAAGGTTTGCTGACGATAAAAAGCAGGATTAGAATCTGGTAGTGGATTACTTTAATTCGGCCTTTCCGTGTCTGAAAAATCTTAAGACTTTCCTATTCTTTTTTCCCCTTTTGACGAGAAACTCTGGAATTAAAAGAATAAAAACGATAACCATCTGTCGTCTGTGTGTTTCCAATAACTTTAAATCAAATTGGATATTTTATTTTGCCCAAAGTGATGATTTGTTAAATTTATTGTGATTGACGACAGTACCTAGTTCAAAATGAACCTTCTTCTGGGTATTTTACGTTCTAGCATAATTAATTTCTTGAGCTTTTTTTTATTTTCTGTGTTTGAAAAATATTCGTCAATATGTACTTATTTTAATTTAAACCAAAATAAACAAAATCAAAAATTCGAGAGTTTTAGTAAAAATTATTTAATTATGATGATTTGAAAGAAAATTCACCAAAACACCGGAAAATCATTTAGTGATAGATCTAAAGTCAACTTACAATTTATTACTAGGTTTGCTCTTAATAACACTTTTAGTAATAAATTGTATTCACAATTCTTTTGCTTGTGTAAATATCCATTATACCTTAGTGTATTCAAAGATCCATGCTGTGTGATAATCAATTCGGTAGGGGCACAGACTTTGAAAGGGCTGTGATTGAAGAAGGGCACATGAATCAAACCGTTCTTCACGTCTTCCTCACACACGTCCCGGTCATCCGATTGCCACAAACCGAACCGGCACTGTGAAAAGAACAGCTATTGTTCTGATTTGCGAATAGTCGCATTTCGATGCCTTTCCTTATGCGGGACGTTTAGAGACTAGGCTATTCTCACGAAGCCTTCTGTACTTTTGTACAGCTCACCCTTGCGGACGGTTTGAAATGGATTATCAAGGAAGACGTTGAATGAAGATTTTGTGGTGTGGTAAGAGCAATAAAACTATCGTCTGTAGCTATCGCACACCGGACCACTACCGAGTCTCTACGATGGAGACTTCCGGTGGCCCTAAACCGCTGTAGACCATCGCCGATAAAAAAGCGAGGCACACCCAGAAATTGGGTTATGTAACGGACACTAGAGTTGGGCAAAGCATTGCCCGGGCAAAATCTTCTCGACTTAAAACCATAGGGGTTTTAAGAAAAATAATAATTCATTTTTTAAATAATTAAAAATTAATTAAAGTAAATTTCTTGTTTGCTCCTAAAAGGATGAAATTGAACTGATTTTCTCTATTTTTAATCGAAAGAATGTAAACTAATTAATAACACACCTACAGGTAAACAACAAGTCATTAATGTTACGTTTACGTTTTAAGTCAACTATTTACACTAACTATTTAAGTTAACTATATTTACACCAAGTTATTATAAAAAATAAACAAATAAATAGTGTTTATAAAAAACTATCTAATTATATTATTTTAGTATAAATTAGTAAATTTAAAAGCAAGTCAATTGGTAAAAAAAGTTATATACCATAGTAAAAACAAAACATCACGGCGCTGAGAACTGCTAAACCTGTAAGACCGGACAAGCGTGCAAAATGGTAGATCAGCGCCTATGATGAAGTCTAAAGACTAATAAAACTCAAACATAAAGATTAATATAAATATATTATATTGTTGTAATACAAACAAGAAATAAATTCCTGATTTTGTCACATTGTTGTGTCACATTAATCACCATCGAGAATTGGCATACCATTTGATGAGGACATTTGACGCTTACAAATATTAATAAGAACCACTTTTTACAAAAACTGGACAAATATAATTTTCAAATTCAAAACCATTGCTCTCTCAATCACACGTACACAAGGGCATTTTAATTTCCTTCGCACGTATTGCCGTAATTGTACGTTTCGAAAAATTGACCGTAAAGTACAATTTCCCAACTGTTAAAAGCCAATAACTTCTTATTGTTTCGACCTGTGTATTTGAAGTAAACCCGAAATATTAACTCTTTAGATGATAGGATATTGGCACTCGTCTGACCTAATTAGTGAGAATAAGCAGACCAAACTTTGGACATGCATTGTTCTGATAAATTTAATTTTGTTCTCTCTTTCTCTCTCACTCTCTCTCTTTCTCTCTCTCTCTCAGATTTTAAGTATGGGATCTTTTTTTTCAGGGTCTACTGGATTATCGCCATCTTCACGGCTTTCCTGATCGTCGGATACGTGATTAAAGATCAGGTCGAACATTTTTTAAAAAGTCCCGTCCTAATCTCCTTCGAGTCAAAGCAGACCCCAGTTGAAAAAATCCCTTTTCCGGCAGTCACGCTTTGCCCGGACATGCAGCTCAGAACTAGTATGTTGAACCTTTCCGAGGCCATTAACAACAACAATATGACACAAAAAGAGTAAGAAATTTTTTATATTTTCCTTCTAATAACATTTAAAAATAAAAAAGCCGAAGTGAATGCGACTCATATTTGTATTGTCGAAATTCACGTCCACCGACATTACCCTTAATTCATCGTGACCTAATCGATTAGGGATAATGTTGTCGTCCAGGAAAATGTCCGATTATCGTATTTGATCTGATTAGCTTTACGATGGAAGGTTTTGACATTTTTCTTTCTTTTTGTATCGCCCCCTTTAAAAATTCGGCTTGAATAAAATTCAACTGATTTAATCGCGTTCCGTTTCCTATGAACAGAATTTTTGCTCTTAACGCACCGATTCATCAAAGGGTTAAACAAGTTACATTGTACACATACACATCTTTCTGATGTGAAATAATGTACTGAACGGAGAGATGATTTAAAAAATTTATTTAAAATTTTTAAATCTTAGACACCGTAATGAGTAAAATGATAGGCAACTTAACTCATAGACTACAATTTACCCAAAACATGCACAAACAAAAAAAAATCTAAAAATGTGTTTTTTACACAACCTTCAGATGTGGATCAATAAAATAATTTCCTACATTTTTAGGAATGATTGTTAAAATAAACAAACTTCTTTAAACTACGCCCTATTAATACCTCCTGTAGATTTACATCCCAGGTTATAAGTTCCTCCAGTTCTTTCCCGGGCATGAAATGTTATTAGTAAACCAAATGACTGTTTTTTTCCAAACTTTTTGCCATTGGTTTATCATTTTTTGACCAATTTAAAATCTTTACATTGTTTTCAGCGTACAAAATCCTTTAAAATAGCATGTCAGGATATAGAGGGTTGTATTTAAAATTTTGAAGTTGAACTGGGCCTGATGTACCCTGTGCATGTATTTCTTTAAAAAAAATTGGAAACTAGACTCAAAAAATATTAAAGACTTTTTTTTTTGACAGTGTCATTGGTTCAAGGGAGAGTGAGCCGGGCCATCTAAAAAGGACACCTTGTATACAAATATGTGTGTAAATATATTTAATTCTTTCAATTAATTATGCTTGTCATGTAAGGTCTTGGTTGAGTTGAAAAAGCGAGTGTCATGGGTGGGATTCGAACCCACGACCTTCGGCTCAATAAAGCGCTGCTTTAACCATTTAAACTATCGTGGCAAGTGCTTAGAGCAGCGGTTATTGAGCCAAAGGTCATGGGCTCGAATCCCTCTCTTGACACTAGCTTTTTCACCTCAACCAAGACCTTACATAAAGAGCATAATTAATTGAAAGAATTAATCTAGTCAATTAGACCACTAAACATACTGGATTAATTTATTTTACATTCAAACGAATTTTATGTGTAGTTTAATCAATTTGATGTATGGTTTGCTATTTTTTGTAATTCTTGAGGATAGCTCTCCATTCCTTTTATTAACCGCTTTGGTTCCCCAATTGTATAAATTAATTATTTATTACATAGGCTAAAAGAAGTCTTCATTGAAAAAAAGGGAACTGTTAACATGTTTTATTTAATGTTTTACATATTATGTAGGATATATAAATGATATATTTCAAATATTAGTTGCTTCCAGTTGTTTTTGGATCTGTCGGAAGCACGGACACTCCGGAACTTCTCTATTATGTATCATATAAAAACTTATGGACTGATTGATAGAATCTTAACACAGATGGTAAATAAAAGGTGTATATGATCATGTGTTTTATTTAGCTGACATATTTCCAGTTTTTCGTTTCGATTCATCGCTAGATATCATCACTGTTCCTAGCTATTAACAAACTGTAAATTCTTGTGATACTGCGAAAGAAGAAGGAAATAGTTTCTCGCCGAATACTCCGTAGCAGACAGATTGGTGATGAACAACTCGTTTACTATCCGGCGTAGCCAAATAATATAAAACAGAATTGTCAAAATTGCCTCAAAGTTTACCATATCTTTAATGGCTGCTTTACCCAGACGGATCATAAAAGAGACGCAGCGCCTTTTGGAAGAGCCGGTTCCGGGGATCCAAGTGCAGCCGGACGAATTCAACGGACGTTACTTCCACGTGGCGATCGCCGGCCCGGCTGACTCGCCGTTCGAAGGGGGCTCGTTCAAACTGGAGCTGTTCCTCCCTGAAGAGTACCCCATGTCGGCTCCGAAAGTGAGGTTCGTCACAAAGATCTTCCACCCCAATATAGACAAACTTGGCAGGATATGCCTGGACATCCTAAAGGACAAGTGGAGCCCGGCGTTGCAGATCCGCACGGTCCTCTTATCCATCCAGGCGTTGCTCAGTGCGCCCAACCCCGATGACCCTCTCGCCAACGACGTCGCGGAACTCTGGAAGGTCAACGAAGCACAGGCGCTCATCACTGCCAGAGAATGGACTATCAAATTCGCCCTCGGGCACAATTGACGCCCTCGTCCCTTTCCACCCAACGTCGCACCGCTTTTACTCAAACGTGTGATCTAATAGGATATACAAATTAAAAATATGTTTTTTTAAAATATGTTTTCTTTTTGGAAATATGTAATTCATAAACTACTAGGTCTAAATAAACGATTTTAGATATTTAAACATTAGTGACAAAGAAATAGCTGAAGTGTCATAAAATGCTTTTGATTCTGTTATAAAATAAACAATTATCAACTATTTTCATAGTTTGTTTATTTTTTTTATAAAAAATAAAAAGCTTTTCAGGGTTTTTAATTGTTAATAAACTTTTATCCTTAAAAAATTCTATACCTAGACAAAAATACACTGACAGGCACAAAATTCCATCCAATTGGTTTTTTTTCTCTATAACAGAAAATTCTGCCTTTAATTTGTCTTTTTGTATTTATCAATTGTTTGTGCTAACTTTTAAATTGGGAATATAAATTAGAGGTAAATACACTTAATCCTTAATCCAAAACAAGGGTAAAGAAGATTTCATTGTTCCTCAGCTGAAAGTTATGCGCCTGGAGCTGCAGAACTTTCTCGATCAACTCCTAGAAAGGAGATTTGTTCAAAAATCAGTTTCAAAATAGAAAAATTACTGTTTTAGACGGAATCCGTTTTTCAAAATTTATAATAATCTTTTATAATTGATGTGATAATCTGCTATCACGTTGGAAATTGTTATACACTGACAGGCACAAAATTTCACCCAATTGACTCTTTTTTTTCATTTTCTCGATAAAATAAATAATTCTGCCCTTAACTTGTCTCATTGTTTTCATCGATTGTTTATGCTCATTTTTAAATTGGGAATATCAAGAATAAAGGATGTTTCAATGTTTACTTTTTAAAGAATTTAAAATGTTTAGGAGGAAATTTACGATGAGGTCTGCAAATTCTTTAGGCGTATGAGCGTCAAATCCTCAAATCCCATTTGCAGATCCATAGGTGCATATCCAACAAATGCAAATTGGAAACATAAGAGGATCAAACACAATGTACCTGGCTTATAAATTTGTCATAGTTATCAAATTCATAGTTATACGAATATTTAATTATGTATTTAATTATTTATTTATTCACTTCTCATCTACATTTTTTATATGCACTTATTTAATTTATATACAGACTTCATCCCTCTGCTTGTGGTTTTTTTTAACATAAATTTTTTCCCACAAACTGTTATGGAATTTTGTATATAAAAATGATTAGTGTAAATAGTAGGAAGCCATAGTGAAATGTCACTTTCCCTATATTCTAAAATTATTGTATATATTGTTGTGCACATGTACAAATAAAAATTATTCTATTCTATTCTAAAATGTTTATTCAGTCTCATTTGAATTCTGAAGCAATAAAATGTTTAGTTTTCATCTTTGTTTTCTTAATTACAATTTTTAAACGAAAAATTCACTTAGTGCTGAGGATGTTGCGCGTGGTGTGGCACTTATTGATGATTGATGTTCCATCAGGTAGGCGGGTATTGCCATCGGAGTTCCCTACGAAACACTGCGAAACGCCATTAGACGTTTTCCAGAAACTAGGTGCTTCCATAGAAGGCCGGTTCTGGACGCCCTAGGAAAATAGAACCACAGGATGACCGTTTTTTGACTTTGAGAATCTTCAAAATGGCACCTTACTGTTGTTCAAGCGATTCATGAGCTCAAGGATATTCAAGGTGTCCAAATATCTGAACGCACTGCGCGAAGAAGATTAAATCAATACGGACTGATGGATTTTGGTAAGAGGACCAGAATTGATCAAAACACACCGAGTTGCATGGCTCGCATTTGCTCGAGAACAAAGCCATTGGTCTTTGAACGACCTGTCTGCTGTACCTTTTACTGATGAGTTTAGATTTGCTCTACGATCTCCAGATGGGCGGGAAAGAGTGTAGAGAAGGCGAAATAAAAGTTACGAAGCTTGTAATTTTTCCCAGAGCCGACCTTTTCAACGTAGCTCAGTGATGGTGTGGGCGGGAATTTCAATGGAGAGTCCTACAGCTCTTAGCTCACCTTCAGTTTTTCTGTTCTTCAGCTCTTAGCTCCTACAGCTCTTAACTGCTACAGCACTTCAATTTACAGGTTGTTAATAGTTATGTGAACGAAATAGCGAACTGTTCAACTTTGTGGCTTCGCGCTGGCACATTTACCCATGGAATTAGCTGTGAGCTGATTCATTTCACCGAGTGGGCGGTTTTGATAAAATCCTTAAAAAGACCGGTTTTTCCCATCTCTTCCTTAATATACGCAGCGATACTCGAACGATTGTTCCATTTATTCCATTCTTGTGTTGTTTGCTTTTATTGTTTTAGGCTAGAGAAATTTTACTTTGCATTGAAAATATGCAACATCATTTCTTCCAAAGTAGTCAACATTTCTTTTACAAGAGAACTCGTCCACGATATGATCGATGTGAGAATTTGTAATGTTTAGACAAATATTGCCAAATCTAAAAATCCATTAATGTAATTCGATTTCTTACAGTCGATAAACGGAAACGAAAGCTGCGAGAGCATGGTACACTCGATGGAATGGGAGAAAAACATGTACGACAATCCGTGCGACTACCTCCAGCCTACAATCACATCCTACGGCGCTTGTTTCACATTCAACATGCTCCCTCTCGACCAGATCCTCCGCCGGACGGAAGAGTAAATAACCATATTTTGAGAGGATGATTATTTGACACGAATCCAACATTTCTTGCAGAAACTGGTCATCGGAGAGATATTTTGGCAAAGAGCCGATCTGGACCCCAGATGAGGGTTTTTTGAAGAAGAAAAGCACCGGCTACAATTTCTCTTCTCCTTGGGCGATCAAGCGGTCCACCTTGCCCATAGGCGTCGCGCTTTTCTTCCTGAAGCTCTCTTCGACCGGCTTCGACGAAACGTGCGGCTTCGGTGGATACGGATTTTTCGTAAGTAAATTTAATTAATATACGCTGATAAATTCAGTTTAAATTCACATCATCGCCCGAAAAAAATCATAAGCTTTTAATCCCAACTTTGAGTTTGACTATACTAAGCACAATTGTAATTTACTATTTTCTAATTGTAGTAGAACAGATTACTTTATAAAGGTATTATATAATTGTACTTTATACATAACGCCCAATATTATGAAAATACCATTATATAAAGGTAGTAATTATTAGTTAAAAGTAGTTAAAGGAAAAGATCCCCGGTTCGAATCCAAACGATGTAATTATAAATGGGCTGTTTTTATGTTGTTTTTTTCACTCCGGCACTCACGGGGCTGTTATGATCTCTGCTATTGCCCTCGTTAAAATAATTATAATAATAATGGTTTTTTATTATTTTTATTTTTATAAAAACGTTATTTATTAACTTTCCGTAGGCTTTTTTTAATGATTTAATAAGTTTGTCGGGATTTTTACTGTTGAACAAGGACAACCACAACATATTCTTTTAACGCCACATTATTCTTTTATTTTCACATTCATAAAATTTCTTTCATACGCCATATATTATTTATTCATAATACTATTGTCAAATTAACCTTTTTAAGTTAATTTGCAGATCGTGACATGCGGTCATTTGTGATGTAGGTTTAGAAAAACATTTTCTTTATTGTGCCAACGTTTCGAGCTTTATTTAGATCATCTTCAGGGCTCAAAGTGTGTGTTTTCTGTGTAGTTGTGTCACGGTTGTGCGTCGCATACACACAACACTCTCGACATGACACAATAAAAATAATATATAATTAACAATACAAAATAATCATTAATTAACGGTCACTAAATACTACACCTTTCTAAGATTCAAATTAACCATTTTTACTTTAAATTAACCATTTTTAACTTCAAATTAATCCTGTTTTATTTCAAATTGATGTATATTATAATTTAATTAAATTCACTAATTTCGTGGTTCGCTTGACCAATTAAATTCACTAATTATAATTATAATTTAAATTGATTTATAATTTTTATTTAAAGTGTATTGACATGAAAATTAGTGTCACGAGCTGGACTCGAACCCACGAACTTCAGCTCAATTTGGGCTATCGTGACTTCGGTCCCCTCGGAATACCAACTCATTTTCTTACAACTTTTTCGAATTTCCCTCTTTGTGGTAAATTTATAAATTTTATTTAAATCATAAACTTTGGTTAAATAGGAAAAAAGGATTAATATATTAGTTTGTTTTGTTTTTTCAGACAAACATCTGTTGTTTTGATATATATTTCTTTTTGAAAATAGTTTATGCTTTTTGCTGAAACATCAAACTCTACAATTTCACTGTTATTCTGGCATTTTCAAGTTCATGTAGTTGTCCAAAGAAAGGGTAAAAACTGACCACTTTCAGTACCTTTCTCTCAAAATTTATTAGCCTATTACAATCACTCTTTTATTATTTGATTTTTCTTATTATAATGTGAATTTTTAAATAGTATCTTTTACTAATAATAAATCGTTAATTTTTGATAATAACCTTAATTTGAGATAAAATTGTATACCCATTTTTTATTAATAAAAAAATATATCTTCGCTTTTGAATTTTTTTTCAATATTGTTTGCTAGGATTGTTTGATAATTATTTCTCTACAAAAAGGGAAAAAATCGTTTTAATATGATTCAGAATTTGGAGAAAAATGTAACGACAGCTGAAAAGATACATGTAAGACAAACGATTTTTTTTTTAATTTTCCCCTTTGCCGAATAATTTACTCCATAAAACCGTCCATTCTTCTGAAATTAAAGAGTTAATAGACGATTTTTTATACTGAAAATCGTCATCGGTAGTCTTTGACACATAATTATGAAAGCCTTCACAGCGTAAGAGACTTCGAGTTGCAAGTTCGTCGAGGCAAGCCACACCAGAACAGTTGATTTACCACTTTCAAAAAATTATTTGAAGCACTTCTAAAATTCATAATACCATCATACCAATGTCATTCTGTGCCAAAAAGGTATTATTTTAATATAAAAGGATATTGGTTATAAGCTACACCCTTTAATTGGTTATGCTTTTCTGTTTGTACATACTCTTGTGATCTGGTGTCTATAAACAATATTCATACAAATTATAATTAGAAACATACTTTTCTTACTTGTTTGTTTGTGAATTTTTATGTGTAATTGATTGATATAGATGGAATCAAAAGGAATTTCATAAATATAATTAAAATAGCATGTCAAGCCTGACGCAACGAAACGTTTTGTCATGACCCAATTAATATGACAAAGGACAATATTTTATTAAACTGGCCCTTTTCTTTTATTCATATTGAAGGATGATTATGTTTTATAAATTTATAAGAAGTTAATCAATAATACTGAAACCAAATGTTTACTTGTTCAAAATTGGGCAAGAAAAACTAGCTGTTTTTTCTTTCTGACCTACCCAGAAAATTTCGCATCGACAAAGTTTGTTTATACTTTTTTCTAACCCTCGACGCTTATTTTTAGAAATCGTATCGTAAAGTTTCTGCAAGGGTCGAAAGGCGCAATTATTGCATAGGATCGATGATCCAGTTAATCCCACGGGTTTGCTTCATGATCACGGGAGGGTCGAACAATAAGACATTATTGCCTATTAAACCTGACGAAAACAATTATTTAAAAATAGCAAGTAATTGAATTAATAAAAAATGAAAAATTGTCTTCATAAAACATAATCTAATCGCAATAAAAAAAATTAACAAAAAGCTTCATATATCTTTTTTTAATTACCTAATTGTGGTTAATTAGTCTGATCGTCTAGAAGTACTGTAGGGTCAATAAACATTATGATTTATGAAGATTATAAAAGAATTTTACAATCCATTATGAAAATAGTCAAATTAAACGAATCTTTTGTTTGCCTTATGCAAGAGGGAATAAAGTATATTCTTTTTATTTAAAAGATAAATATATTAATTTGTAGCAATAAAGAAAGTCCGATGTGACAATATTTTTATAAAAAATGTCAAATTACTGTCAAAAATTTATTGTTTTTTTTTTTTGTATATTTAAATGAAATCATCTTTGAGGCAAATCGACCGTAGTGTTTTAGAGAGTTTTAAAACCATGGTTGACCAAATAATTTCTAATCTTGATGAAATTGCCAGAATTTTTTTTTAAATTCGAATAGGGATACGTCCACAACCCTGCAGAGTTGCCAGGCCAGGCGCACCCCACGATATACGCCGAAGCGAACCGTACCCTGCTAGTCCAACTCCAACCCAAGATGTACACCATCAACCATAGACTGAGAAGGTGGAACGCCAAGGAGAGAGGTTGCTACTTCGACACTGAACGCTACTTGATGCTCTTCAACATCTACACGCAGAGGAACTGCGAGCTGGAGTGCGAGGCCAATTTCTCAATCGCCCACTGCAATTGTATGGCATTCTACCATCCGTGTGAGTTGAAAAGAGAGCTTTTCTACAATTTCATTTCAAATACAAAAACTCAAAATATTCGTTTGAAGAGTTTGTTTTTCTATCAGCATCATTATTGTTTTGAGTTTGCTAATTGTCCAGTCTGATTGCTTCAACATGTGCGTTAAATGTTACAGTAAAGAAGCATAATTAATTTTCAAGCTTTGCCACCCAAAATCCTATCCATGCCTCCAACATTCAAGAACACCTTGAGCTTATCAGACTGGTGCAAAAAGTGGAGGATAAAATTAAATGAAGAAAAGTGTTCACATTGGAAAAACACTTCCACTGTACATAAACAGCAAAGTTACCGATTTTCATTCAAGTCAATTACTTATGGCAATACCTAAACCCCAGACTGACATGGAACAAGTCTTCAGAGAGGACAACTTAACAGAATAATTGAACAACTACGAAGACTTAACTAGGAAGACTTTTAAGGAAATCCATCTTGACCACTGGGGTCGCAATGTCATGTAACATGAGGTCCTTTAGCGTGCGCACCTAGGCCAGGCCTTATCACACGTTTAATTCTCAAGTTAGGAGCGACTCACCACCGCGCACGGAAAATCTGCTTCTTCCGTGAGGTTTGGTGTAGAAGCCCGCAAATCCACAGACAAATCGACAGACATGCTGACTTCTCCCGCTTGCCCCTTCCGAGAAGGTGGGTTAACGTTGTGCACTTAACCAGTCTGCCAGTTGTGCCAAGTCTCCCACGCACTCCCTATATACAGGCGACAACTCTATCTACCGGGGTGGAGGGGCTCTGCTAGCGTCGAAACTCCGGCCGCGGTTTCGATTTTAGTGGAATCTCTAACCACCCCCTAGAGGAGACCATGCCTACGGTAAAGGCAGTCCAGACCCCCACCACCGACAAGCATCCGCCCCCGTCCACCATTCCTTACGCATTCGTAGTCATAGCTCCTCGCTGGCTATACGCTCTCGGCAATCCGATCCTTCCGATTTCCACAAGGTCAGGAGGTGATTTGGAGGTCATACACAAGTACTATGGTCCACAGCCACGAATGAAACACAGCCTGTTCTCTAGGTACCCGCTAGGGGTCTCACTACTAAGCCACTGCGAGTCCTTACCACGCAACTGAGCTTGAACCTGGAACGAAAATACGCTGCCCCGCAGTTCAGATGGTTATGCACCCTCCGCCGTCCGTATATACATAAAAATATATATTTAGACAAGAACTGGTACCATAACTCTCGTGTGCCTCTGATGCAGCACCCGCCGTCCGAGGTCAGCTCGCAAGCCACCAACTCCTATCAACACTAAACTATACAAATTATACGACCACTTTGGACATACGGAATGGAACTGGGGGGTTCTACTTAACCATCAAATATCCAGCACATCCAATCGTTCCAACCAAAAGTCCACAGAAATCGTCAAAGCACCTTCTACGTCACTAACCTCACTTCCACAACGACCTCAACGTTCCTTTTGTCAACGAACTGAACCTGAATGAACTTCCAAAAGTTTCACACCAACCTCTCGATCCATCCTAACCCTCTCTACACATTCCCATCTCGAAAACCAGACATGTTTTCTTACTCGAAATGGCCTCGAAATCTCCTTGTCCTCTCACTGAGTGCCAGCATTGACTAGTTTCTCATGGCATTTGTCCTCCGGGTGCAGCACTGGCATTAGATACAGTGTTGTGACCGTGTGAAAAAAAGTTTTGTGAACACATTTGTAACACGTCCTAATATGTATAGTGCACAAATAAAATAATTTAAAAAATTCTGTACAGGTATGACAAACAAAATATATTCACCATTCATTTGGTCAATTGATTGTTTAATATTTAATTTTTTTACGGTTTCAGACGTTGAAAATATTTCAATTTGCGGCCCTACAAGTTATCAGTGTCATCAAAGCAATAAAGGTACCAACTTTTTACTTATTTTTTTTATTCATTTTTTCACACAAAACTCAGTGAAAATGCAGTGTATCACTTTAATATATTAAAAAAATCAGTCCAATTTGAAAACAAATATACAACATTTTCATGTAAAACTCAAAAATCTCTCTCATTCACAAATAATGGTCTTAATCTTTTAAATATTACAAAGATTTTATTAAGAAAATGTTTATCACCATTAAACAAGGATCACATGTTGATTAAGTAAAAACTTATGGTAATCTTTGCCTGGAATGTACAACATAAGAATTGTTTAACATTTTATACGACATTGCATTTGAAGATAAAGCTAAGGTCTGTGATTGTCTGCCGTCTTGCTCCGAACTACAATACGACATAGTGACACTCTCAATAAATAGGAACTGGCCTGACAAACGCTTGCAGTACAAAAAAGACAACGAGTAAGAAATTTGACACCGTGTAATTAAGAAATTAAGAACTAAGTCTCACTCTCTGATTTTACAGCCCCAACATGAGCCACACGATGATCAAAGTGCAGTACGAGAGCAGGTACGTCCAAGGTATCACGAGGGATGTCATGTTCGGCCTGTCCGATTTCGTCGGTAAAACGCCCAGACACAAAGACACTTAAGGGATATTCGGTATATGAAATTTTATTTTCAGCCAACGTCGGAGGTCTTCTGGGGCTTTTTCTCGGCTTCAGCATCCTGAGCCTCGTCGAGGTGATTTACTTCCTCACTGTGAGGATCTGCACGAAATTGTGGAGGGACCACGTGGACAGAGGAAGAGAACGACAAGGGAACTGGAACGATTTAGTCTTGTAAACGAACCGACAAACCCTCTCGTAAAAAACACTGTCAAAACAAACAAAAATCTTCAAATGTATATTTTTTAAAACGAATCAAAATTACACTTTCGATCTTATGTCGTTTTGAATAAAATTTATTATTGCAGTAAAACGAGAATAGCTAAATGATACATGTCAATTATAACTGTCACTATTAGTTAGAATTTAATTAATTTAATTGAACTTTTTGTTTTATATTATCAACAAAATCATTACAGTCAGTTAATGATTCCTCAATATTCTGTAAATTTAAAATAAATCCCATTTCCAATCTGATCTCATTGGAAAACGAAAAATTGTGTGTTTATTCCATTAAACTTGAGCCAAATTAATGGAAACTCCTTGACAAAGAGTCATTCATGTCGACTTTAGGCAGGTGTCCTTTAAAGAGAGAATTTATTTTACCTGATAACACCTAGCAGTATGTGTATGTATATGTAAAGATAATATGCGAGGTGTAAATGTACATTTTCAATGGCTACGATCTTTTAAAATTTTCTATCCTAGCGTTTTAGTAAGTTTTAATTTATTTGTGTTTACGTCTCCCAAACATGTCGTAAGAATGAATCATCAATTTGATTTCCGTCCTCATCATTCGTCGATTCAGCAGTGTTTCAAGGTGTCTGACAGTCTTTAGATCAGAGAGTACTGCTTGCATTCTTAGACATGTCCCAAACTTTTGACAGGGACTGGTAGCAGACAGTTCTCTTCAAACTAAACTACCTACTCCTTATTTCAAAATCTAACGATCTCTGTTTCAGAGGGGGATGTCGCGGGCGAGTTTTCGGAAGTCAGACCGATCAAGGCCGGTGTCCCGCACGGGATCATTCTTAGTCCCATCCTATATACCATTTATACTACCGACCTGCATCCCACCTTCCTTAATACCTACGCGGACGATACTGTAATTTTAGTCTTGACTCCAATCCTACCCAAGCCACCTCCAATATCCAGGAGCGTCTTGAGCTCATTGAAAAGGAAATCCTCACATAAGACTCAAAAACAAAACAAAAAACTAACACTGTACAAAACGTTACTTGGATATACAGAGCACAGCTCATGATCTGATGATCTACATGATCACCAAGTAATCTAACGTTCAATAAATCCAAGCATTACAATCAAAAGTCCTAAGAAGACCTCCAAACTCCTTACAATGTCTCCAAATTCATTTAACCTTTCCTTCGTCAAAAAATTGATCCTTTCCCTTTCCAGAAATTTCATTCCAACGTTTCAACCCATCTTAATTCTACTACTCAAGCTATCTCCACTACTTCCCATCTTAAGAACCTTCCACGGCTCCCCAAACGACGATGGCCCCGACACCTCAACCTTTAATATAATATACTGTTGGAGGAGGGGGGATTTTTGATGTTATCGTGGCATATCAGGCACAAAATTGACCAGAAAGCCCTAATTCCATGCATTTAAACGATTAACGCTTTTAAAATAAAAGGTAGGAAATGTAGCAATACGTAAACTAACAAGAAAAATATTGAAGCACATACAAACAAGATTAATTCCAAAAACGACTTTTTAGAGGATCAGGTACATAGAAATGTACATTAAAACTGTAAGAGCCATCTTTAAAAAAAAAAAATTTGGTATATAGATGACATACACATAGGGTTTTTGGCTACTCGTGTTACAAATTATGCCAGTAAATTCTACATTTAAAATAGAACCAAAATGTCCTAAGTAAATGTGGTCCGAATCTCAACAGTTTCGGAGTTAATTCAATCTTTATGATTTTTTAAGATTTTACGACCTCGCTTCAAATAAACAATGATAATCCAAAACTAAAAGGTTTTGGACAAATCTGTTGATACTATTGAAAATTAAGTTAAATTTCCAATGAGATGTGATTAATACTAAACTTGTAAATATTGGTGAAATAAACGTTTTAGTAGTGAGAACTGAAAAAACAAATGTTTTTCAAAGTTGAAAAACTTACTATGGTGATTCTTAAGTACTGTTTCCAAACCTAGAGACCAGCCAATTTCAGAAAACGTACTCCATTTAATATCCTTTTTAGTGGTGTAACTGCTTTTTTAATTACTTTTTCAAAAATGAAGAAATTGATGAAGAAAAGAAAAAACCCTGGTTGAGGGATTGGTGAGGTGGAAAGATTTAAAAAAAATGAAAAATTAAGGAAATTTTGAATAAATTTATTAAACGTTTTTTAACCGAAATTGTTTACTTATTTAACAACATGACTGCAACTTTGAAAGGATTATTGTATTATTATTTCCCGGAATAAAAGAGTTTTAAGATTCCAAACGTTTTTAGTTCATTCATTCAAAATTTCCTTAAGTATTTTTATTTATTATAATTATTAATCTTTCCATCTAACCAATCTGTCAACCACGTTTTTTTTACTTTCCTTCATCAATTTCTTCATCTTTGAAAAACTAATTAAAACGGAATTACAACACTAAAAAGGATATTAAATAGAGTACGTTTTTTGAAATTCGCTAATCTCTAGGTTTGGAAATATTAGTTTAGAATCACCATAGTAAGTTTTTCAACATTGAAAAGAAAAATTATTTTCCAAAATTCTGGCTACTAAAATGCTTATTTCATCAACGTTTACAAGTATAGTATTGATCACGAATGATCTTATTTGGAAATTTAACGTAGTTTTCAATGGTATCAATGGATTTGTCCAAAACTTTTCTGTTTTGGAGTTATCATTGTTTATTTGAAGTAAGGTTGTGAAATCTTAAAAAAATCATAAAAAGTGGAATAACTCCGAAACTGTCGAGATTCGGACCATAGTTAACTAGGACTTTTCGGTTCCATTTTAAATGTAGAATCTACTGGCAAAGTTACACGAGTAGCCGAACACCCAGTATATGTCAAAAAGTACCGATGGTGTTTGCTTCTTTTGACTGTAAGATTTTTAAGCCAATCTCCATTAAAACGAGCAAAAATTTATATGGAATAAAATAAGATTTTTGTTTTATTTTTTATTTTATTTTTTATTTATTTATTTTTTTAATAAATAGCTTTTATGAGGCAATATCAGTGATAGGGAAACGGCTAGGAACTCCGGACTTTGACGAGTTTGAATAAAGGCGGCCCGGCGCTCGACCAATCAAGTTGAGACATTTGTCTTTGCTAGTTTAGGTTAACAAATGTACGTGTCTTCTTCAGTGTATCGTAGACTCTGTGGAGTTTAACGCTCAGTTCTTTGCTCTTCGCCCTTTCGCCAGTATTCCGTACGGGTCCTTTTTTCAAAAAGAGGCCCGATTATCGTTGAAGACGCTCGTAAACGGAACTTTTTCCCTTTTTGTTTCATTATATTAATTATTATTAGGGTGTTTTATTTTTCGCTTTCCTCCTCATTCTCCTCACATCGGTTCCGGCGTTTCGTGAAAATGAAAAGATACGATATTAAATTCACCCTGTTCCTGACGGTCGCAACTGTCCTCCTACAAAGCGTGTACACGCTGAAAAAAGAAGACTGCGAAGGTAAGTTGAAAAAGATTTTTGTCAAAATTTAAATTTACCGACTGCCTATTTTTTCTTATTTTTTTAACCGACTTTTTCACCCTTTTCCAGTTTGTTTCACCGTTCTAGAAAAGTTCAATGAACGACTGACGGACGAGATTAGGTCCGATCAGACGAAAATAGAAGACGAATTTAAGAAATTTTGCAAAACGACTTCAAACAGCAATAACAGTGCTAAATTAAAAGAAAACAAATTCGTAAGTCATTTCATTACTTAAAAAAAAACATTCGTACTAATTAAAAACCAAATCTTTTTCTCTAGTGTTACTACTTAGGAGGCTTAGAAGAATCAGCAACAAGTATCCTGAGGGATCTGTCCAAACCACTCTCCTACAACCTTCCAGTCAACAAACTTTGCGAGAGGCTTGCCGCCAAAGTCGGAGGGATCTGTGCACTCAGATATGGTAAAGACAAACACATTTGATTTTAAGTTTACTTTGGGGGGGGGTCTGTTTAAACGTACCAACAATCTTCAACCAAGGGATCACTGACTACAACATTTTAGGCATTAACACGGCGCTCATCACTGTAAGGTAAAGGTCGGGGTTTGAATCCAGCAGCTCTGCATTCGAACCCGACATACTTACAAATGTTTTTTTTTTTCCAAAAACAATGGCACCCCACGGGTTCATACCTTCACTTCTGTTGTTGTGAACACTCGTAAAAATATAAACTTCAAGAAACAGGAGGGTCTTTACCAACATTATTATTAAAAAGTGAAACAGAAGTAATAATTATCACTCATCAACAAAGATAACAGTGCATTCTTGGATAACAGAAGAACACACTAGCACCAAGATCTTTCTGAATTAGCCAAATAACAGCAATTTCAAACAGTAAAACAGGCCTGGTTTATTAAGGAGCTGGAAATTTTGAAAAAGTGGAGTTTGGTCATTTCTGATCATTTTAGGATGCCTATCTGGTCTATTTCTTTGAAATGTTTTTACCAAGATTATTATTAAAAACTGAAAATGACATATGTATAACACTCTTCAATAAAGAAACAGGGTATCCTTGGTAATCTGAATTAACTGGGACCAAGACCTTTTTTAATTAGCCAAAGACATGGATTTTCAAACCGTAAACGGTTTATTAAGGAGCTGGGAGTTTCAAAAAAGTGAACAATTTTCATGGGTAAATGTGAAGTTTGGTCTTTACTGATCATTTTGGTATGCCTGTGAGGTGTATTTCTTTGGAGGGTCTTTACCAGCATTATTATTAAAAACTGAAAGTAACGTAGTACTTATTCTTATATACATACTTATACTTACTTATTAAATCCTTTATATATAGTGGTCTATTGACCAAATTACTTCTTTAAATTAATTAATCTTTTTATGTAAGGTTTTGGTTGAAATGAAAAATGGCAAAAAGGAGGGAAAATTTGAAAGGTTGTAAGTTGAAATGGGGAGTTGATCGAAGTGGTAGGCAGCGGCGTATTTAGCTGAAGGTTGTAGGTTCGAATCCCGTTCATGGCACTAGCTTTTTCATTTTAACCAAAACCTTACATAAAAAGCTTATACTTACTCTTCAAGAAAGATAACAGGGAAATCTTGGATAACAGAGGAACAAATAGGACCAAGACCTTTTTGAATTAACCAAATAACTGTAATTTCAAACAATAAAATAGTCCTGGTTTATATTAAGTAGCTGGAAATATTGAAAAGGTGGAATTTGGTCATTTCTGATCATTTTGGCCTATCAAGTGTATTTCTTTGGAATATGTTTACTAAGATTATTAAAAACTGAAAATGGCCTTACGTGTATAACACTCTTCAACAAAGAAACAGGGTATCCTTAGTCATCTGAACTAACTTGGACCAAGACCATTTTGAATTATCCAAATATATGCATTTTCAAGGGTTTATTAAGGAGCTGGAAGTTTCAAAAAATGAACACTTTCCGTGAGTAAATGTGGAGTTTGGTCTTCACTGATCATTTTGGCCTATGAGGTGAATTCACTTCCAGCCCCCGCAACAAATTTCCCAATCCATCCACTCCTAATGATTACTACCCTATATCTATCCTATCCAATCTGACCAAACCCCTTGAGAAGTTAGTCCATATCCAAGTCTCCAACCACCTAGAATATTCCAATCTTTTTACCACCTCCAATCCATATCCAAATAGTTTCTCTACACAGACTGCCCTAGTCAAAATTATCAGTGACATTCACACCTCAGTGGACCAACAAAAAGTTATTATCCTAATCCTTCATGATTTCACCAAAGCCTTTGATTCTGTTGATCACTCCTATACAAACTCGAATCCTTTTCTTTCTCCAATAGCACCATCTGATGGTTCCACTCTTATTTTACCAATTGGCTTCAAACTGTCACTATCCCTAACAGTCCCACCTCCTCCTTCCTTCTATTAAAATCGAGTGTTCCTCAAGGCTCTAGCATCTCTCCCATCCTTTTCAACATCTAGCAGCATTCCTCTCCGATTCCATCCAGTATTGTAAATATCACTTTTATGCTGACAACACCCAAATCTGACAATTTTGCAATGAGTGCTCAGGCTATTGAGTTGAAAATAGTCTTAACAACCACAGATAAATAATATCTTTTATTATGAGATTTCCTCATGTGATCTGAGGGTGATAAACCTGAAGGTTGGTCATTTCCAATCATCCTGGTCCGCCTATCGTCGCATTTTTCATCTCAGACAGGTAGAGGTCATGCCCATAGTTCACATCTGACACAGATCAAATTCAACTAAATGAAAGGTCAGCTTCAATCTGTTAACCCTGACTACCATTGAATATGGCAAAAGACTCTCCACGTTACAAAAGAGCACAGGCATTTCAGATAAATAAACCAAAACGATACAGATGTCCCCTAATATAAGATGTCAGAAGTTAGTTTTCTTTCTGGGAATTTTATTTTTCCTTATAGAAAGTAATTTTTCTTATTTTAATATATGGTACTGTGTAGCATAAAACATAAATTCCTAGAAGTATTCATAAGGTTAAGTATATTGTGAGACAGAAAATGCTTTTCTAATGTGACATATGTAAGTACAAAGAAACCAGGTATTCCTTGGGTGTGATATCTAACCCCGGAATTTTTTTTCTCCTTTTTTTACCTAATTACAAAATAAATATTTTAATAATCCTAAGTCAATATTCTGATTACTTTAAACAATAATTTATACGTTTTAAGATATCCACACAAAATTTATGGCCAACACTATCTCCTCATTATTTATATCAAACTGTTTTGCAGGATCTTATTTTCATTTAATGTTGTGGTAGATAATAATTTTTCTCAGTAACCCAATGAAAAAATATTAATAGTCTTACATCTGTAAATTAAACAAGCATACTTAATTAGAAAATCACACAAAATAATTGACAAACTTTATGTTTTACTTTGGTTTACGGGTATTAAGCAGCTTGTAAACAAACTTTGAATTATCCTAAGTAACATTGTCAAATTAAATTAATTATGGTTTTTAAGTTGAGATAAAAATCTTAATTAATTGAATGTTATTAATTGGTCAAGCGGACCACGAAAAATAGTGAATTTAATTGTCAAATTAATTTACCATTTATTTACCGAAAGGTTAAACATTAATTTTTGTCACTTTTAAGATAGAACACAAAATTAAAATTGTCCTAAGTCAACTCATTAACAGAAAACAATTGCATGATCATCAAAACTTACAATTGATGCTTTGTTACTGTTTTGTTTATTTTAATATAAAATGTTTGTCAACATAGTGATGTTTTACTTTATAAGACAATTTGATCTATTTTTTTTTCCTTTACAGACAAGACAATTGACTGGAATACAGTCAATTTGAAGAAACTGAAAGTCAGGGACCTGAAGAAAATCCTCAACGACTGGGATGAAGACTGCGAAGGTTGCATTGAAAAGACTGACTTCATCAAGAGGATAGAATCGCTCAAGTCGAAATACCTAAAGACAGAATTGTGAGACAACTATAACGGACTTATAATTAATTCAATTGTACAGAAAGAGAACAAAATGGATAAAAACCAGACCTATTCAATGACAATTGTTTTGGGGAGGGGGGAATTTTGTTCTGTTGGTTTATTCACTTTTGTGTTTGTTATTTGTGTTTTTGTGTTGTTTGTTACTGGCGATGCGGTGCTGGTTGCTGCGAAAAAGGCGGGTTTCGAAAAACACACTGTGAATGAATCGATCATAGGGCTCAATCGTACTAAGCGTGCACTCATGGTTCAGTTTAAGAACTTAATTCATTTAAATACGGTGCATTTTGTAAAATGCAATTATTTATTTATACACATTAATAAGTTTATAAATAAAACATATTAAATTGTTTTTTAATTTGTATAATTTAAATTTAATTCAATAATATACAAAGTTTAAAAAATTGTCTTTGTTTTGGAATGATTTCTATGTACATTTTTTAATTTTTTAAACCTTTCTTCCTCAAGTCCTCCTTTGCTTCCTTGATTTGCTGTGAACAAACAAAAAATGTATTAAAATGAGTAAATAAAGCACAGTGTATTCATTACTTTTGGAAGTTACTTCTCACATTGGTAGGACATATTAAGCAACCTTTCTGAACGTGCCAGACAAATATGCGAGCTTTGGCCCAAAAGTGTCCGTGTGTTAACCTCACATAAGATCTAAGAAGGGGTAGTATGAGTCAGGTCCTCTAAGGGCCACCTATCAATACACAAGTTCGTGTTTTGTTACTCTCTAGGTTATAACAAAGGAAAACTGAAAAAAATCCAGCTGAAAGTCTGAGCAATCAGATTTGTATCGATTTTAATTTTAAAGATGACCCTTTTATGAGTCAGGTCTTCCAAGGGTCACCTATCGACAATGCTCTTGATACTCGACAGCTTTGCCAATCCGGCCCACCAACATTACCAAGTTAGTTTTTTGTTACTCTCCTGATTATAACAAAGGAAAACTGAAAAAAATCCAGCTGAAAGCCTGAGCAATCAGATTTGTATAGATTTTAGATGACCCTTTTATGAGTCAGGTCTTCCAAGGGCCACCTATCGACAATGCTCGTGATACTTGACAGCTTTGCCAATCCAGCCCACCAACACTAATCGTTTTTTATTGAATTTTTTGCATTAGAGGGCTAGATAAGTACGGAAATTGGGAAGTCCCGGCTTTTTCTGTTACCCTCCTGATTATAACAAAGTGAAACTGAAAATAATCCAGCTGAAAGCCTGAGCAATCATATTTGTATCAATTTTAATTTTATTTGATATAAAAACGCATTTCTGTTGCATGACCTATTTTTATTTTGGTTTTATTATTTTTAAAAATTGAAGTTGAATCTTTTTAAGTTTGTCCTTAAGACAAGTATTGTTAATCTTTTTACATCTCATTATTGTTATTTATTTCCTTGAAAGCAAAGGTTTTTGTTTTATTTTTATGTCGCAGCTTAACGTCTTATCATATATATTTTATGTTATTGAAACAATATAGAAGCATCTTGCTTCTTGCACGAAACTTGTCTTGCGTTATGGAGACCTAGGGAAACTTTTGGCACAAGGGTCAGCCAACCAGTTGTCGGTTTTTTAGTGAGCATCAAATTGTTTCATGTTGTGTGTTTCAATCCGTGTAAACGCACTTGTCACGATTATGAAAATAAACCAGGACTTATCCGAATGTAGGCAAACTACTGATTTTTGTGGGATGTGAAGATAAAACTTATCAGAACGAGAGGAAGGAAATCAACATCAAAATGGAACAAACTGTCGGTACGCTTACAGCAAAACTGAAAAAATTTTCTTAGTTTGTTTTTCTTTTAACATAATGTATCACCATGATAGCAAACACTGATGCAACAGTTTGTGTAGTTATAAATGGCATGCTTGACTCATGTAACTGATGGTTCACCTTGTTTTGCCACGTGGAAATGATTAACCGAGACGGCATTTTTCAACAAGTGAGTTTTTCACGCAGTGAAAACCCAGCTTTATAATTTTCTTTCTCAAACAAATTCCAAATCGGCAAGATCACCGGTTATCCACACATGGTACATTATTGAGTTCATAACTTCTCTGAATAATCATTCCTCAGAAAGTCCCGTTATAAGACATGTGTGGCCCCAGAGAACAACCACCATTTTGCACGATCCACCTCATGGAATCTCACTAACAAGAGGATCGACAGAGTACAATTGTCTTCACTTAGACTAGAAAGTTATAAATTTGATACAGACGATTCATCGACTGCTTTTCTACATAGACAATTGAAAATACAGGATTCTCTACTCAGTGAGGCAATGACATGTGCGATGAGTTCAGCTTATTAAGGCGCATACACGCTAAGCAAATCTCGGCCGATGAAAGACAAATAATTGGTCGCCAACACACTGGCCATCCTTGGCTAATCCTCATCAAACCAAGAGGTTGGGAGTCAAGGGATTCGGCCATGTGGAAACACAGTCAACAACATCAACTATTTTGATGTTACCTCCAGAAGACCGAACCTTGACTGAGGCTAACCGCTTCCTGGGAAATCATGGCCAACAAAGCGGTTGGTTATCTTTCATTTATTTAGTACTTTTAGAGTCAAATTTACCCGTTGGAGCTCTTCAGCTGCATCAGGACAGTCGTTGAAAGTCAAAACTCCCCAAAGAACAGACGAAAGGGCGTAAACCTGTACCAAATAACAAAAGTCATCAGTGATACGGTACAAATTACAAATTCTCAGTACTCACCCCGAGCGAGAAGACCAAGATGACAGGAGAGTACAAAATAAGCGTGTACCACTCGTCGACAAAGTGAGACTTCTCTTTGTACGACAGCAGTGTGAACCAAGTTGACAACAGAAACACCAGCACAGTCAGCCACTCAGCCAGTTTCGTCATTTCGTCCGATTAATTCGCTCAAAAAAGCAAAAAAATGCGTTAAACGATTCCCAAAGTCATCACGAGATAAAACAACGCGGCTAAGGTTCAACTGACAACGAATCAACAGCAAAAAATCGAAAGGTTTCATGTTTATTGTGGGATGTTTTATAAAACATCGATTCGCTGTTTCCAACTTTGCAGACTCTTAATACCCCACGTATCGATAAAAAGCTCAACATTGCAATAATTTCAATTAATTATTCCTTTTTATGTAAAATGATGAAAAAATTAGAGTCACGTGCGGGATTCGAACCCACGACCTTCGGCTCAATACGCCGCTGCTCTAATCCCATTAGCTATCGTGATTCCATGTAACGTTCACGTTAATAAATGCAGTCCGAGTGGATCGAAAAGCTAGTTCAAGAGGTAAGAAAGTAAAATAGAATAATTAATTATCGTGGTCAATTAGGCATAAATGGATTGTAATAATTACTATAAAATCTCATGTGCCTACGAATCAATAAAAATTAATTTTAATAATCTACAAACTGGTTGAATAAATTTTTTCAAAGTTTGACGTCCTTTGGAGAATGGTGTGCAGTGATGTCAATGAAAATTTGTATACTGTGTTAAATATTTGTAGGTTAATAATTTTTCTTTAATTATTAAACAGGTTTTTTTTGTTAAATCATGAGATTCCTCCTGATTTTGGCAGGGTGAAAAAGCATGTTCATGAACTTTTCTTGATTTTTTTTTCTCTCGAGTGATTATTATTAAAATGTTTTCGTTTACCAAGGTTATGACAGGAAACAAAATCGTAACAATTTTCAAATAAGCTTTTTTTTGTTTTTTCAAAAATTTTCGTCAATCCGCAAAGACGATGACGCATGAGTTGAGACGAGCCTCTGCGGCCTGCGCATATGTGGCCCCGTGGGCGAGTTAGCGAGTAGGGAAAGGGAGAGCGACCCCCGCATATCCGTGGTTCTGATTTCAGCTGATCTCAGCCCGGATTGAAAGCAGGATGCTGGTCGCCGTGTGCCGTATCCTGTCCGCCTGACCAGGGCGTCAACTGACGCATAGGAACACCAGCATAATATTATGCGATCAGACACCTCTTAGGACGATTCCATACGTTACCTCCCTATTGAGCATTGTAAGTATCTAATCTCTCTTTGGCCGCTTTCTTTTTTTTTTCCAATTTTCGAACCACCGCCCATTATAACACCAGCCACTTTTAATTATGAGTCATTCTTCTTCCACTCTTTACTCGTTGTTTTCATATTCTCTTAACTTTTAACACACAGTTTCTATTTGACATCTGCAGAAACAGAACAGCCAGTGTCAAAATTTCTATCGTCAAACTTAGTTTTATTTTTACAAATAACAGAAAAAAACATTTCTAAAATACTAATAATAAGTATCTGAAGAAACTGTTCTTCACCAGCCAAAGTACTCCAGTACCACTGACTAGTGGCTGATGAAATAACAAACTCTCATATAAATATCAAAACCATCCATTTTTATATAATTAATCATGCAATTGACTGTAATCTTCAAATTGATCAAGTTGAAAAGAAAACAATAGATAAGATTCAATGAATTATAAAAATTAAGCATCTTGCTACACCCTGCTTATATCCCTGCTGTTCTACTGTTAACTTTTGCAATAATTTGTTATTTTTTAAAGATCTGCAGTTTAATTGTCTTCAATCACCATTCTTCAGCTTGTTCTACGTGGATTTCACCATTCTGCCGTCTTCAATGGTTAGAGTGAAATATAAGCAGTTCTGAATATTATTCGTGTCTGACTCAGGCCATTCTACTGTTAACTTTCGCAGCCATTTGATATTTTTCAAAGATGGGCAGTTTGATTATTGTAGTTTAATTGCCTTCGGTCACCATTCTTTGGCTTATTCTCATTGGTTTTTAGATGGTTTTCAGCGTTCTATCATTTTAAATGGTTAGAGTGAAATGTAAGCAGATCTGAACATTATTCACAATTGGAAGAGGTAAAGTTTGTGTAATGGAAGAAAGCCGTCTCACCCTGCTTATGTCCCTATCGTTGAACTGTTAAAATATTGACAGTTTGATTATTGTAATTTAATTGTCTTCAATCACCATTCTTCGGCTTATTCTTCCTGGTTTTCAGATGGATTTCTGCTGCGTTCATAATCAAATTCGCATTTGAAAGAGTTAAAATGTGTCTAAATGTAAGAAAGCGTCTTTCCCCACCCTGCTTATATCCCTGCCATTCTATTGTTAACTTTTTCAATAATNGATGGTTTTCAGTGCTCTATAATTTCAAATGGTTAGAGTGAAATGTAAGCATATCTGAACATTATTCACAATTGGAAGAGGTAAAGTTTGTGTAAATGGAAGAAAGTCTTGTCTCACCCTGCTTATATCCCTATCGTTGTACTGTTAATTTTTGCAATTTTATATTTTTCAAATATCGACAGTTTGATTATTGCAGTTTAATAGTCTTCTATCACCATTCCTTGGCTTATTCTCATTGGTTTTTAGATGGTTTTCAGCATTCTATCATTTTAAATGGTTAGAGTGAAATGTAAGCAGATCTGAACATTCTTCACAATTGGAAGAGGTAAAGTTTGTGTAAATGGAAGAAAGTCTTGTCTCACCCTGCGTATATCCCTATCGTTGTACTGTTAATTTTTGCAATTTTATATTTTTCAAAGATGGGCAGTTTGATTATTGTAATTTGTCTTCTATCACCATTCTTTGGCTTATTCTTCCTGGTTTTCAGATGGGTTTCTGCTGCGTTCATAAACAAATTCGCATTTGAAAGAGTTAAAATGTGTGTAAATGTAAGAAAGCGTCTTTCCCCACCCTGCTTATATCCCTGCCATTCTATTGTTAACTTTTTCAATAATTTTATATTTTTGATTTATTTGATTATTGTAGTTTAACTGAAACAATTAGAAGCACCGGTTAGTGTTAGTTTTGTTGTTTAGCAGCATGATGGTGGTGGTTATTGGTGATGACAGTTTCTTCAAAAAAGGCAATTTTGTTTGTTGAAATTTCCTGTTTGTGATAAAAGCTCAAATATGGGTTTAGGAAGGTCAATATTTATTGATGAATTATGAAAGATTTGTTTGAATTCAATCCCCTCTAAACCTGCTTTTAAAAAATAGATATTCTCAACTCAGTAACTCGAAACAATTACCGCATTGTTTTGAAGTACCGCACCAAAGCATACCCATATGCAATTAAAAAATAATAAATGGACATTGTACAACTTAGAACTTAGCCGATGTTAATAAACTTATTTGCTTATCTACCTGAATGAATGACTGAATGGATGAACAAACTCCCAGAGAAATATGAAATCATTCTTTTATGTAATTAAACGCAATACCATATGAACAAATTAAATCTTTATATTAAATAGAATTCAGGATGTGATCACACTGCCTTTCAAGAGTGTGTGTATTCGCTTGTACAAGGTTCTTTGATGTTTTTGTTATTAGTTTATTTTTATGCGATCTTTCCCTAGAGTAAGCATGACCTCCGATTCTTAGCTAAGTGATCAAATAGTTATGAAATATATTTTGCTATCATAACCCAAATTTGCTCTATTTTGCCTTATGGATGCAAACCCCATTTTAAATGTGACTGAGTCAGATCAACAAAATGTGTTCACCGATGATGCGCCCTTTTGATGGCGATGAAAAGTTTCAGATGTTATTTAATTCAGTCAGATCACCACCAAACCACAAATTATCAGTACCGAATAGGGGAAAAAATTGTGGGAGTTCTCCGTGGTGTCAGTGGGGTGATGAAATGTAGTTTGGACGTTTCTGATCATTTTGATCTGCCTATCCAAGGCTCCAGGTAGGCCAAAATGATCGGGAACGACCAAACTAAAAATACAAAAAGCTATAGATTGCTATTACAATTTAACTACTTCGATAAGCTTGTTCATTTATTTTCCTCTTCCTTAGCTTCCCAGTTCCAAAATGTTTTTAGCAACAAATCAATCATGCACAATTTATTTTCATTAGTCTTACCACTAGTTTTCCCCAGATAAAAAACCCAGAATATTTCCTAAGCCTGACTTACGTCACAAAAAAAAAATTGGTTTTACTCACTATTTTCTGTATTTCCAAAGTTATTATATAAATATAATAGGCAGATGATAGAAGATCATCAAACTACTTATTCATCATTTATATTCTTTACATTAGTAATAATAAATTAAAATAATTAATTTTTAGTATTAAAATTATTTTCCCCTTCACTTTTGTTCTGAATGTTGCACAGGGTGTGAAATTAATGTATACTTTGTGCTTTTTAATTAATGTGAATTATAAAACGGTGGCCAAGTGATCGAATTAACAGGTAAAATAGTACAGTTAAAGGTTAACAATAGTTCATTGCGTTGTTATTTCTTGATGTGACAATGAAACAAAATAAGCTAGAATTTTTTTTTAATATAAAATTAATATGAACAGGAAAGGATCATTATTTATATGGAATGCAATTTGTTAAATTAATTTTGATTCTGGAGTCACTGAAAGGTATAAATTTAGAGGAAAAACACCCACGAATCCTTGTAACTTGATCACCATTGATCGTCCTTGTCTGTCAGGCAAGATAGCAAAATGCCGAAACCGACAGACAAAACTAGTGAAAATAAGCATATCATGATTCTAGACATGTCCGTACATTAATACTTTTTTTAATTTATTCAATTGGCAATAACATTTAAACTGTTCATATTTGAAGATCACTTCGGTGACAGTGAGCATTGTAAGTCAGGACTCATTCGCTACTAATCACAGATTAATCGGCTTCGTTTCACTGTAAAGTGTCAGTTTAGAATAGTTGATACCTAAATATCAAAGGCAAAAATTATTTTTTGATAAAGTATGTTTAAAATTATTGAAAGTGGATATTTTAACCCAAACACCGTAGACATTATAAAGCTATCTGTTTGAAAATAATTAGTATTTTGGTAAATTTAAAACTTAATCTTGTTTGAGTTGGCAGAGCTTTTTTTAAATTTAATTGATATAGTCACAGTTTTAATCACTTTGATTAAGACAACTCATGAAATTCAAATAACAATAAAAACTAATCTTCTTACTACTGTAGATTAAATGTCTTCAATCACCCTTGTTTGGTTTATCGTTGGTTTTCAGACGAATTTCAGCATTCTGCCATCTTCAATGGTTTGTTGGAAAGGAATATAAGCATATTCGAATGTTTGGTACAAGCAAAGTGTATTTAATTAGACAGAGTTATTGCTTGCTCTGCCTATGTTCCTTAAGATAGCAAAATGCTGCAAAATATGATCATTTTTCAAGTTCATCGTCTCAATATATCTCACAAGTTTTATCTAATGTCCCTTCTTAAGCTCAATACACTGCTGCTCGTGCACGATAGCCCAATGATATTGAGCCGAACGTCGTGGGTTATCCCGCACTTGACACTTGCTTGTTCATCTTAACTAAGGCCTTAATTAAAAGTATAATTAATAAAAAACATTAATATTGTCAAGTATGACTACTAAATACACATATGATCAATAATTTATTAAATCAGGGAACCACTGACAAGTTCTTAATATTTTATTTTGTAATGTGATCATAAGCAATCATTTTTGTTGCTGGTTTGGTCTATCAAATTTTGACATTTCACCACCTTCAATGACCCTGACCCAGCGAGGATAATGTACTTACTTTACTTTTACTATTTTTTACAGGTTCATCCCCACAAATCAGACAGAAATTCTCAAAATTTTACATAGTATAAATTGATTGTTTAAAAAAAAATTATTGTCAACTTGCCAAATTTAAAAACTGTAGTTTTTAGTATAAAGTATTTTTAAAATTATATTATTTGTATCTTAACTAAATGGCACAAATACAATTAATAACTTTATTGTAAATTGAACGCAAAATATCAAAAGTATGCAGTATAAACAATCAAGCTTGATTGCAGTGTGATGGTGTGTGAGTCATATCTTATGATAAAAGTTAGTTTAGATTAATGATGAATAATGCCATTCAGTTTTAAATGTTTTAAATTCCTGTGTAACAGTTTGAGGAAGAAAAAAGCAACAACATAAACTTGGCATCAAAGAGAAAATTGAAGAAATGATTTATTTTTATGGTTCCCTGAAAATAACATTGTTTTTTATAATTAAAGAATTTGATTAGTAAGTTTAGTAGGTATTTAATACATATTTAATAAAGTAATGTGTTTTAGCAGTTTGTAGAAAATAAAGCTTTAAAATTTTTTTTATCTGGAGTGTTTGTTTTGTTATTGAGAATTGTGTCTATCATGAAATACAATTTTTCCCCTCATCGTTCCGTTCAAGGTTCAAATGATTTGTTTTTCAGAACAACAATGGCGTCAAGTACTTCGGAATCTAAAAGATCTAGTCTGTTAACCTATGAAGAGAACGACATCATATTTTCCATACTAGGGGTAAAATGCACTGTGAGTTTGACAACATTAGTCCAGTCTGTATTAAAATAAAAGTTCAAACTAATATAAAATGGTTTATTTCAGGCGTTGGCGACTACAGTGGCAGAGCTGTACTTTTCCAGGGGACGCTACGGCAACGACTGGCAGTTCAAAGATTTCGGTGTTTTATGCTTGGTTAAAGACAATTGTAAAAAGTCTTATTTTTTCCGATTATACTGTCCACTACGGAAAAAACTCCTCTGGGAACATGAAGTCTACAATAATTTGACTTATTTGATGTTATCGCCGTACTTATACGCCTTCGAAGCAGAGGTAAATATCTTGTATCTTCCACTATGCTTTTCTGTTTTAATTTTAATTTCTCAAAACAGTAAACAAAAAATTACTTCAAGATATTAAGTTTTTACAATTCAGATTGGAATTGACTACGTCTCTTGGTAGTTTTCTATGCCAATCTTCAACTATTCACATCATTTAAGACTTGATGATGTAATGGTATAGTTATGAATGCCGGACCCAGCTCAGGGACCCCCTCCCCCCCTGTCAGAGACAAAAGCCGTACATGATAGCGATGACAACCCATCACTCTCACTCACTTCTATTTTTTTTATAGATTGTGTAATCTATACATGAGAGATTGCATATGGTTCCATCTACATCTATCACGGTCAAGTGGCTTTGAACTAATTTTCCAACAAGGCTTCAATTTCTACAAGTCTGTTTTATTTTGGTTAAGAGTAATTCAAGGTGTTTATTAATTCACAATTTATTAAATCACAGCGTATTTGGTCTGTTCGTATTTATGATAATTATCAGTCCACTATGGACCATTGTTACCTTTGATGTATGGGGGTGGTGCATTGGCCATGAGTTATTCTTACATGCCCTATTCTCAGTCTTATGAGAATAACTTCCTCATTAACCTCTTCTGCTATTCCTATAAGAAATTTCCCACTTTTTTTTTATTTTGTGTCATTTTCATTCCATATTCTCTACCAATTATCCAACAAAGTTTCAGCATATAAAATGATTTTCTGTGTAGAATTTGGATTTGTGATTAAGGCGAGGGTGAATTGAGAGTCAGAATGGGACTTGGCCTGAGAATCTGGTGTAGCAGGTGTTCAAAGATAAATGGAGATGGGGTAGGGGGCGGGGCATAGCTAAGATAATTCATTGCTGTTAAATGTTATTTATTTTCTTTGGGTGGGAATATAATGAAACCCCGGGAAGTTATGTTATGGAAACAAGGTGAGAGGGTAGGAAAAAAGATTGACGATTTTGATGAGATTCGTTCCGAGGGCCGCTATGACCAAAGTCCCTGACGCTGACCACCTCGGCCTTTTTAGATGGCGTCAGTCCTTTGTCCATTAATCATACCTGCTAGTGGGGAAAATTATGGCCCAAACCCCAAGTAAATTAAGATTGGTTTGCTGAATGGCTCAAATTAAGGAGAAAAAAACTAGCTTAATGCTATTGGTCCAACCAAATTCCCCTGGTACCAATTTAGACAATCAATTTTCGAGTGGTTACAGTTGGAAGGGAAAGCCTAGGAGGGTTAAAATAAAACATACATAATTTAACATAATATCGTTAAAACTAAAAGAACACTAAAAACTTAACTTAATTTGACATCATAAAACAGCAGAAAATCTTGTAACAACATATCAAAACCAGTCAGGCTTGCCATTTTTTACAATATTCTTCCCATTTTAGTCTAATGAATATGTATGATGAATAATTCAATGCTTGTTTTGTTTAGGATTACATAACTGGCTTTAATTTTGCTGATGAGGAAGAAGGGGCTCAACTTAAGGCAATTTTGATGCACAAATTGGAATGGAAACGTCATAAAAAAGGTTTAGTTTGTTTATAAAACTTAGTTCTTTTTGAACATTCATTTTTCTTTTTCGTTTTTTATTTTTAAAATTAGAGAGAAAACGTGAGCATAACAACAATGTAGGTGGAACGAGGAAACCACCAGAGCCTAATGGCTATTTTCCACCAGCCATAGATACAACTACGTCTAGTGCAATGCCACTAATAGGGAAAAGGATCTCTTTTCAAGGAACCAAGAAAAAGCTCACCAAAGAAGACATTGGCATTCCTCTCCATTTTCGTCATATCTCACATGTCGGATGGGATCCAGACAGGGGTTTTGACTTAAACAATCTGCAAGACCCTGAGCTTATAGCATTTTTCAAAAAGGTACGATACCGATTTTTATCCATTTCTTATTGGGCTGAAATTTCATTGCCATTTTAACAACTATTTTTTCAAAGGCTGGAGTCTCAGAGCATGATCTAAAGGACAAGGCTACACAGTTGTTCATTTATGATTTTATAATACAAAACGGAGGTCTGGAGGCTGTGAAAGAAGACAATGTTGTGAAAACTTCGACACATGCTAGAGGAAAAGCTCCGCCGCCACCTCCATCCAGGGCTCCTCCTACAACACCACCACCTCCTCCGCCAGCACCACCAATTAGGACTTTGCCACCAAGAATTATGCCTCGTAAGTTCTTAAACTCTACTGAAACTCACTTTATCCGAAGTAGTTTTATTTTCGCTTTTGCATCATCACGTAAATCATTCGTGGTTTTACCTGTTTTGGTTTAATATAATTTCAACACCTTTTTTAACCTTTTAACATATTGGCTACGGTCAACGACATGCCTCCAACAAATTCCTTCTTGCAGTAAGTCAACACTGGGCCAATAGTCATTTTCACATAAAGCGCTTACGATACGTTAACTTCTTACTCCCACAGTTGACCTGAGTCTCTCCCAGTAAGGGAAGCCGCCTTGAGAGGTGGAAAGAACGGATTCTCAAGGTGCCTTCTTCCCTGCGCTTTTTCTACAATGTCCACTCAGTGGTGAAAATATTCTAAGTCTCATTGTTGGATACATGGCTTAGATGACATGTCGCCATGGGCGTATGAACCGGGTCAGAGTCCAGGGCTTTTAAGATTCCATACTGAACACTGCCACCTAGAAGGCAGCCAGGCCTGATCCAACTCAGTGCTATTGTAGGGGCGTCGCATTGATTTGTGTATTCCCGACTGAGGCCGTTTGGGTCAACAGTGGTCGCACTGAGGCCCTGTGTTCATTGGCGATCCTGATCGGGCAACTGCTCTGGGCCCCAGGAGGGACTGGGACCAAGCCGGCCTCAACTAAGCGAGTCCTTACTGCTGCAGTTGACCCAAGTTACTCTCACCGAAGAAAGCCTGCTTTTCAGCCTTCTCTCGATGCTCGTTATGGCTGAGGCCGACCCCATATACTGTAGCTCGTCCCATGGGCCTTCCTAGCATGTTCTACTTCTTTCAGTTCTCAATTTGCCAACCATCTCAAAAATAGTGTTACTCTGAACCAATTCTCAGATACAAAGTTTAAAAAAAAAAAAAAAGCTACACATACCGTGAGGCATTCTTGGCAACAATAAGTACAACCTACAATAGTAAAACTTCTAAAAAAATTTAAATTCTACAGGAAAACTCAAATTTATAAAACAAGTAACATAACACAATCAGAATACGTTGTAGAGCAATCATGACCCTAGGTGGGTTAAAAAGCCTTCGTTACTTAGTCATGTTTAATTTATTTCTTGTACCTGTTTAACATATTTAGTTTTCATCTAACAACTTGTTTTTGTAAAATTAATTTCATAGCGAGTGCCAAGCCTGCAGCCGTTCCACCTCCTGCACCACCAGTGCCTCCACCACCTCCAGACCCATTACCGCCTGTGGCTGATTCCTCGGCTGATTCCTCTCCTCGTTCAGCATTGATGCAAGCTATCAAGATTGGCACAACATTAAAGGTAATTTTAAATACATATTTTCAAAATGAGAAAAATCAATGTAAACGTTTACAGCCTGTGAGCGGTTTAACCACCGAAAGCAAAAAACAGTCTGATTCAAGGGGTGAACTGATGGAAATGATCAGACAAGGTGTCGAACTCAAATCAGTCAGTACCGTAAGTACACAACTATTAACTATACAAGGTGTCCTTTGTAGATGGCCCAGCCAATTTCTCTTGAACCATTGACACTATCAAAATAACAAAAAATATGACTTTTTTTAGTCTAGTCTAACTGAGCTTGATGTACCCTGTATAAGTTTGCTCCAAAAAAAAATATAAAAGTTTGAAACTAGACTAAAAAATATAAAACACTTATTTTTTATTTTTTGTTTGTTTTTTGATAGCGTCATGGGTTCAAAAGAAACTCAGCCAGGCAATCTACAAAGGACACTCGGTATAATACAGATATTGTATTTATTATTATTTTATTTTTTTAGTCTTTAAACACCTCTCAGCCACCTCCTCAACCTACAGAGCTGAACAGTCTCGCAGGAGCCCTTGCCAGAGCATTGGCAGAAAGGTCGAAAGCTATTTACAGTGATAGTAGCGACTCAAGTGATGAGGAAGAGGAAGAGGAAGCCGAGTGGGAATGAGTATTTTATTTGTATAAAGTATTTGTGTACAATCGCAATTATTAATTTAATCATTGTAACGTGATGATTGTTATTGAGTTCTTTATTGATTATTTACTAATTTATTTTCATTATTTCACTATTTAAAAAGAGCAAAACATTTATACATATTTTCTGTTGTTGTTTATTAAATAATTTTGAAAGAAAAATTTGGTATGTAAATTTTGAGGCAAGATTTTGGATTACGTTGTTTTAATATTTTAAAGCGTGGCCAATATTGCCATAGGACTTTTTTACATCAATTAACAATATTGTACTCACATTTTAATAAATTGTATTCTAGTTGAATAAAGTTTATTTTCTCATGAATCCTCATTTTATGATTACCCAACGGAATGTACACTTTAAGAAACAGACTTGTATCAAATCAATTTTAATTAATAAGCTCAATAAAATATTAGGGACAAAATTTTTTTTTTTATTTTTTTTTTACGAGGGTTCGCAACAGCAGGTCATATAAACCCTCAGGGTGCCGGTGTTTTTGAAAAAAAGCCCATTTGTAAGAATGTCGGATTCGAATGCAGGGCCGCTGGATTCGAACCCGGGACCTTTACCTTACAGTGATGAGCGCCGTGTCAAAGACTAAACCTTGCGGCCACCGACGCCCCCCCCCAAAAAAAAATCTTTAAGAAGGTTTATAAAAGAATTTCCAAGGATGATGAAATAAAAATGTTTGAAAATATGCTTGCCATTGAGACGGTTTAGTTGATTCAATTTTCACACCAGGCAACTTCTGGAATCAACCTCTCTTCCCAACAAAGGTCAGTACGATGTTAGAACCCGAGGAAGCAGGAGCACTTCGTGTGCTTGTTCTTCTACAAAAAGAGAAGCAAAAAAGGAGGAAACCAGTAAAGAGAAGTGTGGGTTTATCTGTTATAAAATTGGGAAACGCGCTTTCTCTCAAATACTGTTGTGCTGTTTCCCTTCAAGCATCGCTTCTTTTAGTTTTGTCACTATACTTCTCATACCTCATGCCCCATGTCGCAGGGCTAATACGAATGTATTCAATGAACTGCCCCACATCGAAACTTGCAATTGCAATGCTTTCCATGGTGAAATCAGTTGAGTCAACTAGGCGACTGGTGTGAAGGACGAATGCCGAGCAGTGGCTATTGCGTTGAGTCAATGAGCGAGGATGAGAATGTGAGCGGCACTTGCCACCCGCCCGACGGACGAGTTGTCTCCGTGTAAAGGGGGTTGGGGGCCTTGGGGCGATTTCCAAACATTTTGCTATCTGGTTACACTCCTTGACACCCATCCGTTCAACTAGTTGAATCAACTAGCCACCCCGTTTGAAAGAATACTAAGGCTTTTCTTATTTAATTAGTAATCTTTTTATTAATTATTATTTCCAATTTTTTGCAAAAACAGTTCAGAAAAAAAATTACTTTCACAAATGGGCTTTCGAACCGACTACTAATTAATGTACAATTTTGTCTGTAAGTTCTAATTAGATCAATAACATTTTTTAAATCATGTAAGGTTTTTGGTTGAGATAAAAAATTAGTCACGAATTTTTCCACTTTTTACCATATATTCAAATGTCATGCAATCAGGATTCGATTATCAGCGACTTATGTAGTGACCATGGTGAGCTGTTAGTGAAGTGAAATGGCAAAACAAAATTCTAACGGTGCACGTTGAGATGGGGGAGTTGGTGTCCGAGTGGATCGAAGTTATGATAGCTCAAGTGGTTAGAGCATCTGCGTAGTCGTGGGTTCGAATCCCACTGACACCAATTTTTCATCTCAGCCAAAAACCTTACATGAAAAGAATAATTAATTGAAATAATTAATATTCTTTAATTAAAGAAAAGAATAAAAATAATTAATTATGGTCACTAAACAAACATGGATTAATTTATTAATTAAAAGAAGTAATTATTTCACTAACAGCTCCCCATGGCCACTTCATAAGTCGCTGAGAATCGAATCTGGATTAAACATTTGAAAAATGGCAAAACGAGGGAAAATTCGAACGGTGTACGTTGAGATGGGGGAGTTGGTGTCCGAGTGGATCGAAGTCATGATAGCTCAAGTGGTTTGAGCAGCTGCGTATTGAGCCGAAGGTCGTGGGTTCGAATCCTGTTCACGATACCAACTTTTTTATCTCAACCAAGACCTTAAGTAGGTTTTAACAATGTTTAAATTTGTAGATTTTTCTGTGAAAAACCGACAATGCTCTCAGGAAGCCAGATTATAGCCAATTTATCTTAAATAATCTTTGATACACCACTCAAAGAAATTAGGTCGTCTTGTAACATTGTATACACCTTTTCAAATAAAAATCAAATAAACTAGTTGTTCAAAATAAATGAAAAATTTATTAATTTCTAATAAATGACGGGTAATATCGTTGACAAAATATTCATACCTTAAAAATATATTCTTAATTTTTTCTTTATACATTCTTTTCATCTAAGAATATAGTCAATTATGACCACTAAGCAAATATGGAATTTTTTTAACTTTTCCACAAGCTTTATTCTTGTTGCAAGATTAGGACCAGAAGCCATCTCCTCAGTCTTTGATTTTTTAATTTAAATTTTAACAAACACGTTCATGTATAATTTTTGTGAATTCAGATTAACCAATTATTATTGGGAACACAATACGTTTTTGACTCCCAGTAAGAAAGTGGGAATCGTAATGGTGAGCTCAAAATTGATTGACTGTAATAAGTAATTCATGAATGCCATAAATATGGATGAATTCGGCCGGTCGTTCCCTTATCTCATTCCTTCCAGAAGTATCCATTTAGGTTTGCGGCATGATGAGAATAATGGGAAGGAAAAATGGTTTTCCAATAACCGTCTGATTTAATACACATCAAAAGCTCTTTCTCTTCGATCCAATATTTTGATTGACACAAAAGGAAATGAACGTTCCAGTTTAACTTCCAATAAATTGGGTATATATTTTTTTTAAATATTTGTACAATTTTGTAAATACATAGATCACCGCCTGTCTCAGACGGTGTGAATTCTTTTGTCCTGTAAATAATTAGAATGCTTAAAATAAAAATTTCCCATGAGTATGACATTTAAACATTGAATTTTCTTTTCCAATTTTTAGCCATACATACAGTACTTTTTATTTAAAAGAAATACATGTACATGAAATGTTCTATAGCTAAAGCTTAAACATTTTTGTTCGTCTGTTATTAGTTGATTACAATAAAAAAATACAAAAGAAAATGTACAAAAGATACATAAAGCTAAAAACATATTTTTTATAAGTGCATTTAGGATATCTACAAACATTTGACATACATGAATTTCTATTTTGTTTTTTTAAACATTCTTGTACATAAACAAAACAGAAAACGATGACCTCAGCTACATAGACTTTGAAAATATCTACAAGGGAATATTATACAACGGTGGAACTCTCTGTCCAAATCCTAAGTACATAGCCAAGAAATATAACACAGTTTGCTTATAATACAATATGAGAACTTTAAAAGTAACTGTCTAATACTGAGATTCCTATGTTAATATCTATACACGCTTAAACAAATATCAAGTACGATCATTAGATTTTTTTTTCATGAGTAAAATGCAAAGCAATTCTAAATTCTATCTTATACTCTAGTACAATAAATAGATCTCTGTGAATTATTTATATTTATTTATATATATATTTATAAATGGGCGGAAATCCCACAACCAAATTGGGTTGAGTTATTGGCTATGTAATAATTAATTGGAGCCAAAGATATTCCCTTTTTAACAGGATTGGAAAGAATTTTCGTATATATCAACCTTTTTTAATTATTTTTCAAGCATTATGCTTAATTATAATTAACAAATATACACTGACAATATTTACTTTCAACTTTTTTTGCTCAATTTTTTAGTTTTCGCATTTTCAAAATTGTAGTGTACAGCTTTTATAACTTTTTGTCTTTTAAATATATAAGTATATTTATATTTATATTATTAATATCGTTCAATAATACTTGTCATTTATTATTCACAGCTTATTGTTATCAGACATTCAGATCATACAAATTAGTCCAGACAAATTATTTAAAAGATAAAAAATTGCATATTTTTTAGAGAAGAAATTTGAATTTAAGTACCTCTCCAATACCAACTTATTTCCTCCGACAGAATTACCCGCAAAAATTTATTTTATATAAGTACAGCGTCTTTTTTTTCCACTCTCTGGCTAAATATAAAAAAAGATATTTACATTTTAAACAAATTTAAAAAAGTCGTTGTATACAAAACAAAAAGCTTAAAAATAATTAGGTGAGTTTAGTTCAACAAAAACAATGGCACTTTTATGTTTTTTTGCACGCTTAGGAGGCAAAGTACAAAATAGAAAGAAAAAAAAAAGACGAAGCGGACACATCGTAAAAATCGACTCAACGTCACATCATCTCTTATCACAGTATCGTAAGGAATGCTCAAAATATCTGACAAAAGTGTGCAGTTTCTGTGTTGATCTATTAATTTTACTCAACAATCGTACTTCAATAACTGTTTATTATCACAAATAAGTCTTTTATACGGTTTTATTAAATTTTATCACAGCAACAAAAAAATTAAGTGTAAAAAAATCAATTTATAAAAAGTCGGGCCAAAAGTTAAATAAACATGCATTTTGTTAATATGCTGCAACTTTATGCTGTAAATTATATTTCTATCATTTTTTAAGTCAAATTTCTTTTAAACTTATTTTTTTATTAATCAAACAACATTAGATTGGTATTATTTTTGTTTTATACTTATTAATTTATTTCATATAGTGACAATATATTTTATTATATAACTACTTAACTATAGGTGGAATGTGATAATTTTTAAATATTAAATTAAATATATTTAACGATAATTATTTGTAATAAGTGTTAATTAATCGATGAGCATTCCTTTAAAAAGAAGAGACATTTAAAGAATGTAAATAAATAATATAAATTTAAAGCTTTTATAATTTTTTACATGGCAACCCCGCCTAACGGTGCAAATCAACTTTTGAGGGAAATTCTTTTATATTCTAGATATATGCAAAATTTTATCGTATCCACAGTAAGAAAAAAAAAATTAAAAATTTGTCTGGAGTTCACAGTAGTATGTTATCGTTCTTACTGTTTTTTTTAAAGCTTCGGAAAGTAAAAGTTAATAAATAACTGGACGAAAGAGAAGACAAGACCATCTCAGTTGTTTCTTTCTCCCTCTAAGGTTCTACCTAGACAGTGCATTTTGGGCGAACTAAATTTTGTAAAATATTCAACAAAACCTAAGCAGTAAAAAAGTAAAAAAAATTAAGATCAGTACATTAAATTTTTTTGTTTAAACATCGACAGTGATACGCAATTACTCTTAAAAGGGACCAAATATTTTACAAATATATCAGACTCTGATTTCGGTCAGACAGGACCAATAAAAGATTTTTTTTATTATATATATAATATAAACCTAAGCTTTGATTTCTAAAATACAGCAGTAGTAGTTAAACCACTTGTTAAAATCACATAATAGCGGGAATGTCGTATCCACTATAAACATCAACTACAGGAACATCTACAAGGTAAAGATTTTAAGGTTTTCACGCAAACTCATGAATGCTGTTGGCAGTCGCATAAGCGTCATCGGGCAATTCCGCATCCGCTATCGTGCGAAATCGGACGAATCCGTTTTCAGCGACTAACATGGACGGCGAAGGTTGGAGTCTACGATCTAGGGATGGATGTTTTTTAATGGACCGCCTTTCGGCGGTGTGGCTGTGAGTGTGTAGGCTGTTGAGAGGGAAAGTGTCATCGTAGTGCTTGGTCGACCTCATAGTGTAAGCTTGGTTTGTCGTGCAAATGGCTGGGTAAATATCTTCGACACTGGCCGGCTGTTCTGGGAGTGTGGTCGTGTCCCTCTGCATGCCAGCCCATGCCAAGAGGGCGCACATCGATATCTCTATGACCCGCACCGATAACTGGAATCCCCACCAGAGCCAAGGTTGAGGTCTGTCTTTGGTGAGGACCTCGTAATCGCCGAGCATGCCATAAAGGTGGACTGCAGCCATGAGGAGACTCAGCATGGCCGTTGCGAGTGTCACACGCACCGCATGCGCCAAACTCCACCTTTCGCCTTCAGTGCTGTACATATGGCCTGCCTTCTGGACACACGACTGTGAAAGACTTTTGTACAGATACAAATATGCAAGGCCTAGCCCTACACACAATATAATGAATATACATTGACATATCAAAGGCAGCAGTACCGAGTAGGGTGTCTCCTTAGCGTAAAAATGGATGCTGAAGCTGACCGCTAAGTACAAAACTATAAAAACCGCCAAGAACGAAACCCTCTGTATCCTGTTGTTCATTGCTTTGACTTCCGCCGCAGTCAAAAGGAAAAGAAACAGAATGGAAAAGGCGGAAGTGAGCAACGGGAACACCATGTGCATCAAGAGGTTCGACACTTCGATCGGTAACGTATTGTTGATATTATAAGCATCGTAGAATAAGTAAAAACTCCGCATGCACCCTATAATCAATAAAATACCATGGACAGAGAGGAAATACCCTCGGCTCAGCAAATGCTTATAATAGGTCAGTCTAACAATATTTATTAGAGAGCAAAGGGCAAGAAGGGCAAATAACGTCGCAATTAAATATACATGAATGTCCCAAGCTATACCCAGTACGTGCCTCGTCCGAGGCTCTTGTCTCTCGGGTTGATGAGCTGCCTCCGATTCCACACCGTCTTCAGTCACTTCTTGCTTCTGAGCTTCTTCGCCCCATTTTGGCGGCTCCGTCGGCTGTGGGGCAGGCGGTTCCTTCACTTTATCTTCCCTGCGAGGAGGTTCTTTAGGCGTCTCCACCACTTCTTCTTCTTCGTCCTCTTCTTCATCATCCTCCTCGTCTTCCTCTTCTTCCTTGACCTTTTTCTCAGGCTCTTCCACTTTGACCGGTGGGACTAACGACTTGACCTTGTTCTGCTTTATGGTACGAGGCTCTTTATCGTGCTCAAGCCTGGTTCGTTCCAAGATGTCCTGAAGGCTGTCGTGCTTCCTCCCGCTCCCACCGGACAGGATCCTGGAAACGCTGGGATAAGGCAGAATCGGGACGAAGTCGAACGTGTCGTTTATACGAGTGTTCGACGTCGTCGTGCTGGAAGTCTCAGTGTACGTGGAAGCATCCGGGACTTTTTTGAAGCTGGGCGTGTTGAGAGTCTTCTTCTTTGAGTCCCTGGGAGGCAGGTCGGGCGGCCTGATCGGGATGAGCTCCTCGGGCGAGAGCTTGAACGGCGGAGGCGGTGGAGGGATCGGCCGCCGGTTGCCCATGTTCACCGAATCCGAATTGCTGCTCCTGAGGATGGCTTTATTCGAAAACGGGTACGTCTCGACTGCCGGGGGCAACGGCGGAGTGAAAACGCGTCCCGGAGGCGAATATGAGGGTATGACACGCGTCGGTGGGGTCGGAGGCGTTCGGGCTCCCCGCAAATAAAATTTCGAACTGTCTTTCGACGCAAGAGTCTTATTGAAAACTTCACTCGTTTCACTGTCGAGAGCTCGTTTGTCCGATGCCATGACGCTGGCGAAATTCTCTTCCGAGTCGGCCGGGCCGAAGAAAATGAAGACGAACGCGAGGAAGAACATCGCCACGTCGGACGTCCTCTTCAAACGGCTCTTTCTAAAACCTTGCATAACTGGGCTCGAGGCGGACATCGTCAATAACAACAAACGGATCGATCACAGAAAAACGGCACATTCGACGACCGTCGGCATTCTTTCTCCTCGTAGGCCTCCAAGTCGGGCCAGGGTGTAAAGCCGCTCCTCTCACATCATCGAGTCGATTTCAAACGCACTTCCACAAATCTGACTCCGCGGACTCCATTGACTCGGCTGACCCATTTTTCCTCACACCTTTAAAACAGACAAAAACCAACTTTTTAATAACAAAAGAAACACATTTAACATCCACAATACACAATATCGGACCAGGATCACTAGGATATTTTGAAAAACGATCCGACAAATCGTCAATTCTTAGAACGTAGACCTACGGCCATTTAACTACGGGAGAGAGCACCAACAAAAGAATCATAAACCACACTCTGAACCGAATAACGTTTCACTCGGTTCCACTGTCACATTTACCTTTTTCATAATCCGATTCGGTATCTTCGGCCAATCCTCGGCAACAAACTCATAACTATTTACGACGAAGCGTAAATAAACTGGGCACGGAGTGAAAAACTAAAGGGTAGCCATTATGCTCTCGACACACAATTAACATTGGCAGAGAATCTCTAGGACGTCCAAAACTCCCTTTTACTCCGAGTGCCCATTGAGAAAATCAAGCCAATTCCATTTTTATTATAAGCCCATGTTTAAAAATAAACGCCGAGTCCAACCGAATTAACAATATCTTTAATAAAATTAAAGTGAAAAGTAAAAAACTATTAATAAAGGGGATTTAAAGCAAAAAATCCACCTTTCTAATTGGATTGGAGCGCCGCTTGTGAAACTTACCCCAACTAGACGTACAATCCGGAACAAGGACCTCCATCAGTTGGAAACAGGAAGATGACTCTCCACTATGAAATGCCCGATGTCATTTGTCCTCGGAAAAAAAAAAGACAACCGACAAAAGAAGCGACCAATTCCCACCATAATTACATGCAAATATCTATGATCTCATGATGAACAATATAACACAAAAAAAATATATGACATGGTTGTTCCATAAGCAGACGAAGAGAACCACCTCAAGAATAAAGTTACAAAGAGAAAAATTTAACACTGTCTACATTTCAGGTTTCAAATTCAGATAATAAAATTGAAATCTATCATTTTGGTTAAAGAAGAATTTAAGCAAACTCGCAGCCCTATCGCACATCGATCGCATATGATGGTGGGTGCGACTTGCCTCACCCTGCTTATAACCCTGTCCATCTACTCAAGATGGCGAAATGCCGAAACGAATTGGCGGACGTTGAGGGCAAGAGTCAAAGGCCCAAATTTTGACCTAGCAAGACATCTAAATCCTATACCATTAATTTTCTAAGCTGAGATCCATTCAATAGATTTCTGTGCGCAAGGGAGGAATAAAAGGAAAGCCAGGCAATACTGAATACTCATTCACATCTAATTTAAAGCTGGTAGCTTTTGGTTCAAGAGTTTTGCCCTGATACTTAGTTTATTTGGAAAAGGATATGGTTTCATTTTTCAATGTGGTTTTTAAATAAGAACGTACTCAACCTGGTTATTTCAGACTCGTCGATAGGATTCAATTCTCACTAATGGAACAAGTCGTCAACACTAGCTTCATCAACAAGAGTCCGTTCTGATGACCCTGAGACGAGCCTGTGTTATAGGAGAGCTGATATCGAAGCCCATGGACGGATGTCGATGAGTCGTCAGTAGGTGGCCACCGCATAGCTCCACCCAGTGGTTGAGCCTCTCAAAGCAGCAGGCTAATGATGAAGAGAAATGTGTTCAGTACAGTACAGCACGTTCATCCCGGTCACTAAAATTGTTCTCAGATCTTCACATCGGAGTCACAGTGGCCCGGCATTTTGGGTGTTCCTGCAAAGGGGCGGTGTCATGAGTGGAGCCGATGGTTGATGCAGCAGGAGTTAGTAGACTCAAGACGCGATGACTCGTTCAGCAGGTAGTAGCCACGTCGGCTGTTGAGAAGTAGAGATAAATGCTGGGAGTTATCATATTGTTGCAGCTAGTGCTGACGATTTGCTCCATTAGCGAAAATTGAGACCTTGTCGACGAGTCGGAAATAAACAAGTTGAGCTTCTGCTTATTTCTAGCAATGCAGCAGCGTGGAAAACGAAACCATAGCTCAAGCTCTGGTGACACCTAGTGGATTAACTTGGTATAGTTAGGTGATCACCACACAGCTCCTCTCCAATGGTTGAGATCAATTTGCATGATGAGGAGTAGGGTGTTCTGTTCAGCGCGTTTTTCTGTCACTACAATTGTTCTCAGATCTTCACATCGGAGCTACACTTTAGTGACCGGGTGTTGTTAAGGTTGGAGCCGATACTAATACTTCGAGTAGTAATTAGTATTATCCCCTTGCCAAGAAATTTTAGGAGGTAGGGACTAAGTGACAGGGATGTCAAATTGTTCCAGTAGGTGTTAGTGTGTTGGGGTTCATAGATGTTGGGATGTAGTGAATACAATTGTAAAGCGTTGAATGAATATCTGTGATATTTTGCGTCGGTTTTGGTTCGGGTACCAGTGTGTATAGGAAGATGGGTTCATTGAGAATTGGCGTTGGTTGTCAATGTTTATGTCAATTGTACGTTTATGTATTACCAAATACTATTAATAAAAAAAAATTGAGTTTGTAAACGTATTCTCTACTTTTCCTATTCTGGAACTCACCGTGGGTGTCGTAAGACCTCGTGACTGTTATCACCAGTTGGAATGGAGTCACCCTTCAGGGTCGTCCTTCCAACGTGTTGAAACCTCCATCTGGCCCTCTAAATTTTAAAAATAGACTTATCCAACACCGACCGCACGTCGTGTAAAATGGGGAAAAGCTTGCAGAAACGCAAGCCTTCTCTTTTTCAGACTGTTCAGCAATGCTTGGCGAAGTACGGCAGCTTGGGCTTCGCGAAGTCTATCGTCCTCTCCACGGACTACCTCGCCTTCGTCTCTGTGCTCCTCCTCGTCGCAGAGTTATTCGTTAGCCTCATGGTCGTCCATAACGTCAAATATACGGAGATAGATTGGAAGGCGTACATGCAAGAAGTGGAGGGCTTCCTCAATGGCACCAGCGACTATGCTCTCCTCAAAGGAGACACCGGCCCACTCGTCTACCCAGCAGGATTCGTTTACTTCTATTCCGCCCTTCACTACCTTACGGACAAAGGGTCTGACATCAGGCTAGGGCAGTACGCTTTTGTCATATTCTATTTACTCTTTCTCTCTCTTGTTTTCAGGATTTACATAAAAACCAAGAAAGTCCCTGGTTATGTTTTAGCAATAATGTCCCTCACTTCTTACAGGATCCATTCGATTTTCATGCTCAGGCTGTTCAACGATCCGATAGCAATGTTGTTGTTGTATGCGTCTTTTAATTTGTTTTTAGAGAGTAGATGGTCATTGGGAAGTCTCTTTTACAGCCTGGCGGTTTCTGTCAAGATGAATATACTTTTATTCGCACCGGGTCTGCTTCTTGCTTATTTAACAAGTTTAGGTTTAAAAGACACAATATACCAGCTTGGGATTTGTGCGACTGTCCAGTTTGTCCTCGGACTGCCTTTTCTCTTAACAAACCCATATTCGTACTTAAAAGGTTCATTCGACTTAGGCAGGGTGTTCCTCCACGAGTGGACTGTGAATTGGAGGTTTCTTCCTGAAAGCGTCTTTGTCAACCCTTTGTTCCACCTCGGCCTTCTTTTCGCTCATATTTTTACCCTGTGCCTGTTTTTCAAAGTCGGTTGTACCTATTTGAACAGTTTCGCGAGACTCAAGTGTATAGAATCGGATCTCGGTAAGAAGAAAAACCAGCCAAAAATCGACATGGGGTCTGCGGCGCAGCTCTTCATCCTGCCGTTGTTCCTTTGCAATTTTATCGGCGTCGCATTGAGCAGGTCGTTACATTACCAGTTTTACGTCTGGTATTACCACACCCTCCCATACTTGCTCTGGTCAACAAGGCTTTCAACGTCGATGAAACTCATGCTGTTGGGCTTGATAGAAATGGCTTGGAACACTTATCCGTCTACATATTTCTCAAGCGGTGTACTCCATTTGTCCCACTTGATCATTTTACACAATTTGTACAAGACTACAACTGCCAATATAAAAACTGATTAATTATTACCCCCTAAAGTGTTTTAAAAATACAAAGTTCATCCCTAAATTCACAACGTAATTTCAAATATTGAATTTTTTATCGTGAAAACAGAGAGAAGGGATAAGAAAAAATTCTACCTTGAAAAACAATTTTTTGTATTTAAACTTTTTTTGATCCAATTAAAATATTAAAAATGTATTTACAAATTTTCTACAATTTTGACAATGAATTAACAAATATATGAAAATTGATGTATTCTCTTGTTTGTCAATAATGAATCATAAAAAACAAATTGAGAATAAAAAAATATCTAGACCACATACATCATACTTTGATCATAATAAAGTATATTTTTGAGGTAAAGCTAATGCTGACAAAAAACTTATACTTTTAGTTTTAAATAATTTAAAAAAATGTTAGGCATTTTAATTGTTGAATATTTTGGTTTAATCAATGTTTTTACAATTGTTGTGAAAAATACTGTGATCTCATATTGCCTTAAAAGTTTGTATGAATCAAAAAGGAAAAGAAACTATTTACCAAAAATAATTATAAAAAATTATTGTTATATGTATATAAAAATCATACCTTTTTAATATCTAGTTTACGTTTTTTAACATAATGCTCAATCCTATCTTCAAGACTATCTAAAACAGAAAAATTGTCAAATGTTATTTATCTGTAAATAAATTATTATAGAGTGAATTGTTGGAATGTTTATAATAACATTAAATAAATTGTTCATTTTTTTACTTTAATATAATCCCTAAAAAAGTATGATTTTCCCCCACGTTTCAGTAGGCATATCCGCCCAAAGAAAAAAAAACCTGACACTCAAATTTTGTTGTTTATTTACATATTTTTTATTGTTAAATTAACTACTTGGTACCTATTTTAATGTAAACAAGATCAGAAATGCATGAGCTTTAACAAAACCTATTTACTTATGACGGTTTAAAATAAAATTCACCAAAATACCGGTAATCACTTAGTGATAGATTAAAATTTAACTAACAATTTATTATCTAGTTTTGTTCTTAATAACATGTAACACATCCTCTGAACTTGCGGAGAACCTTACGTATCCTAGGTATTGAGAAAATAAGCAATTGAATTTCTTATTGTGATACAGAAACCCATTTTCCAAGAAGAGCGGTTTGATGCTATTCAATGCTTGTTAGAGGCAATTAACGATATCTAACCCATCTCTTTATCATGCAGCATAAGTCTTCTTGACTTAAATTCATGACAGCAGAACGTGCTGGCCAATTCATTGTGATAATCCATACAATACACTCCAAGCAATGAGTGACAATTCAACTTCATACGGTTGAGCATTAAAACAAATTTGTCTCAAATGTAGTGAATGGGACACAGCTTCCAGAAGATTTTCCTCGATATACCTTAGTGCAGTACCATTCCGTATGATAATCAGTAGGTACGGGCATGGACGTTCATTCCACATGTAACGTCTTGAAAAGGATGGCACATGAAGCAAATCGTTCTCCATATTTTCTCTATACACCGTTGTGGTTATTTTATTGCCACAGACCAAACTGGCACTCTCAACACACCCTGTTGTCCAAGAAAGATGCTGATTTGTGAATAATCCTGATGCAGGACGACTAGAGAGTAGGCTATTCTCAAGAAGCTAATGACTGTTTTAAAGCCCACACTTACATTATGTACCGTTTGGAGTTGACTACCTATCAATACATTGGTAGTGTGGTAACAGCAACAATAAAACGATAAAACAATCGTCTCTAGCTGTTGACCACTACTTTCCATTGAGACTTCAGGTCCTAAACTATTGCAGACCATCATGGATGGTAGATGTGGCATACCTAGGACTTGGGTTATGGATTTTATGCTACACCTATTCTTGGCCAAAGATCCACCTGGGCTGCTCAACTTAAATCCATGCTTTTAAGAAGAAAAAAAATTACTCAAATTTATTGGTTCATCAGAGAAAACATTGTTGTAAAGATATTTATGCCTATTTATTATGTAAAATGTAAAAAAAATTATGCACAGGGCCTTAGCAAGCTAGGCTGAAAAGAAAAAAAAATTGCCCAGACCTATGTTACCATGTTGGGGGGGGGGGGAAAGACAGCCATCAATTGATACAGCTCTTTTTGTTTCTGTACATGAGGTACTGAGAGTGTGCTATCGTGCTCTTCTTGCTTTACTTTTAGATTCAAGTTCAGTAGGAGAATAGTAAAAGCAGTGGGCTGTTTAAGTTTTTATTTTTAGTATTAGTGACAGTAGGGGGAAAAAATTGACCCATTTACCCAGCAACACACTGCTTCTTTAAAATTCTGTCTAAAAGTGAATAGACTGGTACAAATCACACTTGCTGTACCTGAGTAAAGATTGGAGTGAGCGTGATGGCTCTGGGTACTAAAATGTGAGGAAAAATTTAGTTAAATTGAACTATTCTAAAAATTAACTTACTACATTTATGCCTGTCAAGTAATTGTTTATACTGGCGAGATTCTCTTTTAACAATTATTGCATTTTGTTCGAAAATTTGTTCCGGCACGAATTTCTCCAAGTCCGTTATCATCGATTCGATTTGTGTCGCCCTGCAATTTTAAAATATAATTAAGAAATAATAAACTATGAAATTAACAAAAAAATAAAATTTTTAGACTTGATTTTGTGTTCTGTCCAAAGCCTTTGGAGACATCCCACTACGTTCGTCAATTCTTCTGGGTCGATTGTCCAGTCTACTTCATCAAAGTAGCATTTATAAAGGTTCAGGCCTATTGGATTTGCTAGAGCATACTGCGGCTTTCTAAAACGGAAAAACTACCTGAGCAATTAGGTTTTTTTTTTTTTGGTACAGTAGTAATTTTTATCAGCCTGCAAGTTTTAAGTCCAAATTTGTACGGCAGCTTTGACAAGAACAGAATTTTTTCTTTTACCATTTTATCTATTAATTTAATGGCTGACCAATTATTGTAGGATGAAGTATTTTAGCATTTTCATACTAATTTTTTTATTGTTATAAATGTTTGTATGGTTTATAGTTATATATGTAGTTTAGTTTTATTTAAAAAAAAACAAAAAAAAAAAAAATGGAAAAAAAATTCCACATGACTGACACAAAGATGCTGAAACACCAATTATAGGATTGTAGCCACAAAAATGAACCTACACCAAACAGGCATAGCCACACAGTTATAAAAAAAATTGGATTAGATTCTGGTTGAAGCCAGCCTGTTTTTGACCGATAAAATTATTATTATATTAAAACATTTATAGAATAAAAATGCACAAGTGAATTTGAAATAAACAATTTAAAATGGTTTGAAAATGTGCATAAAGTATGATAATCTGTTAAAACCGTTTTTAAGCAAGCGGATTTTTTCTCTGTCACTGACAATTTTTTTTTGCATATTATTTTGCTATTATTCAACATTTTAATTAAAATTATAACTACATGCCTTGTATTTTTATCAGTATCCAACAGTTCAGCAATTATACGGGGTTCTTCAAGTCCTCGTCCAACAAGTAGTAACACCGCCATAATACATCTCACCTGATGCCATAAATATGCTTTTCCGATCAATTCTAGTTGGCACATCTCATATCCTACAATAATAAATGGAGGAAAAATAAAATAACAAAACTTTTAACATTCAAGCAACCCTATTTGTACATTGGCTATAACAGTGATTTAACCATTAAAATATCCGCTCCTATCGTTTATTTCTGATACGGTCGCTTTCTCTATAGACCTTATAAAGTTGGTCACACCGTTAGCTACATCCATTTTGCAAAGGTTGCGAAAATCGTGTACACCGACTAAATGTTGTGCTGCCTCGTTCATTTTCTGTTTAGAAAAAACCTGTCTTAATAATTTACTTTTTAAAAAATAATACATTATTATTTATATTACCTTTAAATCTAAATTAGACTTTGGAAAATAGTATCTATACATCCTTTTGTTGCAACTGAATCGAGCGCTGAATTCTGAATGAACTGGGGCCCAGCTTATGATTCTAATGTTCTCTGGAAGTAGGCGATTTAAGATCTTGCAGTAATTTATCGGTGGCTTTCCTTCTTCAGCTGCTCTCACTGTGATAGACACTACCTGCGATGGCAAAATAATAAGTCAAACGTGGGCAAATTATGATAAAGAGTTACCTGATCGAAAGCGCTGACGCCTTTGTCAGTCCTGCCGCACCTATGATAGTTGCTGGTATCACGACTTTGTATCAGTTGGCATTTTAACAAAGCTTTGATTAAATGGTGTTCAACAGTTTCAGGGCTGTCTTCTTGACACGCATACCCTTGGTAATTCCATCCAAGGTAAAGTAGTTTAAACGCTACATGGATTTTTGGACACCTTAAAATAAACACTGTATCAAATAATTTAATTTCAAATTTACAAATGTAATTGTGACTGCTTTTTATTGAAAAACTAACAAACAGATTTAAATTTAAATAGCCGACCAGTGTGTTTCACAATTTGTGACAAATCTTTTCTCTTTATGAACGTTTTATTACAGAAATAACCCTGTAAGTCAAGAAATGACATACTGAAAAGGGGCTTGCTTTCCTTTATTAATAATATTTTAAAAAATCATAAAAAATTCAAATTGAGATCAAAAGTTTAATTTTTCTATTTTTTTCTAGCCTGTATGGTATATTTGGTTGATGAACTTTTTCATAAGTGGGCTCTACAGGAAAATACACTTTAAATTGTACAAAAACCAAAGTGATTAAGTTATTAATTATTATAATTTTAATATTACAATGTAAAGAATCTGTATGAGGGTATGCAAAACAAAATATACTTTAAATTTTATTTTAATTAATGTTTAATTTTTATATAGTAACACCACCAGTATCCATAAATTATTTTAAACAAAAAAGTAAAGTGATTCCTGCATTGCAGGAGGGCTTTTTTTAAATATAAATTATAAAGGCGACTGCTCTGGATCTTCTTTTCTGCTTCAAAAAGCTTTCTGGCCGGGAAGCGAGCAGCCACAGCCAAGGAACCCCCCCCTAGCAGCAGAAACCTGGGCCCCGACAATTCCACATGTTCCCAGGACATCCTTTCGTTTTTGACTCGGGTCAGAACCACTTTACAATACATTTTTCACCAAACATCAACTCAATCCATGGGGAAAATGTATTTCTAGGGAAGGAGAATATGTAGAAAAATAATCAATTTTTGTAAGATTAATAAAATAAAGTTAGAATTTTTTTAAAGTCCCGTTTATATTTAATACACTCTCGTATACTGCCATCTAGTCACAAGACTTTTTGAAGATGGTGAAATACTCGGTCACAAACCAAAATAATCAACTAACTATCAAATCTATACGTATAAAACAGTTCCGCAACTGACAGAAAACAGACAGACCCAACTGGAGCTAAAGCGCTGAAATTTAGACAATGCATTTCTGTAATGGCTAGCCACTAATAAAGGATTTTTTGAAATCCCATCCCTAAAGGGATCATCTGGACAATTTTTTACAATGTATAGACCAAAGTGAACTGAAGAAGAGAAAAATTGGAGAATATTATACTACAAATTAACATTTACATTAGAAAGCCCCACTAGCACTCTGCATCACATTAGAAATGTACATTAAAACAGGGTCCCACCTGGTTGAAGTTGCGGGTAAAATCTAGTGAGCTGATAAATGACAAACGAGTATTGACAATATAATTAATATGATATTAATATTGTTAATATAATATTAAAATAAATAAAAGATAAAATATTTACTTCTCAAAATCAAATTTCTTTGTTGCTTTCTTTGCGCCTTGAGCTTTTTGTGTTCCATTCAGCTTTGCAACTATGTTCCTTAGCTGAAGATTGTGTGCCTGAAGCTGCAGCACTTTCTCGATCAAGTCCTAAAAAGGAGATTTGTTCAAAAATCAGTTTCGAAATTGAAAAATTACTGTTTTAGACGGAATCCTTTTTAAAAAAATTATAACAATCTTTTATAATTGATGTGATTAATCTATTATCACGATGGAAATTGTTATACACTGTCAGGCAAAAAATTCTATCCAATAAAAGAAAATTCGGCCTGCAATTTGTCTCATTGTTTTTATCAATAAATGTTTGTTTACTCTATGTTTTAAATTGAGAATAACAATTAGAGGTAAACACACTTAATCATTAATCCAAAACAAGGATAAAGGATTTTTAAATGTTTACTTTTTAGAGAATTTCAAATGTTTATTCAGTCTCATTTGGATACTGAAACAATAAACTGTTTAGTTTTCATTTCTGTTTTCTTAATTTCAATTTTTAAACTGAAAAATACGACTTAGTGCTGAGGATGTTGTGTGGGGTAGCATTTATTGGGGATGGACGTTCCATTAGGTATGTGACTATTTGCATTGAAGGTCCCCACGAAACTCAACGACGTTTTCAAGAATCTGGGTCCTACCATAGAAGGGCCGGTTCCGGACCCCCTAGGGTAAAAGAACCACAGGAAGACCGTTTTTTGACTTTGAGAATTTTGTGAAACCGGCACCTTACTGTTGTTTGTCAGTTCCACGAAGTTCAAGGCGTCCATATTTCTGAATGTAATGTTCGAAGAAGATTAAATCAATATGGACTAATGGATTTTCGCCCCGTAAGAAGACCAGAATTGAAGAACACACAGAGTTGCACGGCTCGCATTTCTCTAGAACACAGCCATTGGTCTTTGGACGATTGGTACTTTTTACAGATGAATGTAGATTTGCTCTACAATCTCCAGATGGACGAAAGAGTGTGGCGAAGGCAAAATGAAAGATACGAAGCTTGTATTTTTTTCCAGAGCCAACCTATTCAGAGTAGCTCAGTGATGTAGGCAGGAATTTCAAGTCGCTCAGGGTTGGTTGTTAGAGTCTTTGACGGCCACTTGCTATGTAGATTTAATTTTGGAACATCGTGTGTTGCCTATCTTAGATGAAATCAGCGACAATCCTATTGTAAAGCACGATAATGCCTGTCCACAAGTCGCTCACATCTACCTTCAACAGCATAACATCAGGGTCTTAGCCTGGCCAGTTTGTTCTCCAGACTTGAAGCCCATCGAACATTTATGGGATAACCTCAAAAGATAATCCATCACTTCCTGATACACTCCATGATCTTGAAAGGACTCTTCGTGAAGAACGGGCTAACCTCCAGCAAAGAGTCATTTCCAGGCTGGTAGAAAGTATACCGATGCGTCTTTTAGATGTAATTAAGGCAAGAGGAGGAAATACGCGATAATGAAATGTTAATTAAAAATCCAATAAACAAATTTTATTTGTCTTTTTTTCATTTTCCTTAGAAATTAAATTTTTTAAACTTTTTTAGACAAAAACTCAATTATTAAACGTTAAAAAACATGAAGCTTTGAGTAATATATAAAAATATGTATAAATGAAGTTATATTACAAGGCGAAATTTTTTGCCTGTCAATAAAGCTCCAGGCGGCATTACCTCTTGGTTGAAATTTATCAGATCAGATTTTTCCAGAGTTTTCGACCTGTTCACCAATATCTGATCCGTGTTGGCGGAATTTTCCATTTTTTCTCCTGGAAATTAACTCAACGAGTCCCAGATTGGGAGAGAACTGAGATGTAAAGAGCAGAACCTGCCACTGCGGTTGTTTGTTGATAAGGCGAAAAATAAACAACATAACCTTACCATTCGAATAATTGTAACAGTCGGGAGTGAACGGGTCCTGTTGTTTTTGTCGAATTTTTGCTCCTGATTTTCTTATTAAACCGTGTTTACAATTTACCTGAGTTGTATCAGAAGAGGATTTCTATAAAGGCGCTTTCGTCTCGTCGATTCAGGCACGTCCCCAGGCGTTAAAATGCGGGGAAAAAGGACTCGTTTTCATACCTGAATGGGCCGATATTTTTTCAAAAATGTCCGGAAAATAATTGAAAAAGATCTATTATACAGATAGATTGATGGTCGAAAGCGCCTCCCCGTGATTTAGTCGTAAAATGGGGAGCCTGGACAAGGCCGTCTTGACTGGTTTTATATGCAGGATCTGCTCGAAAATCAACAAAGTCGTCGTCCACGTTCATGGAGAAGAAGGCGAAAAGATCAACTTGGCGAGCCAGCTGCAGAACTACTTGGGCTTGGATGTAAGAGTACTCCATTTCCCCGACTCCCTTGCCAGGTTCAAAACCATTTTCTTATTTCAGCTCTACATGGACGACCACCTACCAAAGACAGTTTGCAACAGCTGCATCCTCAAGCTGAAAATGCACTACGACTGGATGGAACTCATAAAAACTGCTCAGCAGCATATCAACAAGGGAAATGTAAGCAATACTTATATGTATGTCAAGCAAAGATTCACCAAATCCTAACTAGTGGAACGATATTATGTGCTCGCCTTTCTTGGCTAAATGTATTTTCTTTTCTGCTTCAAAGTACACAAATATGCAGGAATCAACTGTGACGATGATGGGCATACTAGGAAGCCGGGTTTGTGCACCCCAGGCACTCTAGCCTTGTATGTTGTACTTATTGTACCTTCCTAGTTCTCTAGTTTAGTGCAGTAGACTCAATCCTCCTTCTTAGAAGTATCAAGTCATTGACTGTCTCTGGTACGATTTCATTCCCAAGGTTTTTTCTATATGTTTTAAACTAGGTTAAATCTTTATTGAGCCATTGTTTCGGATTCGAAGATGATATGAGTAGCTGTTTCCTCCTCCTCATTGCATAATCTTTACATGGAATCATTGTTATACGTACCCATGTTGTAAATGTTTTCTTAGATGCCAGTGTTCGGTTAATAGTCAGCAGTGAATGCCACTGTTGGTGAGGGTTGTTTCAACATGAGTTTACTGAGTCTAGTACCACTAAAGTGTAAGATTCTGTATTTGTTTTTGTTATTCCCAAGTAAAGGTTTGAGGCCTATGCACGGTCTTGCAGATCCTCCTCCGGCTAGTATGTCTGCTTTCTCGTTACCCAAAATTCCTCTGTGCCCTGGCCCCAAGATATCATCAGGTTGTTGTGTCCCCATGTTTTAGAGATTGTGGATGTATTCACTGACCAATTTTGATGTGATTCTTTTATATGCTAATGCTTTAATGGCTGCTTGGCTCTTAGATCTTATGAGGATTTTTTCGCCAGTGTCCTCCTCTTTTAAGATTTTCCAGGGCACAAGCATTGATGGCATGATTTTAGCTTGAAAGACCGCGATGTTCTTCCCTAACGAGTTTGATTGCTCATATCTTGGGCTTGTACAAAAAACACCCAATCTGGTTCCTTCGTTTGTTGTGGAGCCATCTGTATACCATATCATTGAAACCGATGCTCTCCTGAGTTCTTCCTCTCCTGTATAGTTGAGACTTTATAGGATGTTGTAAAGAAATTTTCCAGGATCATATAGTCAGTCCCTATTTCTAAGAATGGGTATGTTATGTTGGGTTTACATCCTATCCAGTTTGACTGTTTTTGAAGCCTAAATGAACTTTTCCTAGCTTCTCCTTGTATAAATGTTTTCAGTGGAGGTAGGTTTAGCAGAGTTTCTAGTGCACTTGTAGGGGTTGTTCTCATTGCCCCTGTGATACATAGGTTTGCTATTTGTATGCTGTTAGTAGCCACTTTTTGTTGAGCTTTGGTCCATCAGATTAACGATCCGTAGGTTATTTTGGGCCTTATTACTGCCATGTATGGCAACTGGGTCATTTTCAGGTTCTTATTGTGGTCATTAGCGATATTTTAATTTTTTCTATCATATGCTGCAGGTGAGGGTGCCAGGTTAACTTCTTACCAAAGATTATTCCTAGGTATTTAACCTGGTTTTTTTACTGAAGCATTTCATTATAGAAACATAGGCTTTGTATTTCTATGTTTCTTGGTGAAAGTAATTAGGGTAGTTTTTGAGAGGTTTGCTTTAAGTCCGCATTGTGAACACCATTGTTCCACCATATTTAGTGCTCTATCGGATGAGCTCTTTTATTGTTGTCAAATATTCCCCTAGTTTGACAATATCACCTGCATACCTTTGGTATAAATTCCGCTTTCATTAAGTTTGCATGTGAGGTCATCCATTTCCACATTTCACAGCAGAGGCGTGATTCCTCCTTGTGGACATCGTCTCACCACCACTGCTTCTACTTTTTCGTGGAACATGGAGGTCCGGACTTTTCTGCTTTTTAGAATTGATTCTATCAATTATGCAACAGGTTTTGTCAGTTCCTCGCTGTTTGAGTAATGCTTCAAAAGGATTATTATCAAATGCTCCTTCAGAGTCCAAGATTGTTCAGTGAATCCTATATTCGTATCGTTATTTGGTTCATATTCACAGGATTTTGCTTTCTGCTAAGCATGTTAATATTTATGCAGGGGCTTTTAGAGAGCTGCTCTTGTGTTTTTCATCTAGCCTTTCGAGTCAGAATCAACTGTGCTGTATATAAATCAACTGTAATCGTCACTCAACACTGCTATTTATTTTTCAATAATAAACGGTTCCTAACTAGTATAAATGTATTAACAAAAGTACATCATAGCGTTGTTTCTGGAAGAATTGGCCCAACATAGTAGTCTTGGAGTTCCTCGATCTATATCTTGATATCGCAAAAATCAGGACTTGGTTTTCAATGCATGGAAAACAGTCGAAAGTAAGATAGGGCAAAAGTACTCTGTGACTGAGTTAGTAGTCACTACACAAAACATTAACCGCAGCAGTGATAGTTTCACTGTGGTCCATCATGATTAGTGGTAAGTTGAGAACTTGCACGGTACTCAGCAAATATGTATTTGCATGTGTATGTACATAGGCACTCTGTCTGGCAAATGCTAAGAGGAGCATCTCGTGACTTAGGCGAATACGGCAGGATCCACATTTAGGGTCTGTGGCAATGAACCTGCAGTTTGGTCGTTGCCAATAATTTTGCTATTTTCTCACCATTTTGTGTATGAAAAACCAAAACAGTAAAGGTTTAGCAGATCAAAATATTCAGAAAGGGCCAAATTACATAAAAAATGTAATGTAGGAAACACTACTGACTTTGATCTGCCGACTGCCTCTCCTTGCTGGATTGGTATGCCAGACACATTTTACCATTTCGTCATCTTCAGTTTTAGGTCTGACACCATGGCATTGGAAGATTTGTCATTTTTCTTGAAGTCTTTAGGGCAATTTACCTGTGGTTTGGTCATACAGATTATTTTGGTCTCAGGCGTGTTTTATATCTGAAAAGCCAAAAAAGCCCTGATTTAGCGGATCAAATTACATTTTTTGTCTGAATTGGTCGTTTTCTGGTCTGCCTCCCTGGCTGAGTTGGTCTAGAAGACCCATTTTGCCATTTAAACAGCTGTATTAGTTTGCCTAAAAGGCCTCATCCAAACCAAAACAGCAAGGATTGACAGACCTATATTTTTTGTTTGATTTGATCATTACATCTTAAATTGAAACCCTTATATTAAAAACTTTCCCTGCTAATTTATTTATTTTTTTCCTACAGAAATCAAGGAGACAAGGAGAATCTCAGCAAAATGATCAACAACCCACATGAAAGAAAAATTATGAAGGAAGCCCCAGTTCCATCAAATTGTGAATAATTCCTTCCAACTAAATAAGTACAATTCTAAATAAACGAAAGAAAATAAATGGTGCAAAATCCATAAGAAAAAAAGCCAAAACAAAACAAAAAGTCCTTTTTCACCTAGTGAATTAGTTTATTATTTTATTGTGTATATATATTATATTTGTTTATATACCACAGTGTAGATAATGTGATCCTGTATAGTGTGAATTTTTGTTTTTATTTTTACGTAATGTATTTAAATTGGTTAAAATATAATATTTTTCTACAAGGCTAGTTCTTTTATCCGACGCCGCTTTTAGGAGAATATTTATTTAGAAATCGTGAGATGCGGTCACTAATCACCACACATTTTTAGGAGAATTTTGGTTGTATTGAAGAAAAACAAGGGTGTATAGAAGAAGATAGTAAAATTCATATATTTAAACAAAAATGTATTCTATTATATTAATTTTCTTCCGCACTCTCCTCACCGCCTTCTTGTCCTTCTTCCTCGTCTTCTTCTTCGTCATCATCACCAGCGACTTCTGCGTTTTCTGCCTCTGCCCTTTCCATTTGCCGAGCGAGTTCAGCTTCATCAGTCGCAGTGACAACCTTAGGCTATAAACGTTTAAAAAATAAATAAATAATCCAGAGTAAATTAAAATAAATTTATTATACTTTGCCAACTTTTTAAATTATTTTTATAGAATAAAATTTTTATAATTAATAAAAATAAATAAATCGTAAAACACAGTTAGAAAAGTGTAATGAGTTTATTCAAATCTAAACAAATCTGAAAAACATCCAATAATAAAAAGAATAAGTACTTACAGCCATCTGTATTTGAAAAACGCCTCCAAGTTGTTTAATGACTTCTTTAATTTTTTCTATCGCTTCTTGCAACGCTTTAAGTCCCTCTGCTTTATCCGGCGTGGCTGTCGTAATTACTAAATATAAAATTTTTTTTAAAAATAAAATACATTTCTCCCCATGGTTTTAGAATATGGTTCAATGATAAAAACTTACCATAGAGGGGTGGTGCAATTAAATTAATTTTGATTGGTAATTCTTCCGTAGAGAGTGCAAGACCGGCCTTGAGGGCTGTTTTAACAGCGTCGATCCCTTCGTACTCATAGCAAGCGACTTCAATGTCGGCCCGTATTTTGACAGCCTGGCTTGTCAGTTTCCTTTTTATATTCGTAAGCAATACTTCCTGCGTTTGTTCAGGCAGTCCACATTCGGCGAGAATAGAATTGTCTCTAAAAATTATATTAATAATTACAGTAATTATGGCCAAGTTATTGAATAGTATAGATCATCCATTTGATCTGCTTATCTTAGTCTTTTTGGCCTGTCAAGAAATTCATCCTCACTAAGCAAAAAGACCTGATAGATTGAAACGTGAGGACAGGCAAATCAAAATAATAGGAAATATTTATTTAGAAATCGTGAGATGCGGTCTGGTGTGATGTAGGTTTCAGAAAAACATTTTCTTTATCGTGCCAACATTTTGATCTTTATTGAAATCATCTTCAGGGCCTGGGATTTACAAACATTGTTTACTTATAATTTTTGATTCCCACCATTGCCCCTGGCCCTTTTTTTCGTGTAATGGAAACCCAGCTTTAGAAAAAAAGTAGAAAAGATAAAATTGTCTTGTTATTTCAGCAAAGTTTAAGCTATCGCCAAATAGGGAGAGAAGTTTGTTCTCTTTTGACCACACAATAAATTATTAAAAAAAGCTTAAGACTGGTTCTGCAGTTAATGCAAAATGGTCTGGAAGGACAAGGAAAATTTGGACGAGACAAGTGCATTATCGGATGACAAGCTTTAAAAAATCTGAGAATTAGTGAACTCGAGAAGGCCTTGCTCATCTTTACATCTTTTGTACACTTGTTACGCCATGAAGTGGAAAACAAAGGCAGAAAGGCCAGAAAAAAACTTTTATACGAAATAAAGCTAAATTGTCTTCTCAGAAGAATGTATGTTTAACATTTTTGGATCTGATAGAGTGTGTATTGATTCAGAGGAAAACAAACAGAATTAAACAAGCAAAATATAACACCGACTGTGAATCATGGAGGAAGCAGTTGATGGTATGGGGTATTATGGCGGCATTTTAAATGCTAAAAGACATACATCACCATAAAAAAATTAATTAATTTGAAAAAATAGGAGCGGATTCAAAATACTTGTTCCAACAAAACAACCCAAAATACAGAATCAAACTAACAAAAGAACTTGTTGTATAGTAATTCCTTATTCAAGGGTGTTTGGTTCCAGAAAACTGCTGTGAACGCCAAAATTGAGATACAATTCAGAACAGGGGGAAGAAGAGAGAGAAAAAAACTGTTTGTACAAAATAAACGTAATAGAAGACATAACAGTGTTTGAACATGTTAATTGTTTTCATTGTTTGTATTTTTTGATGTGCAAGGAAAGAAATAACTATTAATTGTTTGCTGTTTCGCCAAATAATTAATTTCTTTAAGAATTTCTACAGAAGGATTCAAAGGGGCCTTGGCATCCCTTCTAAACTTACAACTTCGATTTAAAGATGAGTCGAAATCTATTGCTTTTTTTTAGTATGTCCCTCAAGGTTAAAATTTCCCTGAGCTGTTTTGAAGAAAAGCTTTAGCCTGCATTAAAAATGTAAAAAAATGTAACATGCCCAGAATTTTTATTCTTTCTTCAAGGGTCAGGACATTTTTTTCAGTTTTGGAAGAGGAGGCATTTTGCAACACAACTTCCAGGAAAGAATAAAACAAACTGCGAAGAAAGAAGGAATAGTGTGTTGAAAGCAGGCAAAAGTTATGTGAGAATCAATTAGAGCCTCTAATACATTTTTCAAAGAATTATTTTCGATACGGAAATCAAATTGTTTACGCAACTGGTTTTTTTTAAACGAATAAAGATATCAGACTTCCGCAGATGTCAAAACTTAGTGCACATCAAAAAAATAGTAAAAAATGCAAAAAAAACCGCGAGAGTTAAGGGATTACTGTACTTTCTTTTTTTAATTCAACTGACCCTCAAGGTGCTAGTGTTTTTGGGAAAAAAAAGCTCATTTGTAAATTTCAGTTTCAAACTCAGGGCCGCTTCAATTGGATTCAAACGTGGGACTGTTACCTTATAGTTATGAGTCGCCTTGTCAATACCTTAACCGTTATGACCATCGTTCACAAAATGTTTAAAAAAAAGGTCATTTTTTTCCGTAGATTTTTAAGTGCAGAATTGGGTTTCTACTTCATGAAAAATTCACTTGTGCAACTAAACGCAAGAATTACTTGCGGAATGCTGTCTCGAGTTAACCATTTCACAACCAAGAGGCGAAACAAGGTGAGCCATCAGTCTAGGGAAGACAAGCATGTTGTCCATCTTCTACAACAGCATTTGCTATCATGGCAATAATTTATGTAACGAAAATGCCGGTGGTGGATACAATAATTAAATTATTTTGTCGGTGAATGCAATATGGGAACCGTCTTCTGAGGGATATAGCAGCAGAACACATCAATGATACCATTAGAAACTTTAACCAGATGACTTCCGAAGATTTTGAATATCTCGTCTTTCTGTGACCCCATTAGATTTATTATTTTCCTTTTAAGAGTACCATCAGTTTGTCCCATTTTGATGTACATTTTCTTCCTTACATCATCTCTTGTTCTTATTATGATGAGTTCTTTAGCATTCCACAAAAAGCTGAGATACACTCAGATAAGTTGAATTCTCATACTCTAGACAAGTGTTTATACGGAGCAAAAGAAACAACGCAAAACATTTTAACGCACACTAAAAACTCCGGCTCACACTGAAACATCCTCGTGCCAAAAGTTTCACAGTCCCAGCTAGGTCTCTACAATGCGAGATAAGTTTTGCAAAACAGTTGCGCCAGAGTTTCTCAAGTGGAAACCCAGCTATAGAATAGTTTTTTTTTTTTTTGGTGTTCAAAAATGTCTTTTTATTTTAATGTAACGCCTAATTATTTTTTTACCATATAATTACATGAAATGTATAATTGAATAATCTACTTTATGGTCTAAAAAAAAGTTTTAGTTACAAAATAGATTAAAGAAGATAATGTCAAAAAGGCAAGTATATGAATAATTTTTTGTAGTATTTAATAACTTTTGTAATCATAGTAAAGATAAAATTTAGAAGGAAGATTTATGAAAAGTTGAATTTTTCTTACAGTACAGCCTGCTTGAAGAAATCGTAAGCTGAAGCTTTCTTTTTTGTCTTTTCTTCAAAGAGCCATGCAGTCCTTTGATATAGGTCTTCTAACTGTTCGTCATTTTCGTACTCGAGGAGTTCCGATACATGCCGTAGGATCGAGTTGACCGCCTTCGCTTTCGCAAACCGCTCCGTACACTTTTCAACGTCTTCAGGCGAGACTCGCCTTTTGCTCAAATCAATATAACCTGGGAAAACAAAAATTGACTCGTTTAGAAAACACGTATGGTGTAGTTGTTACAGCTTGTACCTTTGTCCTTGTCGACTCTTATGACGACGACAGGTTCAGTCTTACCGACCCTGATGAGCTTGTTGATAGACCTTATACGCCTCCTAGACAATTCCGATAACAGTATCATCCCTTCGATGTTGTTGTATTCGAGCAGATGGACGTATGCGCCCATCTCAGCTATGCTCCTGACGTTCACCATCACAACGTCATCCACCTCCGGGTACTTCTCTTTGTAAAATCTACAGCTAAGCGGCATTTCTGTCTGCAAGTTAGGACAACGTGTTTAGCAATTTCAAACCATCATCCCCCGTATTAGAATATGATATAATTATCAAGCGGATCTATGTTATCATTAGGGGAAAGTACTCGTATTGAAAGAAAAACGTGTGCGGTAACCTTGTACCAACCAAAGGAATTTTTGTTTTTTTAGAACAATTCTACTTCAAAAATTAACAAATTCGATTCGACTAGAGAGGCAAACTTTTAGCTTGGTAATACGGGTGAAATACCTTTGTCGAATCGGTGTATTTATACAAAGACACTACCTAGTATTCTAGTATATACAAAAAGCACCCACGTTTCACTGTTATCCCTGCTTCTGGTCGATACTTGACGCAGTTTGACATCGATTGGAACTTCGTACCGATTCAGGAAATCGAAGTTTTTACTAGTGACAAGCACGTTTTTCTGGTGTAGTCTGGAATTGTAAGAAAGAACAAGCTAAAAAGTGGAAAATTAAATGAAAACTACGAAAACTTGACCACAAACTGTTCTGAAAAATCTTACAGTAAACAGTTCTGAAAGTGTAAAAAAAAGGATTCAAATTAACAATTTCTACGTGAAATTAAAAGAGTATGCTAATTTTATTTATTTATTGATTTATTTAATATTTTAAGAGTAAATATACCCAGTACAAGTTCTATAAGAGGTTAAACTATATATAAATAATAATGAATAATTGTAATATAAATAGTAATGTACATATTACTATTACCCCCAAGTACCCACAAGAAAAGTGACAGCTCAAAAAAAGAAATTTTTTATTTATTTATTTTTTAGACAAAACCTATTAAAATTATACAATAATTACAAATATACTTAGGAGAACTAATATAAAAAAGTTCTGTAAATGCTGTAAATGAAGCAAAAAAAAGAGCTACGTGTTTACATAACGATTATGAGACACACTAATGGATATGAAAATAATACATAAACTGAAATAAACATTTATATCTTGAGTGCAGAAATTGATTTTTAAAAATGCTAATATTATCTTGGTATGAGATGTATGGATAAGCATTAGCTATGTGCATTAACCTATTGATGGCACTTCGTTTTATGTAATCAGATTTATCTAATAAATACAATAGGAGAGACAGAAGTTTACTTTTTTTTTACTTGTGTATTAAGTTCATGCCATTACAGTTGGCAATAAAAACTCATGATACATTAATATTGTCTTTCATTTGTCCAATACAAGCGAAAACAAAAAAACTTTAAAAATCCAACTATACCACTTTAAAAGAACTACCCCTTTTTGACTTGTGACACTTTTCTTGCATATATTGGCTCTCAGCAATTTAAGTTAGTTTGTATGCTCTAACAATAATGGTAGTAACGAATGACTGGGTATTAATTATTCTTTGTGATAGTAACAGACAACATACAAGCCTAATAAATGAGCATCCTCATGATTCCCCCATGCGAATCTGCAAGAGTCATACTCAATGATCTTGAACCTTTTTAGATTAGCTTTATATTTTTCCGTGATCAGAGAAAACCTGTGTTTGAACAAAATTCAAAATGAGGCAAAACTATGGAGGCATATAAGAATTTTAAAGATTTTGTGATCAAATTTTTGAGTGTTTCTGATTATAAAGCCAAATAATTTATAACACTTTGCAGTGGTTTAATTAGTATGATCTTTAAATAAGAGTGTTGTATTGAATATGACTAGCTATTTCCAAAGTCCCTGATCAAATGTACCATTGATAGTTGAATATTTTCTAAAACAAATGAAATTTTTTTTATTGTCTTATTCATTGCTGTATCAATTGGAACAAGAATTAAGCTCATAAACCATGTAGTTTTTGAGGAAAAACACAAAAAACCCAAAAATGTTTATTGTTTTATTTGATGTAAAATGACCTACTGGGTCGATTGGAGCAAGAATTAAGCTCATAAACCTGTTGTTTTCGAGAAAAAAAGCAAAAATCTGAAAAAATATTTACTGTCTTATTTGATGTAAAACAACCTGCTAGGTTGATTGGAACAAGAATTAAGCTCATAAACCCTGTAGTTTTCCAGAAAAAAGCAAAAATCTGAAAAAAATATTTATTGTCTTATTCAATGTAAAACAACCGGCTTGGTCGATTGGAAGAAGAATTAAGCTCATAAATCCTGTAGTTTTTGAGAAAAAACGCAAAAACTCCAAAAAATGTTTATTGTCTTATGTAAGACAACTGACTTGGTTCAATGGAACAAGAATTAAGCTTATAAACCCTGTAGTTTTCCAGAAAAAAGCAAAAATCTGAAAAAAATATTTATTGTCTTATTCGATGTACAACAACCGGCTTGGTTGATTGGAACAAGAATTAAGCTCATAAATCCTGCAGTTTTTGAGAAAAAACGCAAAAACTAAAAAAAATGTTTATTGTCTTATGTAAAACAACTGGCTTGGTCAAATGGAACAAAAATTAAGCCCCTAAACCCTGTAATTAAAAAAAAAAACTTTCAAAAAATATTTATTGTCTTTTTTGATGTAAAACAACTACTGGGTCGATTGAAACAAGAATTAAGCTCATAAACCCTGTAGTTTTGAAGAATATTAGATTTTCTAGATTAGATTCAATTCCATTTTTGTGTGCCTCATTGCCAGGTTGAAAGTTTCCATTAGGTCCTTGCTTTTGGCTGCTTTTTTATTCCCTTCTATGCCAATGTGCGCCTTAATCTATTATACTGAGATTTTCGATCCTTTTCTTTCCTGATCAATTTTAGGAATTGGAACGTATAATTTTATAGCGTCATTTAGAATGAAGTAAAGTGTACAGCAGTACTGCAAATTTTGTTTATAAATGGTCTCTGTAGATAGACGAACAATGTATTGTAAAAAAAAAAATAGGCAACTTGATTGGTGTTCAGTATGAAAATGAAAAGCATAAAACAGTGAAATTTAATTGTTAATTTATCAATTCTCCTGAAATGATGCGTATGCTTTCTCTAATATCACGTCAACGGTTGTACAGATGCCATGTGTATTTACGACCTAGTCTTCCCAGTACAATAGTCTTATCTTGCCTAAGTGTTAGATTGTTACTTTATTTGAGTTGTAATTTGTTTTTATTATTTTTCGACGGCCAAGTACCGGATCCGTCTAAATCGTACCACCTCGCCCCAAGGGGTTCGCCTTGGGTTTAAAACCCACCCTACTTGACACACTGCCGAACCTTTCATAATTAATCGTAAATAGTAAGGATTTAATCAATAACTGTGCTTCTGACACTTGATGGTACATTTGTCTTTAATCAGGGATGGATTTGCCAAAAGATGACATGTACACGGACGAGGAGTCGTCTAGCCCGTCTTCTTCAAATTCACGGTACAACGACTCGGAACAAACTTTTATGAGGAATCTAAAAAATGTTTGGAATCAGTGTAAGTAATTGACATAGGATAGCTGATATATTTTAAAATTTATTTGTGAAGTATATTTATAAACTAGTGGTTCAACCGTACCACTCAGCGTGTACCACACACACCACCAAAATGAAGCAAAAACATGAATTTGATTTGCAGGTCAAATATTAAAATGGCTGGTGTTATTTAATTTATAAAATTATATTGGAGGTGTATCCACACTTTTTTATATAACTAGCATTTACCCGTAACTTTATCCACTCTGGACTCTTTTTTAATAAACTTTTCCAATGTGATGCAGTGCTAGTGTGTCTGTCTAATATAATGTCTCGTTTCTCAATATTCTTCTCTTCTTCAGTACACTTTGGTCAATACATGGTAAAAAATTATCCGTATGATCTCCTTAGGGATGGAATAAAAAAAAAAAATCCTTTCGTAGCAGTTATTCGTGTCATTATAGGAGCGCACTGTCAAAATTTCAGCCCTTTAGATCCAGCGGACAGTGGTCTGCGTTGACTGTCAGTCAATCATGGAACTGTTTTATATAAACTGCTCAAAAATGAATAGGGATATTGCCAATTTTATAATATTTACTTTCCCTAGCATTTTTATTTTATTTTAATTAGACATTGCATTAAAATTGATTAGAATTGATTAAGTTCTTTACTAAAGAAAAAATTAATTAAGGAATTTTGAAAAATAAAAGGTCTCAATAACATAATTTTGTTTATTGGGCACAATAAGTTTTTTAAACAATATACAGGGTGTCCCAGTTCCTTCTGACGAAACTCAGGGAATCGATTCTACTCTTCATTTGGAGCAAAAAATGCTCAGGAGAAAATTTTCGGAAAGTTCTCTATTTTGAAGATATTCGTCAATTTAGGTTTTTCAACTTTTCACTACCTTACCACATAAAAATGCTTACAACTTCCAAAATGTTTAGACTACAATCCAATTATACCATTTGAAAGAACACTAAATTTGCTGTAAGATACTTCTATTTGCAATAATCTGAATGACATAAAATGTTAGCTAATATTTCTTTCACTAATTTCGTGTTCTTCTTGACCAATTAAATCATTACAATTAATTAAGGTTTTTAGTTGAGATGAAAAAAGTTAACGGCACGAGAGGGGCAAAGGGAGGGAAAATTCAGAAGGTGGGGTTGAGATGGGGAGTTGATGTTCGAGTGGATCGAGGTCACGATAGCTCAGGTGGTAGAGCAGCGGCGTATCTAGCCGAAGGTCGTGGGTTCGAATCCCTCTCGTGCCGTTAACTTTTTTCATCTCAACTAAAAACCTTAATTAATTGTTAGCCAATATCGTTGATTTATCCAGGTTTTTCAATAACGTTCTAGTAGAGTTGAAAAATCAACGTAAAGCATATTAGATGAAGAAGTTTTTGTGAAATTTGACAAGCTGTAGGTATTTTTTTTTTAACCTCAGAGAACTTGCAATAATGACCAAAATTTTAAATTTTGTAATTTTGACATGTTCCAACTGATATTGGCTAACATTTTATGTCATTCAGATTATTGCAAATAGAAGTATCTTACAGCAAATTTAGCGTTCTTTCAAATGGTGTAATTGGACTGTAGTCTAAACATTTTGGAAGTTGTAAGCGTTTTTATGTGGTAAGGTAGTGAAAAGTTGAAAAACCTAAATTGAGGAATATCTTCAAAATAGAGAACTTATCGAAAATTTTCTTCTGAGCATATTTTGCTCCACACAAAGAGTAGAATCGATTCCCTGAGTTTCGTCAGAAGGAATTGGGACACCCTGTATACAATGCATAATGTAGCTAAAACCTCTGTGCTTCTGTTAATCATATTATTAATAAAGTTACTAATTTCATAAGGAATTTCACTCTGTAGATATTGCAATGCTGCCCTTAGTAATTTGCAAGTCAACTGGCTGTGGATGGTAATTGAAAAGCCTTCTCTGCAACGTGTCCCACATGTGCTCAATGGGATTGAGGTCTGGAGACAATTTGGGAAGGGGAAGATGGGAAATTTCCGTGTTTTCTAAACATTGATGGACAACTCTGCCTCTTTGATGTCTGGCATTTTCATCCATAAATTGAAAATCCCTGCCAACAAGATCCCTGGTTTGAAGGAAGTATTCCTCGATAATTTCTCTAAACTGAGGTGTGGTTGCCTACAATAATATGGAGTCCAGTTCGTCCTCCAGTGTAAATCTCAGCCGAGATCATACTGCCTCCTCCTAACTGGACTGAATGGAGCACGAACGGGGGCATTGTCCGCAGACTGCAGCCCCTTTTCTCAGTAGACTCTTTGGTGCCTGCTATCACAATACAGACAAAAATGTGACTCATCAGTAAACATAACAGCATTTCAATTGGCGTTCTCTTGTAGGCGCTCGCTGCATCATATTCTCAAGTTGCTGATGACAGGATGTTGCTGCAGGTCATCTCAAAGGGCCGATACGCATACGATGTGAGGCCATGTGGATAAAGGCCTTGCCAAAACATCTTGTACTTTATTTAGGATCTGGTGGGCACTATGTTTGCATGGATAGGGTTCGGTCTTGCAGCAATGACAGACTATTTCTGTCGTCCCTTAGCATCTTACTGTACTTCTTGTACTGAAAATCTAAGGTCCACTACCAGGTCTCCTATTGACACTACCAGTCTCTCGGAATCAGGCTAAAGCCTAGGAGACGACACTCTGCCTCTGCGATATCCACTTGCTGGTGACCTCCATGACTCATTCTCACAATAATATTGCGGACTTCTAGTTCAAGATGATGTCCTTCCTTGGTTAAAGAGAATAAAACTGGATTAAAATGGAGAAAAGACGACAAAAGGTGTTTGTTTACAAAATGAGTAATCTTCATGTTTACTATTCTTAATCTGTTATTAAAAATGAGGATTAACATTTGTTTGTTTTTGGTTTGTATTTTCTATTTTGTTTTATCCAACTAACAAGAATATATCGGTTAATTAAATTAAAATTAATAGAATAAAAATAAATTACAAATAACCCTATTAACTTTTGAGCAGTTTGTATAGATGGGGATGGAATTTCAAAAAATCCTTTCTTAGCAGCAGTCCATGTCATAGGGATATATTGTATATATATTTCAGCCCTTTAGATCCGACGGTTTGGTCTGTGTTTTGCCTGTCAGTCAGTCACGGAACTGTTTTATATATATAGATGTGATAGTTACCTATTATTTTGCTGATTTTATCTGTCAGATGCGTTTCAGTACTTCGCCATCTTCAAAAAGTCTTGTGTCTAGATGGCAGTTACAAGGGTGTATTAAATTTTTTTAAAAATTTTATTAAAAAATTTTTTTAAATGAATACATTCTTTATTTACACAAGAGTAAAATAGTATGAAAAAATGTGTTGTAAAGTGGTTCTGACCCGAGTCTAAAACAAAAGGGTGTCCAGGAGACATGTGCAACTGCTGGGGGGGGGGTTCCTTGGCTGCGGCCTGCTCACTTCCCGGCTGGAAAGCTTTTTAAAGCGGAAAATGACCCATTATTGAATGAAGATAATGAAAAATGGCCTGGTTGCCATAAAATATTCATGTATCAAAGATGAATGAGGGAGTTGGATGTGCGTTTTTTTCCCACTTACAAGCATTGAATGTCTTATAAATTTGCCAAAAAAAAGTAATGTTTAAATAATAGCACAAATGTTATCAATATCGAATGCTCTGAGTTAAATCGCATCGATAAAAGAAAAAATGTTCCATAGTAACATTAAAACACTACAGTGTATGCTACGAGGTTTTGTGCAAATTGTAGTTTAAAAAAATAATAATAATAAAGTGGTGAAACTTGTGGTCTCCTGTTCGGGGGTGCTTTTTGGTTGGATAGAGAATGACCTCAGGTTCAGGGAGACATGCATACCTCTCATGGGACACCTACGCTAGTATGTTGCTAGTAGAATTTTGATAGATTTGGGAGAGGCCTGTGCTGGCCAGGGTGCCCTTATTAAAAAAAGTTTCAAATTAAGATAAATAACTTTTGGTTTCTTTACGTCTTGGAAATTCTTGTACATCCTTGTCCATAGAAAATTCTTAGTTTTTTGGCTTTTGCTTTATAGAATTAACAATAATTCAATGGAGTTTTTAAAAATATAAAACATGATTTAGTACTTTTCTGTTAATACTAAATTCTTTCTATAATTATAGGCAAGAAATGCAGCACTGTGCACAGCATGATTTTGTCGTATTTTGATACAGTGGCAAATCCGTATGAACAAGCTTTATATTTGGTCAGACTCTCTCCTGACTACAATCCATCAAAGACTGTCAGTCTTGCAAACACCAGTGAGGATTGTCTGAAGTGAACATATCCAATTATTTTTTTCATTTGATAATTTTTCTCTCCCAGTTATGGAACAATTTGCATTTTGGATCAAACACAAAGATGACAACTTCGATCATCTGCTTACCAAGCCAGTTAAAATCGAAGCGTTTCAGGTTGCTTCTAGACAAAGACACAAAGGACTTAGCGGAACTGTGATAGACATTTATAAGTTAAAAGTCGACAAATTTATGTTTTTACCAAAACTGAAAGATATGCTTCATATTCACATGTATAAAGAGGTAATTGTTATTATTACAATATTGATATAATTTTTATATTGGATCGTTTAAAACAATTATTTATACTCAGGTGGCTGATTGGGCTACTTTACTAGACTTACAGGATCAATTTGGAATCTATGAATTTTTGATACCTTTGTTGTTGCAAGATAAATTAACAGTTGTCGAAAATTTTGTTAAAAAATCTCCCGATTGTTATTTGCCGCTTGTTACATTTCTAGACAGAGCGCTCGGAGAAAGTAATATTTACAAGTACATAACAAAAATTGTTGAGTAAGTATTTTTACATATTGAGTCGTAATATTAATTTTTAACACTTTTTTGTTTCTCAATTTCAGTGATTTGAATATACCTCACATCAAAACGAGCGCTCTTGCTAAATTCACCCAGCCAAAATCATTATGCAAAATGGTGAAAAGATTTGCGACGATGCATAACATACCACCAGAAATGACGCCGAACATGTCAGTCATGAATGCGATAAAAACGATCAATTTTTTGATTCACAAGAGATATGTTGACGGCAATTTGGGTATGATTTTTTTATTTGAAATTAATTAGAGAATTATTTAAAGATAAAACGTCCAAATAGGCAAGGAGGGCTTTCGAGAATTGGTCATTGACATGTGCGGTACCAACAGGGAGATTCACTCAAATCTAATTTCGAGGCTAATGATGGCTGGGGATTTAAAGGAATCGGCTTATTGGGCAAAAATATTGAATGTACCTTATGAAGAACTGCCTCAAAATGTTAAAGAAGCTTACGACGATACCAGCTCCTGGTGTGTAAAATATGCATTTTGCTTAATATTGTAAATTTATTTCTACGTTATTTTTCAGCGATGATGTTTGTATTGAAGAAAACGTAAGTAATCTCGTGCTTTCGGATGTCAATAGTCAAGACGAAGACTTATTCCACACTTTATCACTGCCTATGAGTTCAATAATAATCGTTGACACAGAGCCTAAGTTCATCCATTTAATCGAATCTGCAGTCGATGGTGCGACGATCGTCGGCCTGGACACAGAATGGAAACCCACATTGCAAAATTCAACCTCCGGGCTATCACTCATGCAACTTGCTACACATAATAAAATTTATTTGATCGATGTCATCGCTGTAGGGAATTACAATCATCTCTGGGAAGAGTTTTCTACGATATTTCTTTCAAATCAAAATATCATCAAAATTGGTAATATATATTTCAAAAAAGTAAAATAAAATCAAAATGATATACAGTGAAACTTCCCTTAATAGACAAATTCTGATTTCCCGGTGTTTTACCATTAGTTTCTTCACATTAAGATCTTCTGTAAAGGAGACCCTTCCAATAACGGACACTCAGTTTTTCAGCTATACTCTGGCTTTAAAATTCTACCCAAAGTGGACAGTAGCCTCCAGAAAATGAGCATTTTCTGAGAAACACCTTTTCCCCTAGATGTTTCGTTCGCTTTCCAATACATATTCCTAGATGATTTCTATGATTATGCCACTTCGCCAACATGTTTAAATACTTCTTCACTGTGTTTAAAACTTAAAGAAAAAAATTAATATAATTAAAATATTATTATTGCGAAGTTTTCCATTGGAAAGACCCAGACAAGTGAAATTCTAAAGAATAAAAAGGAACTTATAGATAAATTTTACAAACATGGAAATGACAAATCCTGCATCTTTTTTTTCTAAACCTCTGTCTTAGATCAGGTCGTATTTGAATAGTTTTTCAGTACTCGGGTTTGTAAAATACCACTGTCTGGTTTACCTATCCTAAAAAAGGCCTTAGAAGATACAAAACATTTATGGCAAATGGATTTCAAAGTATCTTCAAGTCAGCTCGACAAATCTAAAACACAGTAAAATTGAAGAGCATAAGTCTTCCAAAGGACCAAAGTTGTACAAAACTGGATTGAAAAACTTAAACAATATTGATTTTGAACTCAAACATTTTTAATTGCACTGAGACGGCCTTATTTGTTTAGAACCCTTCCGGCTAAGTAAATAAAAGTTTCAAAGGAGTGTTTAACTTTGCTTGGTGAATTTGAAAAACCCTCTGTTCATAGAAAAGGCTAAAAATCCTCAATGTTTCAAAGGTCTTCAAAGGTCTCTTCATCTTGAAACTCCCATTGTGGCCCTTATTGTAATACATACTAAACATTTTTATAATGTAATAAACAGGACAATATTTCATTCCCCAAGAGTGTCCGTTACAAAGAAGTTTCACTATACATATTTATTGTCTTTGATGAATGTGTATTTTAGGATTTTCACTAAGTGCGGACTTCAGTGCAATGAAGCAACATTTGCCGATTGGAAACATTTCCATTTCTGGCTCTGGGTTTCTAGATTTGGCAACCCTTTGGACCCGCCTTGTACGTGATTACAATTTTCAATTTCCCTTCAGTGGTGAGTTTTAAAAAGACACTTTTTTTTAAATCAGTATTTTTCTTGCCTAATGTCGTTATTTGCAGAGAGTGACAGATGTTCAAGCTCTTGTTTGAGCCAATTGGTCGCACAGTGCGTTGGAAAGCCGTTGAATAAAATTGAGCAATTTTCCAATTGGCAAATTCGCCCTCTGCGGCCATCACAAATCAATTATGCAGGTAGAAATTTGTATTAATGTTAATAATACGTTATTCAGATATCGTGAGATGCGGTCAGGTCTCACGATATCTGAATAACTATCGATTAACAGTCCCTAATCTCTACACACGTTAATAATACGGTAAAATAATTGTAATCGTGGGTATATTTTAGCATTGGATGCTTTCTGTCTAATTGAAATATACACTGTGTTAAACAAGGTCTGTGATACTTGCAATATACCATTTGAAGATATAGTAAATCAGATTATGAATGAATCATGGAAGCGCAACAAAGGAAAGAAAACAAAAGGATCAAATCATAAAGTAAAAGATTTTAGTTTTACAGTTTCCTTCCTTTCACATAAATTATTTTTTTCACCAGAAATCAAAAGAAAAATACTACATTGTAAATGAAAATCCTGTTGGGGTCTCCTGGCTAAGAGCGGTATGTGATAATACATTGTACGGCTTGGCAAAACAACTAAGGAGATGCGGGATCGATTGCAATTTAGTCCCTTCGCATACAACTTTCAACCAGTTAGTTAAAATTGCAAAGGATGAAGGACGAATACTTCTCGCCCCTCCAGCTCTTTTCACAAAGGTGAGCTTGTTTTAAAAAATTGTTTGTCTGTTCTAGAACTGTGCATGCATAATAAACAGTGCCACAAAACAACAGTTATTTTTGTAAATTTTCTTGCGATTATGTTTTATTTATTGCTTTTATTTGTTTGGAGGACTTGGTTTCCTAGTTTACTATCAGGTGTAACTTGTTTAATACTCACTCTATTGTATGATTAAAAAAAAGTCAATATTTAAACAATATTGTTTGTTGTTTTATTTTTTGACAATTTTTGTTCTTTGGGATTTTTTAATTTATTTTTACTATTTTTTACTTATGCTTTTTATTACTTTACAAGTTAAGTGCATCGGTTCTCATCCACCCGAAACATGGGTACATGAGAGAGATGCATTACAGAATATGTGAAAATAAAAAAAAATTGAAATTTTTGAAAAACGTGAACACAAGAGGATATACAATAGGCATGTCAATTATGGGTTTGGAGCCTTAAAATTTATTTTAATGATTTATAATGAACTATTTAAGAAAAATTTTTCTTTACAAATTGATACATTATCCTTTTGGCATTACAGTATGTAGATGTCTAATCCTTCTATATAAATTGATTAACGGTATTAAAATGATAATAAATGCAAAACTGCATGAACTTTTCTGGTTACCTGATAGATGAGGCTCCAGATTTGAGAATTTATCAAGAAACTGTCAGTCCTCATTTCAACCAAATTAAACAAAAACTGTGTCAAAAGTCTTCAAAAGTTTTGAGTCCCAGTCTCAAAAATACAATAAATTTTTAAATATTACTTCCGAACTGTGAAGGTAGAGGAGCCTTGTTTTCACACGAGATGTCGAATAAATTTTTGCTGTACAAAATCAAAGTTTCCACTGGCATTTCAGACCTTTCTGAACAAATTTGGTTCCATGTCTGTCTGTGGTCAATTCCTTCTATCTGGTGAAACTACAAAACTATTTTTTTAATTATTATGCAATTTTGAGGGAGGGATTATGCGAGATGGATCATGAGCATGCACGAAATATTATCAAATTAATTTGAAATTTTTAGGGATTAGAGTGATTGCTTTCTAGGTGATCCACTATAAATTTCATTTCAAATGGATTAATGTATGGTCATGAGCATGCACAAAACATTTTCGGATTATTATGAAATTTTCAGGGAATAGGTGGATAGCTTGTCTTTATGATCCCCTATGAATTTTATACCAATCGGATTAACATATACAAATGTGCATGCATAAACATAAAATCCCATATCCAGCTTCAAAACCATTTGTAGGAGTCTTATGCAATTTTCAAGGATTATTTAGGTTCCTTTCTAGATGATCCGCATTAACATATGCACATACGCATGCACAAAATATTAAGAAGCTGCCCACCCACTTGGTAGACGTTGGTTTGTCTTCTAGAGTCACTTTTATTCAATTTTTGTGGAATCGGTTCCAAGAAGTTGGTATTGGTCGATAAGAAATATATTGTAATACCTGTTTTCATTTTCTTGTTTTAAAAGTCTGACTTCTTCATTTTATGAAAATAGTACATTAATTAATTGGTAATGTTGCTGGAGATGAATTTCAAATTTGAGGATTCACTAATATACGTAGTTTATACTTTCAGACTCTTAACATTCTAAATGTTGGTCTGGCTGTAATCTGGGTAGGCAGATGTAACATCCACTATTAATTTTTTTGGCTGTTATCGATTTTTTTTAAATTCATTTTTTTGTGTGTTGTTATGTTTGTGTTAATTAAACCAATTTAAGGGGTTAAACTTTTTAAATTTGTTTACAATATTTCAGAGTTTGTGCCATATTCATGTTTTTTATTTATGTTTTACAATTTATTTTTAAATTAATATAAACATGAAAAAAGTGGCAAAATACCATGTCATTAAACAATCAACTTAACATTCTAATTTGTCTTAATTAACAAAATGTTATAAAAGAAGGGTTTAAAAAAAGATAACTATCATAATTATAATATATAATATAGTATTTAATTAACTTAATATTTACTTGTTCACAGTATATTTATTTTATGCAAAGAAAGTTTAGATGAAAAATTAGTCTCATGTGTGGGATTCGAACCTCATGATTTTTGGATAATTCTCTACCATCGACAATGTCTATGTTTGATGTCTATTGTTTGATTGTTTGAGCAGCTAATTATGCCACAATTTTGTATGTTGGTGGAAAAAGGGAATTTAAATTTGTAGGTTGAGATGAAGAGTTTTTGTCAAGGGGGCCGAAAGTGACATTAGCTCAGCGGTAGAGCACAGAGTCTGAAAATCATGTTCAATTCCTGCTCGTGACACTAATTTTTCATCTCAACTTTTTTTTTACAAAATTAGTATAGAAATTATAATTCTTAGAAAATATCATATTGAGGAAGAAGTGTTGAAATACAATAAAATTTATGATTGATGAATTTTTTTGCTATGTGGTGCAGTTTAGTTAGTTCAATCAATTTGCAATTTTAAATATATTTAATTTCCTCATGGATTTTTTTTTTTGTGTCAGGTCAACAGCCAGATGAAACAAAACACTCTTTTTCAAATTTGTTCAAAACACAGTGATAATCAGTTGATAGAAGTCCTTAATCTTTTCAATATAGTCGTTCAGAAGGAGGATCTTCTAAGCCGATGCCAGGTCTATATTACAAATTTTTATTTTTGTCTTAATGTCTATTTTATTTTCTATTATATCTTGTATTGTATTATCTCTAATATATTTAATCCTATTGCGCAAATGTTAATTTTTTTTAAGGCTTGCAATGGTTGCGATATTTTCACCCTTTCAGCAGACCAAATAAGGGAGTACAAAGAAACTGATCACCCTGCTCCTTCACCCTGCGTTGGAGTACCTGCAGGAATCGAGGAGGAATATGAGGACGATTGGTTAAACGGTGAAGGTTCATACAATGGTGAAGACGAATGTTATGAGATGGAAGACAAAAGGTTGAAAACTTCGACCGGTGCTCCTGTCAATGTAAATTCTTATTCTAGAATTTATCCTAATTCCTTTCACCTAATATATTTTTTTGTTCCGTCCAGCTGGAAAAAGTGACTGACACTATATTGAATACCGTAACAGAATATTTCATTTGTGACAACTGTGGATCTTGCTACTGGGATGGTGGGTATTTCGATCGAGTTCTCGGCAACAATGCAGTTCGCACCAGTTAAGCCGTGCTCATATTTTTTTTACACGGTGTTTAAATAATTTTACATTTTTTCTTCTTTTTCCATGCCGATTATACAAACATTTTTAAACAGGGTCTTCCTGTTTATGACATTTGTTTTAATTATACTTGTAGCTGGATCTTCAAAAAAAAAGTATATTTGAGCAAAAATATCTCGATGCATTTTACATATATCTCTTTTTATTAATATGAAAAACTTGAAACTAAAAATGGACAAAAATAATAATAATAAAAATGGAATGGCATACTAAAATTTATAATCAAACTATTCACCTGCAACTAAATAGGTAAAATTTAAATGTATTAACCTCAAAATTTTAGTTATTTCCAAAAACTTTAATTGGATTTCAAGACAAATTTGGCTTAACGGCCAGGTGTTTTTTGTTTAACGTGATTACCATATGTTAATTCTGAACCTTAGTGTGATTCACTGTGTTCATTACTATATTCGATAGTTATATTTTGAGTGGAGTAGTTCATAAAATTGATAATTTTTGTGATGTTCAAACATATATGAAAATTTTATTTTTATTGTATGATGTAGTGATTACATGATATATGTGGTTACCTTTTTTCATTCAAATAACGAGTTAAGCTGAAAATAAGGTTACAAAATAGTTTTTAGTAAAAATGTTTTACTATTTTCAAATTGTTACTGAATAAGTATTTTTTCTGTGATCATGTTGATTTAATAATGTATCTTCCTTAATGAATTACAAAATTTAACATTTTGTCTTTTAAACGGTGTTTGACCAAATTTACCACTCGTAAAATACCTTTCTGTAGTTTACGCTAAATAGAAGGTTTAAAATTTTTTTCTACTTTGTGAAGATCTCTTTGAAGTGTGTTATTGTTAACATAAGAAGGGGCAGTTAAACAATTAGTTGTAAAATCTTTGACTGAAAACTCTGTTAGTTTTGAATATTGGCATATTTGGCCAACCATAAATGACACCCGTACTTCCAAATAGTTTCAAGTAAGTATGTGTACATCAACAGTTTTGATTTTCACAGTTTATTTTTAACCGTGTGCGCATTTTGTGCAATAAAATTATAAAGAAAAAGGGGAAAAAAGTGTAGGGTAATGTATCGGTGGTGTGGAGGATGAGGAGAGGTGAGACAAGAGGGCTAGGACGGTTTTGAACCAGTCCCAAGGACAGAGTGGGAAAAGTCAGTGTTTTGCTGAATTTTCCTCTTTATTTGTGGCCGAAGCCATCAAGGGGTCAGGATGTGTGCGGTTAAAACCATTTAAAAGACGGAAGGGGAGGCTGTCACGAGAATTTTTCCACCGTCTGGTGGGAGAGCAAGTTGGCGTTTTACCGGATTTTTCTCCTGCAGCTGAAGCCATTCTGGGCAAGGGATCAGGTTGGATATACAGAAGGGGATTCATGGTTGCAAAGAGGACTCTACCGTTGTAGAAAGAGGCCTCCCAGGGAAATCCACTACAGGAACTTCAAGAATGTGCACATAATTGGGTTTGGTGTTTAAGGTTATCTACTCTGCCCTCGAGTTTAAATTTCCACCTCGCCACATTGATATTTATGCCTGCACTATTTTTTAAATGTGCACACCTGTTAGTCATCTTCCAGTATAGCTTCAACTTTATAATGGTGTGTAGAGGTGGAAGTGAGGTCAGGAAATAGGCCCTTTCTCATAACTACTGCTATATGTCTTCCATGCAACCTTCACTCATTTTAAACTTGATGTTATATTCCTCACATTACATACTAAGTAAATTTAAATTTAAATTTAAACTTGTGATTGCCGTTTTCTATGGTGAACTCAGTTAACTCAGCTAGGTGACTGGTGGGACAAATGCTGAGTTGTATCTTTCAAGTTGAGTTCAAGTCTCTTGTGCATCTTTGAGGTTAAGACGAGAACGTAAACTGTTCCTGGGTGGACGAGTTGACTGTGTCTGAACGGGTTCAGGCAGTTCCCAATCATTTGGTACAGGGCTACTCCTTGACACTCATCCATTCAACTGTTGAATCAACTAACCTAACTATGTACATACATACACAGTTTATCCCTTCTTGTAGTCCACCAACATTGACTCTTAGGGCTATCAACAGTTAGGTCATTTCACGAACCAATGTAATCTGTCTCCCATCACTCTCTCTTAAATACATTCTTTCCTATTTACATACCACTCATTCAGGGTGGTGGAACAGCAGACCCAAATACTCACTGCCCTGCTGAAACAAAACTCATATCAGGCGGCATTCCTACACCCTCTCTGTATGGAGCCAAGGACCCTTCAATTAGGTGGGACACATCGAGCAGCATTTCTCTGCATGCCAAAAGTAAGTGTCCATCAACTTGATATTCCTCCATCACCCATTACGTATGTTATACAAATAGCTTAAATGAGGGTATTGAGGCTATACAACTATTCTTAAGTACCCCAACTCGATATTCCGCCATCGACCCTTTCACATCACACATTCACGCTAATAAATACATTCACCCTCAACACAAACTTTACACAGACTATACAACAAACCTAATTGAGGGGGTACTTCATATTCCGCCATTGACTCTCTCTCACATTCCATATTCACACTAATAAATATATTCCCTCTCAGCACAAACTAGGTATACACAACTATTATTACTATATATAATAGAACAACCCCGTTTCATCCAAGAATCAGAACAGGGGTCCAAATGCCGTGCCCGAGCACAATTCTCAAAACGGGTGTCATTTCTGTGTGCTCTCTCTATAAAGCAAAGGAAATGCACCCTTCAATTAGGTGGGACAGATCGATCAACCATTCTCTGCATTCTGTACATATATGCAGGCTTTGGCCCAAAAATGTCAACCTCGCATGGCCTATTCTTAATCGGGCAAGAATGACCCTTCTATGAGTCAAGTCCTATGAGGGCCACTTATTCTAAATTAAATTCTGGTTCGCTGATGCTGTCCTTTTAATCTTCTTTTTTGATTGCACTTTTAGCATCAGAGGGTGGAATCAGGGTGGTTAAGTTTGGGGTTGGGACGTCCCGATCTTAGCTCTCTCATTTGCTTTTTCATTACCCTCCAGACCTATGTGTCCAGGTACTCAAGACAACTACCATTTTACCAAGATGTCTTATCTCTCCAGGAATATAAAACTACTACTACTACTAATAATAATAATAAAATAATAATAATACCTTATCTCTCTCTTTTATATGATTGGTGCTCTTTTTAATTTTTTTAACATTTTCACTTCAATGTGAATTTAGTCTTTCTGAGCAATTTAAATTTGATTTCTTCCAGATGTTTGGTTTGGATGGAATACATAAAAAAGTATACTCACACTTTAGAGATAGAGTTCCATTTAAATTTAATTTACTGTACAATATGGACCTAAAGAAACTGCTGATTTAGATTTTAGATACCTAAGAATAAGGAAAGATGTGTTAAGTTAAGCGAAGGGAAGTAGGAATTGTAGTTTACTATCTTCCTTCCTAAAGTGAATCAATCACTTAAAACTGAAGAGAAAACAAGACCAAAATCTAAGCTTTTTGGTCAGGGCTTAATTTCACCTTCAGCATGTGGAGCTGTCTTTAGCTTAATTTGAATAAGGAGCTATGGTTAAAAAACCAATAAATAAAATAAAGATTTTTTTATATATCGTACTTATATATTTTTTCAACTATATACACTTATTATATAAAATTATATAGAATATTATGCACCTTTCTCATAATAATTCACGCCTTAATGGTTCTTGTTCAAGCCTGACGTAAGTTTACCGGCTTTGTTGACAAGTTGACGACTTCTATAAACAATAAATTATGGTCGAAATTGCAGGCTACAAGAGTATCTTGTACATAAATTTAATTATACCCCCATACGAAGCAGTTTGCATTAATTATAGCAGGGCATTATTTTTAGTTGTATCTAATTGCTAATTCTGATACAAATTAATACATCGTATAACATTATACACACAAATTCACATAAATATGTACATTGCTAAATTTTCAATGGAAATAAATACACCAAAATTAAATTAATATACATTTCTATTAGATTAATGTTAAATGATTAATCATTTGTAAATAATAATTGAATTACTTATGCTCTCACTATGTTCATAAATGTATGTACAGGATTTTTTTTCCATTTGATTAAATTTGTAACCCTTTTATTTTTTTTACTTAGAATTTCTTAAAGACCAAATAAAACAAAAACAAAAAAATGTCAAATCACAAATAAAATAATACTGTAGCGAATTATTCCCAAAACGTTTTCTCTAACATGGATGTATCTGAAAAAGTATAAAAATATATTTAAGTCAATATATCAAATATTAGAATTAGAATTTCCATTGTTAAAGAACTTGTTAAAAAACAAAACAAAAAACAAGAAACTCAACTGAGGTTGTGCTTCATTCATAAATTAAAATTGATTTTGGTCAAGGAAGTACTTTAAATTATCGGTTACCAATATCACTGGTTTAAATTAAAATTATAACTTGAAGAATATGAACTGAAGAGTGATCAATCTGCAAATAGCAAGACGTTAATTAACAGCAACACATGTTGATCAAATACATTGTTAAAATACAACAATCATTTACATAACAAATATGGTGAAACAAAGAATATGATTTTTCTTTAGACTCTTAGCGTTAGTTGGAACTAATTTCCGTTTAAAGATTTCAATTTCATAGTCCTCTCTTCTTTTGCAAGCGAAGCAAGAAATATATGAAAACGCCTTCGTTATTCAATTCTGTCAAGTTCACTGGATCACACAACATTTACACTTGGGTTTCTTCTTCAGGTTGACATGTTCGATTTGTGATGCGTCACTCGGAGGAACGATCGTCACCCTCTGGAGTTCGACCTGCCCAGGGGCTGCTTTGTCACCGTTGCTCAGAGGCTTAGTACCATTTGCACCTTTAGGAGTTGCGTTGAGCTCTGTCGCTTTAACAGGTGACGGTAATTTTCCGTTTTCTTGCGTTACGTCTGGCAGCTTAGGAGCTTCTCCGTTGACGGGTGTAGGCGTTATTGGCTTTCCTCCTTTGATTAATTCAACGATCTCATCTGCTTCCCTTGAGAGATCTCCATCAGGCCTAAAAGGATTGTCCCAGCCGCTATCCGTACTACAACCATAAAAATAACTCTGATTAGTCAAGTTATTAAAAAAACACTTTTATTTAGTAATTAAATTTTCTATTATTAAAAGGCTTTGAATTACTAAAAACTAGGACAAAACATATTTATGTTTTTTATCATTTTAAGATGTCATTTATTCATGCAATAAATTTAAAATACATATTAATTAAATATATTTATTGTAAAAAATAGAAATTTTTATCGACAAAATATTGTCATTGGGCCAGATCGGCAGAGAAGCTCTCATGTATCAAGAGTGCTGTTAATAGGTGGGCCTCAGAGGATCTGACCTGTAGAAAAAGGGCTATCCTCATACAAAATTAAGAATAGGCCATGCTAGGTTGACGCTCGGACACTTACTTTTGGGACAAAGCCCATTTATGTATCCAGCATGTAGAGAAAGCCCGTGTCCCACCTAATTAAAGGGTGTGATTTCCTTGGCTCCATATAGAGAGCAAGTAGGAATGTCACCCGATATGTTATTGTTCTTGAAATCTACTGGGTCTCCTGTTCTTATTCTTGGAAGAAACAGGGTTATTTTTTTATTGTATGTAGTAATGATGGTTTTTCTGTCTCTAGTGTACATTGGGAGTGTATTTATGAGCGTGAATGTGCAATGTGAGAAGGTTAATGGCAGAACACTGATTACCCCATTGACCCCCAATTAGGTTAGTTATAGAATAGTAAAGGGTGATGGAGGAATGGATATTCCACCACCTTAAGGTATATAAATATGAAAACATGTATTTAAGAGTGATTGTGAGTGTGAAATGGTTTGAATTGATTGCATTGGGTGCTGAAACGACCTGTTGACAGCACCTGGAGCCCAACCTCAGTGGCTGAATGGGAAAGACCGAGGTTAGAATCCAGACTGGCAACACTGGTGTACGATTGTTCAGTCCTGCCGGTAATTTACTGTAAATAACAAAAGTTGGAATTGCCAGTGCACTTACACATGTCCACATATGTACATACATGTGAAGATTTGAGCCTATAAAATCAATAATTAATAGAAATTTATATACACAGTATCAAACAATTGGTTATGATTCCTTATCGATGAATCGATTGATATTTTATCCACTGTAATTATTATATGATCAATAAATTATTCTATTTTAAAATGTATAAACTATGCCTTTATTTATTTATTTTCTTTATGAGAGTATTTCAACTATGAGGCTCATGAGCTTATTTCAAATAAGTAGTGCCGGTGTTTTGAAAAAAGAAAAAAGCCCATTTTTAAGTATTAAGTTAAAATGCAGTGCCGCTGGATTCGAACCTGGGACGTTTATCTTACAGTGATGAGCACGGTGTCAATGCCTAAACCATAGCGGCTACCAATGCCCCAACCTTTTTTAAATTACTTAAACAATTCCTGGTATTATGTTTTGAACAGACTTAGATGAACTATTGGTTGTTATGAAAGTTTATTGCTAACAACCTAGCCAGACTTAAATTTAACTTTATTTATGCATTATAATTATACTAGGAATGTTTATCAGTGTTATTAAGATGGCTCAAGTATTTGCCAACCTTGTAAAAAGGCTACTGATTCACTGGTGCATATCATTAAATTAATCTGATGTATTCCAAAAGCCCCTTGACTCTTACAGTACTTTAAATTATTAAACTATGTATAAAATTGAAAAAAGTAAATGTTTTATTTAAACATATTCTTATTTTCTGTGTATACAAGATGTATTGTCAAATAAATTGGTTTCGTTTACACATTTGAACAAACAGAAACGGAAATTAGAATGGGCTAAATTTTATGTCCTTGGAGTCTTCAATGTCCATCATTGTCGACTGTTCATTGTGTTGAAAATTACACCATCACCTGGGTTTTTAAACGAAGCTTGCACTGTAAAGAAAGAGAGCGAACTTAATCGTTTTACAATTTGATATTTTATTTTTTATTTTTAGATCTGGCAAACAACTTGGCCATCGCCAGCTGGCTCAATTCACCCTGTATTTCTTGTGTTTTAACCCTTCTAATTTTTTTCCATGTTTCTCCAGCCAATCTATGCTTCTTTATCCTACTGCTAGTCTCTATGTATCTGATAATATAACATACTGGATGGTGGATTTTTTTGCATTCATGCACTGTAGGAAACAAACAACAAACCAATAGACTGTTTAAGCCTTTTACATAATGAAAAAAAAAAAAAAAGAGAGAGAGAGAGAGAGAGAGAGAGATGAACAATATTATAAATAAGAATCTAAAGAAAAATTAAAATATAACTTGCCTTTATTCAATACCTACTAACAAATCTATTTTATTAACAAATTACTATATTGATATGCCAGTACATCTGGAATTATCCTTATTGGAAAAAACTTACCATTTGGCTTTGTGTGCATGGTCACATTATGCTTCCCCCCCAAAAAAAGTCACTGTATGTACACTAGAATGTGATTACAACAAAAACACATAAAACATACAAGCAATTTCTTCACTTGACAATTACACAAACTTACATACAAGGGCATATTCCTATAAACACATTTATTTGTGTGTGTGTTTTATGAATTTGTTAATTATCTAAAGCTTTATTATTTGCTTTTCTGTTCTAAACATAGACCCAGACTTTCACTATTCATGAATAAAGGGGTCATAGTGGCATGAAACAAAGGCTAGTTAATTGAGTAATTTTAAATTCAGAATATTTTGTCAAAATCGCCTGGATTGGTAGAATTTTTCACATGGGATGAGCTTTGGTTTAGGTCAACGAAGAATTTATAGATTTATTTTTTTTATCGATTTGCGACTTGTTGAGCATTTTTACACTATTTTTAGGACGGATTAAAAAGAAAAAATCGAACAAATAAAAATAGATTCGATTTAGAAGCTCGTAATGATATCCGTGGTTTAATCGTACCATCACGGTCCGCCATTTCTCGCTGTTTTTTCTCCGGAGTCATTTCAAACGGAGAAACGGACCAACTGCGTATTTGTCGAATCTGGACATGATCGAATCCTCAAAAAAAAAAAGAAAAAAGATTTTTACCGTCCTAAGTCGCAAATATACGCCGGCCTTGTACCCAAGCAACAACAAAACGCCTTCACAAAAGCTGGTGAAACCAATTGGCGCATCTATTTAGTTCCGCACGTCCAAAACCAGTTTCCTAGGCGCAGAGGAAAAACATCGAGCCATAAAAATATCAGACGGGACAGATTGGAAGAAAACCCAAAGAAAAACAGACAAAGCCAAAGATTGGTCAAGATTCTTCGGACTTCGTTTATAATATGTTATGACAGAGTTCAAAAAATCTGTGAAATTGTTGCAATATGGATCACGCTGCAGGACTTCCATATTGTAACATAATATGTTATGTGACTTTAGCAATGTCAGGCACGTCTGCAAAATGGGGAAGAACGAAGAAGAATAAAACATTGTGATGAGAAAAGGATTTAGAACTTGGCTAAAGGATAAGTTCATCTGGTTTTATCGCACACAATAAAACATTTTGGTGGGGAAAAGGATTTAGAATTTGGATAAAAGGATAAGTCCATCTGGTTTTATCGCACACAATAAAACATTTTGGTGGGGAAAAGGATTTAGAATTTGGATAAAAGGATAAGTCCATCTGGTTTTATCGCACACAAGAAAACATTCTGTGAGAAATGGATTTAGAATTTGGATAAGAGGATAAGTTCTACAGGTTTAAAGTAATTCGAGGCTGTTTTAATTATTTCCACATTATACGTATAACCTTTGTGATGGGTTGGTCACCGAAGGGTGAGGTCAATAAGAAGCCGACCTTGACCAAAATAATCACCAACCAATTAAATTTAGCATAAGCAATTTGCCTACCGCTTATACTACGGAATAGATGAATAAAAAAACAGCAATAAAATAACTCTTGAGCAAAGGGGATCATAGTTATTCGTGAGGGTTGTTAATTGTCATCGTAAACTATATAAAAAATATAAACGACCGACTAGGAAATTTCCTGTCAAGATCAACTATTTTGAAAATTCATACAAGATTCCACAAGTGTAAAAAAGCGAATCGTAAAATTCTTGAAGCGATTTGCAATTCAATCTGTCCGTGTTACACGCTATCTTATTCTGGCACAAGTTGCACATCGCTGCTAAGCCAGTGTGAGTATAAAAAAAACCGGTTATACCCAAAGGAAAACGAAGGTGGTTCATCCAGTCTGAATCCGTGTCAAGGCTATTTAAGCTATTATTCCATTTTTTTTCTGGCTGAGCTGTAACACTATCGGTTTAATTGACGTCTATTTCAGATTTGTCATTATAAAAAAAAATGGATAATATATTCTTTTTCTATTTTATTGACTGGAATGTAGGATGAAACAAAGTCGAAATATAGCATGACGTTAGGGTATACGTTTTTCCCCCAGGGCGTATCAGTCTCAAAGATGTCGGGAAAATAATAAAGTTCTGTAATTTCCAACCGTACTACCATAAAATACAATCTTATCAAACTGATCACTATTAAAAAACCAACCAAAAAAGTAACGTAAGGCTAACAAAAAACCCCAAAATATTATCATAATTTTCACCCAATTATCAATGTTTTACTGCAAATAAATGGAAAATGTTGCTAGTACTAGCGGTACTGTGTTCGAATTCCGACATAGCTAATGGTTTTTTAATTGAGAGTAATATAAAAAAAAATTGTTAAGTTTGAGCCCTAGTCCGCGACACCCGAACGGATTAAGCCCTACTGTATGAAAGGACTTTACTTTATAAAACAGAAAATGTCATACACTTTTAACCATGTGTACATTAACATGTAAATTTATTAACCATTAATTTATAGAGCTAAGTGTAGTGAATTTCGTGAATCGGACTAATTTAATCGGATGTAAAATATTAATTCTGCCATATTAATAATTCACTAATTTCGTGGTTCCCATCTCAACCGCACCTTTTGAATTTCCCTCCTTGAAAAATGGCAAAAAGGAGGGAAAATTGAAAAGGTGTGGTTGAGATAAGAAGTTGATGTCCGAGTGG